GTGCTCTCCGCGATTCAGTAAAATAATCTTTCTAAAAAAAAAAAAATGCAAAATTTGATTAATTCCTTCCCTCTGTCGATCGTGACAATTAAATCTCGGTTCAACTTTTTTACTCGACTAAAGTATTTTTTTCTTATTTGATATTTTTTTGCCTTGCTCAGGGATGCAGAGGGCTTTGGCCCTTCGTGCTCTCTGCGATTCGGTAAAATAATCTTTCTCAAAAAAAAATTGCAGAATTTTGATTAATTCCTTCCCATTGTCGATCGTGACAATTAAATATCGGTTCCAATTTTTACTCGAATAAAGTATTTTTTACTAATTGGATATTTTTTTGCCTTGCTAAGGGATGCAGAGGGCTTAGGCCCTTTGTGCTCTCTGCGATTCAGTAAAATAATCTTTCTAAAAAAAAAAAAAAAAATGCAAAATTTGATTAATTCCTTCCCTTTGTCGATTGTGACAATTAAATCTCGGTTCAACTTTTTTACTCGACAAAAGTATTTTTTTCTCATTGGAAATTTTTTTGCCTTGCTCAGGGATGCAGAGGGCTTAGGCCCTTCGTGCTCTCAGCGATTCAGAAAAATAATCTTTCTAAAAAAAAAAAAAAAAAAAATTTGATTAATTCCTTCCCTTTGTCGATCGTGACAATTAAATCTCGGTTCCACTTTTTTACTCGACTTAAGTATTTTTTACTAATTGGATATTTTTTTGCCTTGCTAAGGGATGCAGAGGGCTTTGGCCCTTCGTGCTCTCTGCGATTCAGTAAAATAATCTTTCTCAAAAAAAATTGCAGAATTTTGATTAATTCCTTCCCATTGTCGATCGTGACAATTAAATCTCGGTTCCACTTTTTTACTCGACTAAAGTATTTTTTTCTCATTGGATATTTTTTTGCCTTGCTAAGGGATGCAGAGGGCTTTGGCCCTTCGTGCTCTCTGCAATTCAGTAAAATAATCTTTCTAAAAAAAAAAAAAAAAATGCAAAATTTGATTAATTCCTTCCCTTTGTCGATCGTGACAATTAAATCTCGGTTCCACTTTTTTACTCGACTAAAGTATTTTTTACTAATTGGATATTTTTTTGCCTTGCTCAGGGAAAAATAATCTTTCTAAAAAAAAAAAAAAAAAATGCAAAATTTGATTAATTCCTTCCCTTTGTCGATTGTGACAATTAAATCTCGGTTCAACTTTTTTACTCGACTAAAGTATTTTTTTCTTATTTGATATTTTTTTGCCTTGCTCAGGGATGCAGAGGGCTTAGGCCCTTCGTGCTCTCAGCGATTCAGAAAAATAATCTTTCTAAAAAAAAAAAAATGCAAAATTTGATTAATTCCTTCCCTTTGTCGATCGTGACAATTAAATCTCGGTTCCACTTTTTTACTCGACTAAAGTATTTTTTACTAATTGGATATTTTTTTGCCTTGCTCAGGGAAAAATAATCTTTCTAAAAAAAAAAAAAAAAAATGCAAAATTTTATTAATTCCTTCCCTTTGTCGATTGTGACAATTAAATCTCGGTTCAACTTTTTTACTCGACTAAAGTATTTTTTTCTTATTTGATATTTTTTTGCCTTGCTCAGGGATGCAGAGGGCTTAGGCCCTTCGTGCTCTCAGCGATTCAGAAAAATAATCTTTCTAAAAAAAAAAAAAAATCCAAAATTTGATTAATTCTTTCCCTTTGTCGATCGTGACAATTAAATCTCGGTTCCACTTTTTTACTCGACTAAAGTATTTTTTACTAATTGGATATTTTTTTGCCTTGCTCAGGGAAAAATAATCTTTCTAAAAAAAAAAAAAATGCAAAATTTGATTAATTCCTTCCCTTTGTCGATTGTGACAATTAAATCTCGGTTCAACTTTTTTACTCGACTAAAGTATTTTTTTCTTATTTGATATTTTTTTGCCTTGCTCAGGGATGCAGAGGGCTTAGGCCCTTCGTGCTCTCAGCGATTCAGAAAAATAATCTTTCTAAAAAAAAAAAAATGCAAAATTTGATTAATTCCTTCCCTTTGTCGATCGTGACAATTAAATCTCGGTTCCACTTTTTTACTCGACTTAAGTATTTTTTACTAATTGGATATTTTTTTGCCTTGCTCAGGGATGCAGAGGGCTTAGGCCCTTCGTGCTCTCAGCGATTCAGAAAAATAATCTTTCTAAAAAAAAAAAAAAATCCAAAATTTGATTAATTCTTTCCCTTTGTCGATCGTGACAATTAAATCTCGGTTCAACTTTTTTACTCGACTAAAGTATTTTTTTCTTATTTGATATTTTTTTGCCTTGCTCAGGGATGCAGAGGGCTTAGGCCCTTTGTGCTCTCAGCGATTCAGAAAAATAATCTTTCTAAAAAAAAAAAAATCCAAAATTTGATTAATTCTTTCCCTTTGTCGATCGTGACAATTAAATCTCGGTTCCACTTTTTTACTCGACTAAAGTATTTTTTACTAATTGGATATTTTTTTGCCTTGCTCAGGGATGCAGAGGGCTTAGGCCCTTCGTGCTCTCTGCGATTCAGTAAAATAATCTTTCTCAAAAAAAAATTGCAGAATTTTGATTAATTCCTTCCCATTGTCGATCGTGACAATTAAATCTCGGTTCAACTTTTTTACTCGACTAAAGTATTTTTTTCTTATTTGATATTTTTTTGCCTTGCTCAGGGATGCAGAGGGCTTAGGCCCTTTGTGCTCTCAGCGATTCAGAAAAATAATCTTTCTAAAAAAAAAAAAATCCAAAATTTGATTAATTCTTTCCCTTTGTCGATCGTGACAATTAAATCTCGGTTCCACTTTTTTACTCGACTAAAGTATTTTTTACTAATTGGATATTTTTTTGCCTTGCTCAGGGAAAAATAATCTTTCTAAAAAAAAAAAAAAAAAATGCAAAATTTGATTAATTCCTTCCCTTTGTCGATTGTGACAATTAAATCTCGGTTCAACTTTTTTACTCGACTAAAGTATTTTTTACTAATTGGATATTTTTTTGCCTTGCTCAGGGATGCAGAGGGCTTTGGCCTTTCGTGCTCTCCGCGATTCAGAAAAATAATCTTTCTAAAAAAAAAAAAATGCAAAATTTGATTAATTCCTTCCCTTTGTCGATCGTGACAATTAAATCTCGGTTCCACTTTTTTACTCGACTAAAGTATTTTTTACTAATTGGATATTTTTTTGCCTTGCTCAGGGATGCAGAGGGCTTAGGCCCTTCGTGCTCTCAGCGATTCAGAAAAATAATCTTTCTAAAAAAAAAAAAATGCAAAATTTGATTAATTCCTTCCCTTTGTCGATTGTGACAATTAAATCTCGGCTCAACTTTTTTACTCGACTAAAGTATTTTTTTCTTATTTGATATTTTTTTGCCTTGCTCAGGGATGCAGAGGGCTTAGGCCCTTCGTGCTCTCAGCGATTCAGAAAAATAATCTTTCTAAAAAAAAAAAAATGCAAAATTTGATTAATTCTTTCCCTTTGTCGATCGTGACAATTAAATCTCGGTTCCACTTTTTTACTCGACTAAAGTATTTTTTACTAATTGGATATTTTTTTGCCTTGCTCAGGGATGCAGAGGGCTTAGGCCCTTCGTGCTCTCTGCGATTCAGTAAAATAATCTTTCTAAAAAAAAAAAAAAAAATGCAAAATTTGATTAATTCCTTCCCTTTGTCGATTGTGACAATTAAATCTCGGACCAACTTTTTTACTCGACTAAAGTATTTTTTTCTTATTTGATATTTTTTTGCCTTGCTCAGGGATGCAGAGGGCTTAGGCCCTTCGTGCTCTCAGCGATTCAGAAAAATAATCTTTCTAAAAAAAAAAAAAATGCAAAATTTGATTAATTCCTTCCCTTTGTCGATCGTGACAATTAAATCTCGGTTCCACTTTTTTACTCGACTTAAGTATTTTTTACTAATTGGATATTTTTTTGCCTTGCTCAGGGATGCAGAGGGCTTTGGCCCTTCGTGCTCTCTGCGATTCAGTAAAATAATCTTTCTCAAAAAAAAATTGCAGAATTTTGATTAATTCCTTCCCATTGTCGATCGTGACAATTAAATCTCGGTTCCACTTTTTTACTCGACTAAAGTATTTTTTTCTCATTGGATATTTTTTTGCCTTGCTAAGGGATGCAGAGGGCTTTGGCCCTTCGTGCTCTCTGCGATTCAGTAAAATAATCTTTCTAAAAAAAAAAAAAAAAATGCAAAATTTGATTAATTCCTTCCCTTTGTCGATTGTGACAATTAAATCTCGGTTCAACTTTTTTACTCGACAAAAGTATTTTTTTCTCATTGGAAATTTTTTTGCCTTGCTCAGTGATGCAGAGGGCTTTGGCCCTTCGTGCTCTCCGCGATTCAAAAAAATAATCTTTCTAAAAAAAAAAAAAAAATGCAAAATTTTGATTAATTCTTTCCCTTTGTCGATTGGGCAATTAAATATCGGTTCCACTTTTTTACTCGACTAAAGTATTTTTTTCTCATTGGATATTTTTTTGCCTTGCTCAGGGATGCAGAGGGCTTTGGCCCTTCGTTTTCTCTGCGATTCAGAAAAATAATCTTTCTCAAAAAATAAAAATTACTTAAATTTGATTATTTCTCACCTGTTGTTAATCTTGACAATTAAAACCCTTTTTTTATTTTAGCATAGATCACTGAATTTTCATCGTTGGTTTTTTAAGGATGCTTGAGGTCCATGGCCATCAGTGCCCTCTGCGAAACTTATTAATGGTCTTATTTTCAATTGAGAGAAAAAATATTTATTTTTATCAACCGCCATCAATTATCACAATTTAAATTAGTTGCTTATTTTTGTATTTATTACTGAATTTATTGTAGAGTTGATTCCGCTCTCTGATTGATAAAAAAAACTTCCATTTTGCTTAAGTTAAAATTAGCTTACTTATTTAATCCTATTTTCTATTCTTTTTGGATACATTTTTTTAAATTTTTTTTCCGTTGCTGTTATTACACATGCAATTTGGTTCTCTAGTCGTGTTATGCAAAATTACTTTTTAGTATTCTTTTTTTCAGATTATACCACATGTTAGATGTTCATCCAGAGGCTGAATGGTCAATTGTCAACCGGGCTTGTCTCAAGGCCATCAAGTTATATCACCCGGACCGCCATCAAATGGACCATGAGTTGCTTAGTCAAAGAACTGCTCTAGTAAAACATACTGATTTTTTTTGCACACAATATTTGTTTTAATGGCAGCTAGCATTTTATTAATTGGGGGATTTTCCCAACATTGTTTTTCCCCTTCTTTTGCACCGTGAATATTTTTTTGCGCGTCACTTGACATTGGCTGTTCTCATTTTTAATCATTTTATCTTTAAATTAAGTAATAACTGGGAGAAGAAAAAAATTAATGCAATTTATCGAGTTTGTCTTAATATTTAATAATTTCATTTAATCTTTTGCTAGATTCATAATGGCAGCATCTTTTAAATTTTGAGCATTTTAATTTATGCGTTTTGTGATGTATTTTTCATATTGTATTTCAGACTCAGCACTTGAACTCCATTAAAGACGTTTTGCAGCCATCCCACAGAGATATTTACGACTGGCTCGGCTTTGAGTTGGTCAAGGAAAGCAAAGCAAATGGATATGAAGTTCAAGACCGGGAAATCATTGAGAGCCTTAAAGCACGCCGTGAACCACCAGTAAAAGTAATTTCTAAATTTGCTGATAAGCTACAATTAAAAACTACGAGTTGGAATTTCTCTCTGGTTTAATTTTTAAAATATTTCTCTATTACAGCAATTTCAATTTAAAAAACCTGAGCAAGTAGTGAACATGCGTCTCATGTTTACTACGATGAAAGGGATATTTCTCTCTCCTATTGGGAACGCAGAGGAAGGGCTAGAGGTTGTGATGCATGGTGTCATATGGAGTCCAGCCATACGAACAGAACTAGAAAGTTTCCGGCACCGGTTGTTTCAGGTGGGTTTCTTTTGCATTCTATTGTTTTATTCTCTTTTTTATCAAAAAGTTTTCACTTGACGCTTTTACTTTGTTGCAAATTTCTTAATATTAAGCAAAAGCTTTAAAAATTTAGTGATGCTTTCATAATTTTTCTTCAATGGATCGGCCTGATGTTCCTCGTGAAAATTTCCAGCACTTTTCGAGTGCAAGTTCATGTCATCATAAAGCAAAAATGGGACTTTGATGTAATATTAAGTGCTATTTTCAATTACATGTTACTTTAATAATAATAAATTAATGATGATTATTTTGGGTTTCTTAGACTCTGCTATCTAATTAGACCACATAATATTACTATTATTATTATTAAGTAATTTTTAACAATAACTTGGATTGAAGTTATTGAATGCAACTATTTCTTCCCAAATTTGAAAATTGTAATTGGTGAAAAGTCATAAAATTAAATTATTTTTCCTAGAAACTTCTAACAATTTTATTGAAATTAATTATCTCATGCAAAAATGCCAAGCTAACTTAATTTTAAGCAACGAGTGCATGTATGTATTAAAAGTGCCTTCTGTGCAATTATTTCGCTACAAATATTATGGTTTTTGCATCTCCAGTATTCTTATTGGTTTCTTTCAGGTTCACCTGGCAAACACACCTTGGAATCCATCAATGTCTGTGCCACATGTAATCTTTAAGATGGTTGATGGTTCCACTCTGAATGAAAAATTTGGAGCAGCTGAAGTTGAGGTATTTCATAATATTTATGAATTGCCTCGGCCTGAATTGAAAGGCCGAACAAACAGTTGTCGTCTGGCAACTTTCTTGGACCCGAACAACTTTGTGGTTTACACGAAGCAAATGTTGTAAGGATTTTTTATATAATTTTTATTCTTTTAACAATTTTGCCCCAATAACAGACTTAACAAAAAAGAAAATAAGTCAAAATTTTACTATGTGTTTTAAACCAAGTCCCGCGATTCGTTTCAATTTTTAGACAAGTTTTGATTTATATTAGACTGCAGCATTTTTATAGACAATCATCATTTTTTTGTCATATTATGTGGTCGTCTGGCATACACTTACAATTTTTGTCCTTTTACTCCATTGCACTAAGCTATTTTTGTTTAAAAAAATTGTTTTGACTTATTAAAAGATAATTGAATCAGCAAAACTTTTCTGTTTTATATGATTTGATATTTTTTAGGAGCTTATTTATACCTTGATTTGAAATTGGGATATGATATTGATTTTTGTTGTAATTTACGCAAAAATCATGAGGGAATACTTTATATTTGATTTAATTGGCATCTTGGATCATAAATTAAACTATGATGCAGTTTTTGTACATACACACGGTAAGGGGTGGCAGAAGTTTTTCTTTGTAATCAAGTTGGTTAATTTATATTGAAAATAAAATTGTTTTTTAACACAAGGCACGCCAATATTTATAAATCAATGTTAGAAAGACTAATATGTGCATTTTTCAGCAACATCCATGAGATCATTCTTATGCGCGCAAAGTCGCATTTAGCAAGAAACTTCCCTTTTCAAAAGGCTAATTGGTGGCACCTGAATGACTTGGTTGTGGTTATTAAGGAAGATGGAGACGTCCAGCGTGGTCTTCTACTTTTAGTCGGAACTTCCAGCTGTGTCGTTTGCCTGGTGGACATTGTTGAAGTGACGGTATGAATTCATTTATATTTTTAGAGGAGTGTTTTTAATTGCGATTTTAAGATGCTGCGTGGACCAAAAAGCAAGTGCTGTCCAGCGCGCATTAATCGAAAGGCCTTCAGTCGCGGTCATATAGTGTTCTCCCCTTTTAACGCCAATTCTTAAGAGGGCTAAGAAATTTCTAGCCGCACTTTCCATGGAAAATGAAAACAGTTGTTTTGTTACTTCAGAGGTCTAGTTGTAAAAAAAGAACAGAAATAATTCATTGTCAGTGGTGACTATATTCATTTAGAGTAAGAACCTTTTTATATCAAAAGGGTTTTTTTAGAAGTTTTTTTTTTTACCAAACAAAAGTCTCTTGGGAGGCGTTTTTCAAATTCTTTTTCATAGAGGAATAGAAATTTTTAGATTGAATTTATTTTGTATATTAATTTGTGGAAATTAAATTTTTTTAAAGTTCAATATAAGGCACTTTTATATTGAAAAATTGTTAAATATTAGTTTATATTGATGATGTCTCTTAAAAATCAATAATGAAATGAATTACATCATCATGACAAAGAAATCATACATGTATGCAAATTTTTTCGTTTTCCTAGGTTTCAGTATTGTTTGGAAGAATGGGCTTTTTAATTATTGTTCTCTATTAAAATTCCAGGCAAATAGCCTTGAACAGAGCATGTCAGAACCGAAAAAGCTATTTGTGATAAATAACAATTTTTTTCCACATGTTTATTATTATAATTTTTATAATTCAGGAGGTGTCGTTGGAGAATATATACTGTTTGCCCTGGTCGTACCTTGTGGCTCCAAGAGCTGTGTGGTGTTCTTTTCAAGTGAAAATAAATAACTGGGCCAGGAGCGACTCTGAAAAATTCCAGCAAAAGTTCAGAGCTACCAATGAAGTAACTTTCATGCGGCAAAATGACGCCCAAAAGTGGGTTGTCAAGATGGTGTCTGAAGAAGATTGGGACAACGACGCCAAAGACTATTTAATTAGGACAGGTCTAGTCAATGAAGGTATAATATACAGTATTTATTTCGTAACCACGAGGACACTTGTATTGATACTTTTACGATTCTCTTCAACTAAATGTAGCTAAGAAGACTAAGGTTAGTCTCAACCAGGCGTTCAAAAATGCCTACAAGAAGAAAGAAAAAGATCCACAAAGATTTTTGAAAGTTCAATCTAAAGTTACTAAGAAGAGACTGCAGCGAAGGAAAATTAAAAAGGAAAAACGTAGGGATAAGGGTCTGCCACAATCTTCAATTCAATAGCACCAGCGGTAAGAATATATATAAATATCCAAATTGAATAAAAGCTTATCTATATAGATTTTATTTTTTTGGAACTCCATAAAAAAGTTTTTTTTTCAGGCCTGCGTATATGTAAATGCTCACAACTAAGGCACAACTCGGCTATACTCTTCAAATCAACTCACCTCACTTCGGGACAACGGAGAGCTGCGCTGTCCAACCCACTTTGGACACCTTGGACAATAAGCGTACCTGAATACACTGGCTTGCAGCTCTCAACAAAATTTTAGACTCTGAAGCGTGCACATGATGGTGACGGGAGGTGATTAAAGTCTGCATTTTAAATTGTAAAAAAATGATTACTTTTATTAACTTTGAATACATAATTTATGAGTTGTCTTCCGAGGGATGTTGGGCAGACTTTTGCGGTGTGTCCAGAGCGCTGGGGATTCTGTCCCTGGCCGGGTAGATCAGGGCCAGCGCCTTCTTCCTCTGGATCTTCCCGCTCAGCGTTTTCGGCAGTTGGTTGACAAAAGTGACGCAGTGCAGTTGTTTGTACGCGCTGACACTCTCTGCGCAAAAGAGATTATTTACGAGTTTCAATCTTCGTAATTTAATAATTAAAAAAGGTGGAAGGGGCCAGTGAGGTCATGTTTAAGTAAGGCAGCTCTACGAATATTAAAAGCTATCCAACAAATACAACTTTTCCATAAGATTCAAGTCATAGAAGTGTAAAATATTGAATATTATCAAATTTTCTGCTCCGAAATAAGAATGAAATGAAATTATTTTCATATTAGTTCAGGAATAATTGAACTCTCATTGATTCTTAAAAGGTCATTTTTGCTTTTTGTATCAACAACGAACGCTGACCTGAGACGGCTTGCATGACCTTGGCCTCGGTCAGGTCGCTGTGGTCCTGCCTGACGACGAGGGCGTGCGGCGTCTCACCGTGGCTGGGGTGCGGGACGCCGACCACGGCCACGTCCAGCACCCCCGCCACCCTGGCAACGACGCCCTCGAGCTCGGCGGGCGAAATCTGGTGCGAGTTGAACTTGATGACGTCTTTGATTCGGTCGACCACGAAGAAGTAGCCTTCGGGGTCGAAGAAGCACAGGTCGCCGGTGCGCAGCCAGCCGTCGCGGAAGGCCTCGGCGCTGGCCGCAGGGTTGTTCACGTAGCCCAGCATCACCGAGTCCGACTTGACCAGCAGCTCTCCGGTTTGGTTTGCCGAGAGGCGTTCGCCGCTCGACGGATCCACCACCTGCGGAAATTCTTATTAAAGAATTCTTTTTGGCAGATTTCAAGCCAAAGCAAAGGTCTTAAGCTTCTTTACAAAAAAAAAATCAAGTGAAATTTGGATTGAATCATCAAAAAATAATTAAATTTACACCTATCAGATGGGCACGAATTTGTGATAATTGGCAAAATGAGCAAAAACGGTTTTTTTATCTTTATTATGAATTAAAAAAAAAAATCTGAGAAAAGAAGGCGTTCTGCATTTTAAATTTCATTCCTAAAGGTTTGGACAATCTTAGAAAAACTTTTCAGCCCAATCGGATGAGGAATATTTTTGCTAGATTTTTTTACTCGGTGACCTCTAGACCTTTGACCTCTCAGGGTTGAAGAGGTAAAAAGAATTTTTTTGTTTCCAGCCGCATTTCTGTATTTCAAATAGAACCAGACTAACCAGAGGAGATATTCTATTTTTAATTTTAAACTTCAGTTTCCGGGAAAGTTTTTTCTCGACTTTTCCAAGTATTTTTCCTGCTCTGATTTTTATAAAGAATTCCACGACCTGTGCTTCGGTTTGAAAGGTGAGCAGTTAATGCTTCAATAACCTTGCAGGAAAATCCTCTGCAGACTTTTCCTGGTGAGCCAGGTTTGTCCGCGCGACTTTCGCCGGCCAAAACGGTGAAGGTGGTTTCGGTGAGGCCGTACGAGTGGCACATTTGCGGTCTCAGCGGCAGGTTTTCGGCCTCTCTGCCAAGTTTCCCAACCTCAGCGACCTTCACCTGACCACCTTCCAATTCTCCGATGGTATGATTTTAAAATTTTAATGAATTCTTTACCTTCAAAAAAAAAAAAAAAAAAAAAAAAAAAACTGAGCAGGACATATAAAAGCGCTGAGCGGGAGCTGCCCCAACCTGAGGACGATCAGTTTGATGGAGAATCCTTACCTTACAGAGAAAGGACTGCGCTCGCTCGGAAATTTGGCTCTGCTGCAGCAATTAAATTTGCTTCGGTGTTGATTTGGAGGACGAAGATGAACCAAGAAACGTTGTCGACCATCAAAAAGCATTTGAATTGCTCCCCAAGCTCACATCCATCCTCCAATGGGACTATGGCGGTGGTTAGCAGATTAATTTGTTTTTTATTGTGATTTTATAGCTTTTTTCTTTACTTAATAATGAACATAATTAATACATCAAAATTTTGGTTAATAAATTGCTACTCTCCCTTCTTCTTTTGAAACCAAAAGATATATAATTATTGTATTTTTATGCAAAATCTTAAATTATTCCCAACAAATCACCCCAATAACAAAAATTTCTTCTTTCTCTTCTTTAAATTATCCTCAGAATTACAACAGTTGACATTCCATTTTACCAATCCTGCGCCTTTTCTTGATTGGTTGATGATGAGATGGATTCAATTAATGTTACAGACGGTCCTCATTCTTCTTACGTGGCAAACTTGTCCATCCCACAGAATCCGCCACAGTCATTCATGTTGCAAGAGGTCGGGGTAATAATCAGTGGCCGTGTGCAAGAGTAAGTGTTTTTCTAACTTTTCTCCGATTTCAAAAATTTCTCTATTTTGCTACCAACAGCATTACAATTCATCTTCGTGAACTGACGAGGATGATCTGCTGTGATCTGCCCCCGGAGACCTATACACACAACTACCCCTTTTGAAATCGCTGCACGAGCTGCAATTCCCCTAGGACTATCTGACACTGGAACTGGTGGGCTCAAGACTGGTTGAAATTGACGTTACAAACGTGGACTCTTCTGAAGATTACGGCGTAAATGTCGACTTGAGTAAAATTTTGGTTTTGTGCCCTAACCTTGAAAAGCTGCATCTCTGCGCTTACTTTTGTCAAGAAGGCCAGAAGCACCATGTCGATCCTTCCAGGTTGAAGCTGAAGGATCTGCTGCTGGCAGCAGATTGCCCCCCTGATGACAACTAACACTGAAGATGATTCTGGTATGATCTTCTGGGATCTGTTGTTGGCTCCAAACCTCCGAAATGTCGGCCTTTTCTGCTTCCTCTTCACTGAGCCAAGGGCCCTCCTCGACTTGGCCTCGCCCTTCCTGCAGAGACTGACCTCCCTCATGACCAATTTCCACTTCAAGTGGCCCACCGAGGAGACCAAAGACAGAGAGTTCCCACAAGCCCTAGACACGCACAACGAGCTGCTCTCGGGGCTCATCAGAAACTGCCCCCATTTGGAAAGTGTTCAATGTGATATTGGTCTGAGGGGAGACGATGAACAGGACGATCTTGAGTTTCTATTGACAGATGTGTCTCCAGAGTGGCGCCGAATCCCCAAACGAATGTAGGATGTAAAAAATTATTACAGACATTTTTTTCTGACAGCCAGATCATGCATCACATTTTCAAATTATAGATTCTTCCAATGTGTCTTTTCTGTCATTTATATTTATAAGGAATTTATTCTGGCATTTGCAACTGCTCAAAACAAGTAAGGTTAAGGCTAATATAAAACAAAATGATTGACTGACTATGCCAATATGTGCCTTTGTACCACGGACGCTTATAAAATGGTCTCTGAGCTTCCTCATTAAAAAAGTACAAGTTTTGAACTTTTAAAGTTCCTTGTATGCATTTGTTTAAATAGATCATAAATATATAAAAATCGGATCTCGTCATATTTGTCATCGCGGTCCAGTCATAGAATTAAAAAAAATAATAATTTAAATGGAAACATTAATTGTATATAATTTTTTCATATACTGTTATTATGAGAGGTGGATGAAAGTTTTATCACAGAGAGATGAACTAATAAACACAAATCAATAAATTGTGAAATTTAAATTCTTGCTTGCCCGTTTTATTAAATGCTTCAGTAACTTTCATAAAACCTTCCAAATTTTACTTGTATCATTTCACTTAAAGCCAAATGATATCCTTGGAGATGTTCTTGGTTGCAAAATATGCTAAATTTCAACAGTTGGTTCTTGTAAAAATTAGCTTCTGCGTCAATTATTAAAAAATAGAATGGTCGAATGGTGGTGATGGTGACGAATTATTAAAAAAATTAAAGTTTGATTTCTTTAAAAAATGTTTTGAACTAGTAAATAAATAAAAATACTTTTTATGCACTTCTACAAACTGGAAATTAGTATAAACATTACAATTAAAGAAAGTCGGACACATAATCAAATTATTGGAAGCTTATGAATTTTTTGAAGAAAACAAATCCAATATTATGAAACCTGACACAAGAACTAATAAATTGTGTTAATTGTGTATTCAAAGCTAATAAAAGTAATCATTTCTTGTATAATTTAAAATACAGACTTTAATCACCTCCTGTTACCATCATGTGCACACTTTTGTCCGAGTTTAACATTTTGCTGGCCCTGTCAGAGCCGACGATGGCCGCGAGCCGCTGGGCGTCGTACTTGGAGTACAGAACAGTCACAGTCATGTTGGACGAGCCTCCCTTTTTGCGATTCTGGTTTGCCTCCTAATTGTTTCAATAATTATCAAAATTTTGTTTAATTTTAAAATGACTCTGACCTGCATGAAATTGCAAAGCTCAGGGTAAAAGTGGGGGAATGTTGGCGGCTGGTAGAAGATCAGGTGTCGGATTCCTTTGATTCGGATGCGCCGGAAAAAGTGGAATCTTTCGCTGTACAAAAGAAAGTGCGCCTCTTTGTGGAAGAACATGTCTCGGGCTCTGGCGATTTTCGCATCCTGCGGAGAAAATTTTTTATCAAAAAACAAAACCAATTTCTGCAGACGGACCTTGGAATATTCGCAGATCTGGACAAAGCCAATGTCCTGCTTGTTGAAATGGTTCCGCAGTCTGACGTAATCAAAGTAGGAGGGGACGTAGATCAGGGTGTGGCTCATCAGGGTGTACCTGAATTCAGGCAGAATCTTGGCAAGGAAAACTTCGAAGCGATTTTCGATGCACTGCCCGGCGGAGGCGGCTTCGATTTTGTGAAAGACCTGAATTTCTCAACCATTAGTTCATTATCTCTTGAAAAAACTTTGAAACCGACCTGCGGAAGGTGGAGGACGACCTGGCTGATGGAGCCGAGTTTGACCGGGTTGGCGACGACGGCCCTTCCGGCGTAGTTTCGGCAGCGCCGCCGCATCAGGGCGGTCAGTTCGGGCAGCTGGACGGCGGACAGGACGCAGGTCTGGCTCAGGTACTTGGAGTGTCCGGCCAGGGCGGAGAAGCGCAGCCGCGAGAAGTCGGTGCTGTGCGTCTGCTTGGGCTGCAGGTGGAGGTGCTCGAAGGTGTGCAGCACGTGTTCCCAGTTCTGCTCGAAGCAAACGTCCGCCTGGTCCAGCACCACCAACTCGAGCCCCGCCAGAAAGTCAAAGTCCCTCTTTTCGTCGCCCTCGGCCCCGATGATCATCCGCAGGCCCAGCGGCGAAGCCACGATTATGTCCGACTGGTAAAAGTCCGTGTACAGCTGAAAACATTCAAATCAATTAAAGGGCTTGATCAACATCAAATTTTAATCAAGTAAAAAATACTGAAGATTCAATTGTCAATTGAATTTGAATTCAAATTGACAAAGTTATTCCAAAGTTTCCCGAAAAACAAAGATGGCTGCCACTTTTAAATTGAAACCCCTTTTTTGTCCAAACAAAATGTTCTAAAATAATAAACAATTGAAAAATTACAAATAATTCTACCAGGTTCTCAAATAGACAAAACATTTGATTGAACCGAAGTTGTCCTTTAAAATTTTGTACCTTGAGCCTCTTTTTGGTGAAGGACATTCCTATCCTGAAGTTATCGTCGGTGTTTCCTCGAAACAGAATCTCATAGTCCTCAGGTTTGGGATTCTTCTTGGGCAGGGCCAGCTGCTCCCCGGTGAATTCCTCAATGTACCTTTTTTGGTTCATCACAGTTCCTTTCTGGTCTCCAAGCAGGATCGAAATGATCATATTTATCGTCCTAAAACCAAAATTTATAGTAATTTTATTTCAAATAAAATTTTCCAACCTGTAGGCCGCGTCCTTGAAGGGCAGCAGGACGAGCACCTTGGGCCTGACGAGACCCTGGTCCCTGAACTCGTCGGGCACCTCGGCCCTGGCGGCCATCTTGGCGTTGTGCACCAAAATCTTGGCCCTGGTCTTGAGCACGTGGTTGACGGCGTGCAGGCAGTAGACGAAGCGCAGCTCCTCGGCGTTCCGGACGCTGCGTTCGGCAAAGTACAGGTCGTGGTAGTTGTTGAGCAGGGCAAAGACCTCACCCTGCAGCCCACTCAGGCCTCCCTCCGCAACACCAGGGTTGGCGAAAGGAAGGTGGGCCTGGATTTGCTTCTTGACAAAGAGTTTAGACCAGTCCGTGGTGCTCGAAGATCTTTGGGGCACAGTCGGCGGCTTCAGATAAACCTGAGACAAAAACAAAATTATCCTCTGCCTTTCCACCTTTGAAAGGGTACTTTTTTGTCCTGCAGCAAAAGGAGGCCCTTCTTCTTCTCTCCGGCCGGTTCGGTTTGGACTTTTGGAAGGTGGACTTGGACATGGCCCAAGTTTGGCCAAAACAACTTGGTCATTTCCAGGACGGGCGGTTCGGCTGAGATCGCGGACAGAAGCGACGAATCGAATTCCCCGTTCAGGTGGAGGGTGAAAGGGTCCGACGCCAGGGTCGATTCTTCCTCCTGAGTTGGAAGAAAAATTTATAAAAATCAAAATAAATAAATTAAAAATACTTTTTCCTCCTCCGTCTCATCTTCGTCCTCCTCATCGAAAACTTCTTGTTCCTCCTCCTCGTCAGGTTGATTTGGTTCCTGGGCCTCCTCGAGGTCCTCCTCGTCGCTGCTGACGACCTTGTTCTTCTTCGCCAGGTCCATCGTGCCCAGCAGCTCCTGGTACGGATCCTCGTCTTCTTCCTCCTCTGAACTGCTGCTGCTGTCCTTCTTTTCAACCTGCACGTCCGCCTCCTCGTCCCGTCTCAATTTTCCGCCCTGCCTGTCCGAACCGGGGGCCTTCCTCTTCTGTCCGCGCTTCGGCTGGCCGCCTCCCCGCGATCTGCCCCTCGCGCCACCCCTGCGCAAGCCTCGGCCCATTCAAAATTTATATCAAAACTCTGGATTCGAAGAAACGAATTCGCTTTGTTTATTTTTCAGCCACCCGCGTTTCGCATGTGTGCCGAGTGGGAGGGGAAGCAGGGCTGCCAACCGCTATCATACCAACATGATACCGTTGAGCCCGCGAAGAGGAACTGCAGGGGGTTGTGGGGGGGCAAATCAAACCTCTAGAATAACAAGTAATTATAGACTTCTTTTAGCAAAATGAGAAGACTGGGAGTAAAATCAAAGTAATAAGGAATAATTCTCGTTCGATTCATTTCAAACAGTTTGAAAATCTCGCCCAACTCGCGCAATTTGTGACAATGAGAAGAAAAAAATGGAAAAATAAGGGCAATGTATATTGAGCACAAAAGAGGGAAATAACACATAACAAAATTACAATCCTGTTCTTTTTTATTGAATTGAAAAATCCAACAAGTGTAACAAAATTATTATTATTATATTGAATGGAAAGAGAATCCTTAGAAAGCCTGAGCTCATAAATTTGATTACATTTTTTCTATTTTTTTTTTTTTTTAATTGTTTAAATTATTTCAATCAATTTCAAATATTATTTTGTTCTTTCATGTAAGATGATGCGCCCCATGATAATAATTACGTAATTTAACATTAGTTAAATGATAAAAATAGCATCAATTCACATATTTGAACACTACGCCCATTTTCTTGTAGTGTCGTTTAAAAAACTGCTATTCTGGTGCAATGATAAATTAGGATATATTAAAAAGTACCAATATAAGAGGGTCTTATATTATTTGAGCTCTCACGCAATATTTAATAATATCATTAGGAATAATAAAATTGATCCACTTTGTGTTCTGAACACAAAACTTGTTATCAAAATATAATGCCAGATTGACGCAATTAAATAAAGGAAATAAAAACCTATAAATCGCCTCGACAAAAAAATTTATTTGATTAAATTTTTATGCAATGCAATTGAATCATGTGATGCTTTAGAGAAGAAGACTTCATTTTACTTTGGCAGATTGAGCATTCCACTGTTACTTTTGAATGGACACCCGTCAAATGTTGCTTTAAGCTACTGCGATCGTAATATTTACGATCGCACTCTGCACACCGGAACTTCTTTTCAATAAGGTGATGTAAATTTGTCAAGTGCTTCCATAAATAGGATTTCCTTTCAAATTTTTTGCTGCAATGACTGCACTCAAATTTTAGCCCCAGACAAGATTCATTTGCAAATTTTAATGCAGCCTGATCAACGTTTTCTTTGTTTTTACACACGTGGTGTCGGTTTATGTGATATTTTAGTAAACATTTCACTGGAAACTCTTTTGAGCAAAATTCACAGGTCAAATGTTGTGCGTCACAATCTCCCTTGTATTTTTGAAGCAAACCAAGACATTCAAATGATTTTCCACATATCTTACAAACTTTTTTGCCTAAATGATTTTTAAATAGACCTTTACTGATTCCCTGATCACATTGCGGACAGTGCTTGAAAGTGTGATATTTTTGGACGTGACTTTTAAATTTCTTATTATTATCAAAAGTCTTTGAACATTTTGAACATTTAACTGATGCACTTGACGTCGTTTCGTGACTGTATTTTATGTGACGACTCAGTTGATATTTTTCAATTGCTTTATAATCACAAATTTGGCACTTGAATTTCTTTTCATTTTCAATCGCCATGTGCACTTCCTCGAAATGAGAATCCAACTCTGCTTTTGTGTGAAAATACTTTCCGCAACTTAAGACTCGACATTTAATGAAAATATTAGCATGCACTGTAATACTATGTCTTAGCAAAGTACTTTTCAACCTAAAAGACTTCCTACAATAAATACATATGAATGAAGTTTCTTTTAGTTTTGAGTGTTCCTTAAGGTGGACGTCTCGGTCTTCTTCAGTTAAGAAATATTTGCTACATTTCCCAAAACTACTCGGAAATTTACATCTTATTGCAATTCTACTGTGAATTTTTTCAGTATGCTTGACTACTTTACTAACATCTGAAAAATCGTACGGCTAAAGTACCAGCTCATGCAAATTTCTCCCAAGTGGCAACCAGACTTAAAGAGCAGCACTGCCCGGACCTCATCGGATCACCAAGGGAAAACTTCGAGGCCCCTCTTCCAGTAAATCTGCCTGACAAGTCAAATCTAACTGAGCCTCACCTATGTATTGAAGGAATTGAAAAGAAAAATATGCTGTCAAACCAAGAACTAAAAAACAAGACAACTGAACACCTCAAGAAAAATTTCCCCCTCTCTGAGTGGGTCCATGTCTTCACCGACGGCTCGCAAGATAAAACAACCCAGAGAGCCGGACACGGTGTCTACTGCCTCTTCTTCGAGGAATCAACCCCCATGGCAGAAGGCGCCAGCCACTTTGACGCGGAAGTCGCAGCTATTGCCAGAGCAGCCCAGAAAATTGCTGAGGTAAAAAACTTCCCCCTCAATAAGACAAAATTTGTCATCCTTTGTGACAGCATCTCTGCAATGCAGTTCATCTGCCAACCTGCAAATTTGCATCCTGACTCACTGCTCTTCAAAATCTCTCTCGTCAATCTACGAGCAAGAAATCACCAACTCGATCTTCAATGGATCCCGAGCCACTGCCAAATCCTCGGGAATGAAAAAGCAGACTTCCTCGCAAAAGCCGGCACCAAAAAGATCTGCAACCAAATTAAGGCCCTCACCTTTAACAACGTCAAAAAGAAAATCAAATCAGCCGCCAGCAAACTCTTTAAAAACAGCAAGGAGGAGGCTGCCAAGCTCAAAAGCTGGTGGACTGAAATTAAAAAGGGCCCAGACAAAGTATGGTCTCGCAGGACAGCAACAGCACAATTTCGCCTAGCCACCGGCAACGACGTCCTGCAGCACCACCTCAACAGATTCCAGATTACGAAAGATCCAGCCACCTGCAAACTTTGTAAATTAGAAAATCAAGACAGAGCGCACCTCATTAGATGCGCCGCTCTCAAGAGTGACATAGACTCCCTACCAAATGATTTGAGTAGGACAGAAAAAGAAGCCATTCTCTACTGGATAGCAAGAAAAAGAAATAGCTGAAGAAGCTCATCTCTGCACAAGAAAAAAAACCATCTGAATAGCTTTTATCGCAATAAACACATTTTGCTTTTCGAATCACGTCCTTGGCCTTACTTTTGGCAACTTCCGCTTCATCCGTTTTGGGCTTACCAAGTTTTTTCAGAAGTACCCAGCACTGCTTCACTTTTCCATCTTAAAATGAAAAGTTTTAAAATTAAAATATTCCTTTCCATTGTGCCATTTTTACCTCTGTAAGCATCAAATAAACGCGATTCTCCTGATCCAGCTTCCTTTGGCCACCAGCGCAATTCCTCAAAATGTCCAATGCTGTCCTCGCTTTCAAGTAAAAACCTAAACTCGAGTTAAGAATAATTTGATCCACGGATTGTTAATTTTGAGACTCACTGAGCGTCCCAAACGCAGAAGCAGCAAATGAAGTCGTCTCGGTGCAAGTCCGAGGCGAGCGTCGCGCCCAAGAAGTTGAGACTCCACTCTTGAAACTTGGCCGCGTCCAACTCGGCCGCCGTCGGCCGCTCGCAAAGCCGGCACAATCGCTGCCCAGGCCGCATTTTCAAGCTCAACAAGTTTTGTTTACAAATTTTCGCAGCCGAGTGCAGGGGGAGGAGCTTCTTTTTTCAACAAGAAAACCGCGAACGCAGGCCCACGTGCTTATCTCACATGGAAACTGCAGGTCTCATCATTTTTTTAAATTTTAATTCTATGCTCAGATTTTATTTAGTGTAATTTACGGCAATTTTCTAGAAATTAGTCAATTTCACATATAACCACGCGTTTTTAAATAAAACAGATTATCAACTACCAAGTACAAATTACTTTTATTGAATTCAAATATTATGCAGAAACAATTATCTGCAGCTCAATTTTTTACCAGCTTCGTGTCGGACCATTGGATGTTCATTTTTATCCCTGAGAATTTAACGTCCTCTAAAATTGGAATGGCTAAGTGGTCCTGCATTTGTCCGAGGCAGTAGGCGAGTTCGTGCTTTAAGAGAGCCGAAGGGTCGTCGAAGGCCTTCTTGATGCAGTCAATGGCAGTAGCACCGCCGATGTTCTTCAAAGTAAACAAATTAAGCCCGGAACCGCTCTTTCAGGGGCCTGTCCGGGTTGTTCAGCACGTCCCCTATTTTCAAAATTTTGCTATCGTTGACCTCCGGCATGTTTTGGTCGGTTTATACTTAAGAAATATAAAATATGGATATTTTTAAAAGGATATAAACGTTAGCAAAAGCCATAAAAAAAGCATGCCGTTGTTGTTGTTGTTGTGTTTGTATTTTTTGGCTTTGGTGGTGACCATTCAGCCAGATCTAATTTTTGACAGGTCTAGTTTTTAGTATCGTGCTGCAGGGAAGATTTTCTTGTACAGCTCATGCAGTTCTATGTAGATTTGCTTATTTTGGGTTGAGAGGATGTTTGGGAGATTAAAGGGAGGCCGGAAGTTGTTTTCTCTAAGAGTTCGGTTAAGCTTAGTACGTGCATGCACTCCAGTATCGTGGGCAGGTAAAGATCAAGTGTTCAAGTGTACAAGGATTTTGTGAGCAAAAGCATGCAGGAGAGGGTCTTAGTTTCCATGCAAACAACCTATCTGGTGTAGTGGCATGAGCAAAGCGCAGTCGAGAGAGACGGGAGTAGAAACCTCTTGAGAAGCCAGGGAGTCAAGACATAAAGGGGCGTAACCCCTATTGCTAGATAAAGTAAAATTAATGTATGTTATAGTCTCGAACAAATCAATTTTTATTTGTTATTGGAGATCACGAGACGAGATCACAATTACATAAATATGTAATAGTAATGAGAATAAATAATTTTTTTTGCTGGTATCACTTTTATTAAAAATTTTAATTCATGTTTCAATTCAAATAATAAAAACAATAATCATCCTTTTCTGTCATAATTATAGTGGAAATTAAGCAAAGTACAACACTTATTTTGTTGATCTAGTTTTTAGTTACATATGCGCCGCTAATACTAATTAAGAAAAGCAACATTTTGAAAAATAAAATCACATTTCACAGAAAGCGTTGATGGACTTCAAAAAAATATTATTCTGCTATTGAAAACTCGGATGCACCAATTGAAAGCAGTTTTGACAAAAGATGAGGATTAATTATTTAAAACGTTTTATGTGTATGAACTTTTTATAAACGATGGGGTTCTTCAGCAGACTCTACGTGGCGTTGGATGTTATCAAATGAGACCACCCTGGCTCTCGACCAACAAATCGCCATATCTATGAACATGTTCATACAACTCTCTGATGGAATTTTCCAGCTTATTGATAATATCGGCGTGCCGAGCCTGAATGTCCGCCAAAATCTGTTTGGCCTGCCGAGTTTCCAAAATGATCCCCTCTGTAAACACAGCGGAGTTTCCGGTGTTTAAATCAATTGCTTTTCATTTGTCTTTTAGCCAGTAATTTCTAGCTGTTGTTGTAATCTGTCTTTGAGTATCTGATTGAGTCGCTTTCAACACTGCTAACCTATATATCCTTCGTCAGCCGTTTTAAACAGATGCTTCCTTATCATCTTGACTTACATATAAGAATTTCATTCACAAAATTAACCATCAAAATTCAATAAAATTAGGGAACCAAGATCATTAATCCTTAAAATCAAAATCCCCACGATTCGCTGTTTATCCTTTAAAAATAATGGTGACCTTTCCAACTTCTGGTCCAAGAGGCGAGTTATGCAGACGCGTATAGCAGAGATCCACACAAACACACACCTTCACGTAATTGTCTTTTCCCGTCTCATCGCCACTTAGATATGTCTCATGCCTCTAAATGAATTTCTTGCCAGGCTCAACCCAAAACGTGTTGGTTTTTGCTTGTCTTGGGTCGAGGCGCAAATTCATATCAGGGGGGCTAAAAATAAATAATTAAAAAAGATATAACAAAATGAGCAAATATAGTTTTAAATTACCATTGTGGCTCTCCAGCGTACTTCAGTTGATGGCGTCTGTTGCATTTACGCAATTCTGAGCAAATATTGGAGAGGTTTTCTCTCGCTTCAATCTGGGAGAGTTATTTGGTGACTTTTTGATCAGCAGCCCAAAGATCAGTAGCAGCTATAAAAATATGAAATACACGCTAAAGATTGATTTAAAATCAATTTTGCTGTTATTTACCTATTACAGCTGCTACTTCTCTGGGGAACTCCTCATCCAAAATAATCGGCATACTTTCACTCTCATTTCGTCGAGCCTTTCGACTCAACTGAGCCGTGACTAGGATGCGGACCCCTAAGACGGAGCGAAAGATCTTTGCTTGGTAATGCTTTGCTGAAGCAGGCTTCTCATCTAAAATTGTCTGGTATCGCATCATTGGGGTACAAAGTCCCTGGGTCAGATGAAACTGAAGATAAAGATAATTCAAGTAAAATTTAAAATAAAGTACAATATTAAAACGTTACCCAGATTTTGTCCAATTGTGTTAGTGAGGGCTTCTTGCAACCAGGTGGGAGCTTCTTGCCATCAGCTGACGGCTGGGCTATAAAACATAATTTATGCTTTTATATTATTGAAATATAATCTAGTGATTTATTACCTTGAATTACTTGCACATTAGCAGGTACATGCTGGACAAACTGTGATGGAACTAGTCCTCTCTCTTTGAAACGATTCTCGGCCTGCCACCAAAGTGGTCTTGAGGCGTCAGCAATGAATACTACAGAAAAATTCAAACAAATAAATAGCTAAAATAAAATTCAATGTAAAATATAATATTCTTACATATTTCTCCTTCAGAAAATGAGAGTTCTCCTTCTTTTCCGGCGAAGTCCCTCATGCCTTTGACCTTGAAGTAGTCGTTGAGAGGCTGCAAGTAAATGCATTGAACTGTGACCATATCTTGATCCCTAGTAGGCTTTGTTGCTAAAGATGAGTCCATGAGAGATGGAATTTTTCTAAAAAAATTATTTCATTTTACAAATGCAACAACGCATGTGAATTTATTTTTTCGTACAGTTTTGATGTTGAAGCACTCTCCATTTCAATCAGGTTTTGGTTTTGGCGAAATCTGTGTCGTGGCACTCGTGGCGGCTTTATGTCAATCTCCTCAATATCATCCAATATACATAGGGAATCATCCTGGGAACCTTAGCAAAATCAAACCATTAAAATAGCTTAAAAACTATTTAAATGAAGATGAAAAAGCTTACCTGTTGTTTCCTCTGGTTTGACATCTTTGAATAATTCCTTGTGCTTAGCAACAACACTCTGGTATAGTTCACAGTTGAATTCAAGTCTTTCTTTTTCCAGCGACTCCATAAATTTCCTAAAGGCTGGGTCATCATACTCATTCTCAGTCTTTACCTCATCCACTGTCAACTTGGGATTCTCTTTTTTGTTGCTAGCCTCACAATCAGCGGGTTTTCTAGAAAGAGTACAAATAGGAAAAATTCAATAAAAAAAGAATAGATTCAAGAAGCTTTCAATGGATCTGGCTTGTGTTTTTCTTTTTTTTAGAGCTTGGCAAATATAAATATTGCATACATATACAAAAAAATTTGTGTGCTTACCTTGTCACAAATTAATCGGCAGGGTTTTCATTTTGATGGAAAATTTGGAATGAATCTCTTGGTCCCTGCGATTTCTGTCCCATTTCATTAATCACAAGTAATATTGTTGGATCATTTGAGTCGCGGACTATCACTAAATATTTATTTGTTTAAAAAAGAGGGGAATTTAATATAATGTGATATGTTACATATGTCGTTGACTTTGATCTCCATAGTGGCCGTTTCAAGGTCCTTAACAGCACGTGGACAAAATATCCGTGGTCAATGTTTACGCTCATCGCGACATCTGAAAAAAATTATATTTTTTCTATTAAAATAATATAATGCACCTTTTAAATGCATAACAGGCCAGAAGAAATTTTCAATCAATCAACACACAGTTGACATCAAATAATGACCAAAATCAATTAAAAATTTAATAATCAAATATATCCAACATTTGTTTAAAACATCAAAGAATTATATTTTATTGTTTATCCATAATTTTTTTGAATATCCATTATCAATGTACTAACGCCTTTTGCCACTTGGGGGCGCCTCCGAGGGGTGGCCTGAATTTACCCTGACCCTCCCTTAGCCCGTATTAGGCCGAAAATGGGCAATAATTAGATCGAAATCACACATTTTGCTCCCTTCCGCTAATAAGAATTGCCTTTGAATCACCCCTGTATGGCTCCAATGTGACCGGGGAAGTTATCTGGACAACCCCTCATTTTCTCGCCGCCGTGCGACTTGGGGTGATCGATTCTCTTAATTATAAACCAATATGGCTGCCCCAAAAGGACAAACACCACCCTTTTGCCAGTTCAAAATGAAATTTTAACATTGAAAATTCACAGCAATTCGCCTCAGCGCACCAGTGGGCCCAAATTTAAACAAAAGCCGTCCCAGCGGGGGACCCGTCGACCGATTGAGGATTGAGATTCGCCAACTTCGCCAACCCCAAAATGCCGAAATTCGGGTACCGAATGCACCAATAAAAAAAACGCATTATATTTTTGACAACGGATTCGGAATGAGCCTGGGCGAATTAGTCCAGAACCAACTGGAAAGTCGCACTTTGCCGCAACTCGAGTGGATTTTCGTACGGACGAGTTTCTTTGCGAGATAATTCTTCATTAATTCAGTACCCCCGAGAGTCCGCTCTGAAGTAGTTATTTCAGTTGCGCCTTTGATTTTGCCTTTTGATCGCGTTCGTTTCTATTGTAAATTTTGCTATTATTGCCTATCAATTCACATTTTATTTAAAATTAAAATTCTAATCTGCTCAATGTGTAGGACGAAATTATTTCCCCCAGCAATTTCCACCCCAATCTTTGGATGCATTTTCAAATCTGCATGTTCATTCTTTTAAGGTTTGAAATATTCCTCAGACTTTTCCCTTGAAAATTTATTTGTTTGATAAAGATTTTTATTTTGAATTATGAAATTCACTTCACAATGAGCGGCCACATTTTTTACAAACATATGGCTCACTGAGCACTTTTCCTGGCATATTTTCACCACCAAATTTACTTTTCCTCTTTGCGCTATGCCTCTTTTTATTACTAATTATTAAAATATTTCAAATTGCATAAACGATAATAAAAAAAATGGTTTAATTATTCATTTGTGCAAAGTTTCAAATATTAATTTTGCATTCTAGGCCGTTCCAAGGCAATGTGATCTAATTTTTTTTATAACATCTGGAACAATCTGGAAGTAGTTCAATTTTGTAGTATCTATTTAGTGCAACGCGTTTCAACAAACTTATTTAATCAACAAATCAGCGTACGGAAGTTACAAATCACCCCAAGGTGCGCCTTGCACAGTTCTTTGATAATTTATTTGCCAAACAATTTCCGGGCCCTCTTATTTTAATACTGTTGGCAAATTTTGGATAACACCTGCTTATTTTATTAAAATATTATTTTCATGTCTCTTGGAAATGGCACCATCGGTGGCTGTGAAGCCTGCTTTATCCAAGGGCCGAAAACGCAGATTTGCCTTTTGGGCCGATAACACGGCTCACCTTGGACCCCCTGGGCCGGGGAGAAAGGAGTATAGGATAGTTTTGGTTGTTGGGAATCGCAAGGAGGAAAGTGAGCGGCTGCGGCCCGTGAATGTGAACTATGTCGGATTTAGCCTGGAATATTTTGCTATAATTATTTATCGAAAATTTTGCTCCTCGCCAAATTAAAATGACTACACAAGTAAATTTTTTCCATATACAATTTAATTCCTATAATAACTTTCTTAAATTTAATTATATTTGTATATTGAACTATTTTGCAATTTTAAATTAAAACACACACTAAATGAAATTTTAAGCACGCTAAATCATGAATCGGTTACAGCGCAAGCTTGACGAACCCAATTTTCAATGAACACTTCCACATTTTTGTCCCAACCAATTTTACATCTTCAAATCATGAAAGAGGCTGGTACTTGAAATTGTTAGTTTAAAAATATTAATTTTTATTTTAAAATGGTTTGTTTTTCTTTTTCTATTTTGCGGATTTTTGTTTTTTGATTTTATTTATCACGAAATAGGATCGCAAACCGTGACAGAAACTGGTAAAGGCATTTGTTTTTAGATAAAAAAATTTCTGCAACGAGGAAAATGCCCGATATATTCATTTCCATAAAATTTAATAATTTGGAATTTATTTGAAGAATAATATAATATCCACCATTGAAAATTTAGGCCATTCAAACAAAAACACAAAAAATGACTTTTAATTTTTTAATTTAAATTTACTTTCAAATTGATTAAATTTATGAAACAAACGCGCTCAGAAACTCATGAACCGTGCGGGAGGAAAAGGTGTTAAAGAATGCAAGATTCATTCGCAATGTGAACCTCCACTCAGAATAACGTGCGAAAATGAGAACAGACGCTATAAAATTTTTTTTTCATTTATTGCCTATTCCAAATTTGGAATTGGAAAAGAATGCAAGAAAATTATTAAATCAATTCGCAAGTGCAGACTTTTGAAAGATAAATTAATCCTTATTTTTGTACAACAAATATATTTTTCGCCAGTATATAATTGAGGATAGTTTAAGAATTTAAGCAAGAGTGGATTGTGCAAGAATAAAAACATTTGGTACTTATTTCTGTCAGTACAGTAATTACGTAATTACTATCAATTATCATTTGTAAAAGTGGATAATTTTTTTAAGTGTATCAAAGAGCAAATCCTGTAAATATAGTTAATTTATTCCTTTTTTAAGCCCAAAAAACTTATTTATATGTCACGGTCCCTGGAATTTTTAAAATAGTTCCTACACTTCAGTGAATTAAATCTTATAATAAATATTTTACAACAAAATTAGCCCATGAAAATCTAAATGATTGTTGGCAAACAATGGCAAGCGCGAGTGGCGGAAAAGTGTCTGGCACCCAGCACACACACCCAAAGATTTTTAATTTAACCCTTCTCTATTGCCATCCAACTGTTTTGATAACCGAAGGCGAAGGGGGTCGTTGGCTTCAGGAGGCAGCGTTCGGGTGGGGAGCGCCCGAAGGAGGGGTTGACGCGCGCTCGCAGCTAGCTCGGGCCCTGGTGCTCCGATCGGGACGGGGTTTGCACCACCGGGACCGGCCCTCGCTCAGGGTGCCGTATCTGAGGGTTCACTGACAAGAAGAATTCTTGTTCTCTTGTATCATGAAAGCGCCATACTCCAGCTAGACCGTCGATCGTTCCAAGGTCATTGACACCAAAATAGATTCCCTTTTATCAACACGACTAAAACCCTCCAATTGAAACTTAATTCGTCTAGATTCACCAACTTGAAATACAAATTCACAATTTTTTTTCTAAAATTCCGTGCGCAATGACAGCGTACAAGTTAAGGTTTGACACTTTTTTACTCCGCGTCAAGCGAGGCCTCCGAAAAAAAATAATTAATAATTATAGTTCATAGTTCAGAATTTAACGCTCTTGTCATCTCGATAATGACTTAAAATTCTTTTATTTTTTGTATCACCTCTTTACAGCAGCTTAGATAATAGACAAAATTTAGAATTAGTTTTCGAATAGGAATAATTATAATTTTTCGCCTGTGATGGTTGAGGTAAAAAAAATCTGTTAACACCTTCACAATCAGCATTAATTAAATAAACGAAAAAATAATATTTAACGTGGAGCATCTGAATTGTGCAAAAGCCGCGACCTTTTCAATTCACCGCCATTGTTATAAAGCAAAGAATGTGCACAACACTCAAGGAAACAAAATATATTGTAAACAAAAGAGTATATCGCAAGATATTAAATATATGTTTGGAATTCTAATTGCAAACCAATTTGCATCATTCTTTTGCATTATTGGAATCAATAAAGTTATTAGACCTTGTTCAACTTTGCAGTTTAAATCTGCGAGGAAAGCGACTTGATTAATTATATGTCTCAGCTTTTTTTTTTTTAGCTCACATTCGATCGCACCCACTTAGGCTGGTAGGCTACGATTCTAAAAATAGTTAATAATTTGACATGCCTTTTTGACACTCTTCCGTAATAGTGAATAAAACAATTTGGACTTGGATTTAAATTGAAAAAAATGAACGAAAAGAATCAAAATGTGGAATTAGCACTCGTCGTTTGGGGAAGAAAATGAATTCACTATTGCAGAGAACCCAATTCACGGGTCATTTGAAAGAGAGAATTCTGGAAATGCATCCAATGCGGCGCGAGGGTGTAGAGAGCGCCGAAATTTCCGATCGACAAATCTTGCAACTGAGCGACCGAACGCGAGGAAGCAAAAAAGCGCATTTACTCCACGAATAATATTCTTTGCGTAAAACGATGCCCAAGAGCTGCGTGCATCATTTGGTTTAAATCAATTTAAAACTGGTGCATGTTTCATCAAGTCGAAAAAGTAATCGGACAATAAATAAGGAAAAAAGCGCTCTATACGATAGCAAAATCGTACAGAGTTATTGTTTTTTAGCAAAACAATAAAAAAAAACAATTGGGTGGTGCCTTCTGCACCACTAATAAAGGGCACAGGCCGACAAGACTTTGTCTTGGCCTGACCCTAAAAAAAAAATGAAATAGATAAAAAAAAATTCCTCCGCATCTCCTCGGTGAATTTATTTCAAAAATATTAATTTTCATAGCAATAACTGAGCAATAACGTTTTTAATCAAATGAATCCGATTTTCATTTCGCACCTTTAGAAATGTAGCAAGTGCCAAATATTTGAAACTGATATTTCTTATACAATTGTAAAAAGGGAAATGAAAAATAAAAACACAAATTTCAGTGGAACACAAAACCCTTCATCGGTCTGTGCTTTACCTGCAACAAGCAGATTGAGCCACGTCAAAGGAAAAACTTGTGTGCTGGAGAAAGAAGCATTTCAGTCGCTGTCCATCTCCTTCAGCGAGAATTTATTCCCTGCGCAGGTCAAAAGAGAACTCATTGCAATTTGGTTTTAATTTAGTATCGCATTTAATGCATGACGGGGCTTGCTTTTTCTATTTAATCCAAGAAATCTACTATTCATAAATGAGCAAAACTATGGATAATTCAAGAATTGGAAATTTTCTTGAAGTTGCCTCTCAACGCGGTCGATCTTAGATTCTCAGAGACTCATGTGTAAAGACAGCAGAGTGCATTTTAAAGCATTAAAATTTTATTTATTATGTGTTCCACTCAAAGCTCTAAATTGTTACACATCTTTTGTATTTTGGTACTCTCTGCAGATTTACAACTGCAAAATATGCATACGTCACGTAGTTATTTTTTTTATATTAAAAAATAATTTTTTTTACACAGCGACGACCATTCCAGATTTTTATTTTTCGTTTAGACTTTTAGTATGCTCTCTGAAAATTGAGTTTGAAGCAGCAAAACATGATGCTCTTTATTAATTATTAAACAAAAAGTAATGTTTTTTTTTTATCAAATGTCATGGCAGAAAATATCTTTTGTATCTTTCAAATGGTTTTTTTCTCTATTCTGCTTTGGCTATAAATTGCGGATAAATTGTGATTAACAGCAATTTAAATGTTTAATAAGCGCATTGAAATAATCTCTAAAAAAACGTTGTTTTCAAAGAATAAAAATCAATAATATCCAATTCGGCCGCTCTGGTGGTTTAATTTTTCTGACACGGCACGCTAAGAGCGACCTAGATCTTCTTTAAAATGCCTTTTGCAGGTTCCAACAATGCTGCAGCACCCTGAGCTCACTCCTTTGAAAACTCAGGTCCAGGTGACCAGCTATATTTCATGTGCTCCTGGCATTGCAAGACTTCAAAATCATTTATCGGAATAAATGCGGAGTCAACGATAAATTTACGAACAATCACATTAATCAATCATAAATTATATCTCAGCAGTAATAAATTTCAAGGGCGTGTTTTTCGTCGGTGTCTATAAAATAAAATCGGCTGCACACATTTGCTACTTATGCAAATGGCACTGATTCGAGTATTGAATCAAGCGAGGCAAGAATAATGCTTTTTCCGCTCATCTCTCGCTTCGTCGATCCGAAATCCACTCAACGTGGGCGGATGATCGCCCGCCTCGTACGCGAAGACTTACAATTAGGCCACATTTAGCCCGCGCCTTATAAAAATACAGAACGGAATAAAATATAAAATTCTCAAAGCTTATAAAATAAGACGCACTTTTTCGGTTCAGAGAAAAACTTTACAATACACCCTGGTTGAAAAATAAAAATGAGGAACAAAACAGAAGGGAGGTGAAATCCAAGACGACTTATAATTTTCTTTTTTTTCGCTTCATTCTTATTCTAATTCTTTTGAAATTGTGTGAGGAAGGCTGCGCGTGTGAAGGAAATTAAGGAAACGTTCCATATCAGAGTCTATATTCATCATTATAATTTATAAATCAAGTTTTCCCGCAGAATCAAAATCAATGCTGTGAAAGTGGCTCTCGTCGTTTGGCGCAGAAAAGGAATTCAGAGGTCGAAGGGTCATTTGAAAGAGAGAATTCTGGAAACGCATCCAATGCGGCGCGAGGGTGTCGAGAGCCACGAATTTTCCCATCGACAAAACTTGCTCCTCGCGCGCACTGCAGCGACCGAACGCGAGGAAACATCGCAAAAATGCACTTTTCACCTCGGTGAATAATATTGTTTGAGTAAAACGATGCCCAAGAGCTGTGTGGCCGAAAAACGTGCATCGTTTTGAATAAAACGGCAATTTTCGCTCTCCTGCGCGATATCTTTTGCAATTTAAAAGCGTTGGCACGGGCGATGTTATTTCTATAAAACTAGTGCACGTTTCATCAACAAGTTATCGCAGAAGAAATGAAAAAAAAAAACGTTTTCATAAGATAAGTAATACAAACGTTTTTGATCAAATCAATACTGATGCGATATTATTGAATCACCGCACTTGGAACGTAAATCATGAACATTTTCACCAACCAAGAACGATAAAGTGCGCGTAGACGAAAAATTGGTAAACTCTAAAGTAGTTGCAAAGAGCTTTTCCTTGTTGTAAAAAAAACCGCCAGACCTGCAGCCAGCGAAAAATCTTGCGCTTGATCTTCATAAAAAATCAAGAAAATAGACAGGATAACTTTATTTTGTGTTTGTACTGAATTAATGTTAAAGATTTAATTTTTAGTCAGCAGTTCCCCAATAATATTTCAAACTTTACAACAAAAATTTCATTTGGAATTTATTTATCAATTTAAATTATATTTTTGGGTCACTTTTTAACTGAAAACTTCAAATTCAAATCTAATTTTATATGAAATCACTTTAATGTTCACAAGACAAAAAAATTTGTTTTCAATACATGTATTTTTATTTTTAATTATATTTAACCGCTAAAATATAACCAAGTTAATCTTCAGTACCTTCAACTAAGTTTAAGAAATTTCAACGAAAACCTTCATCATTGTCGTTTGAAATTCGCAATTAAAGACAAGTCTTTAAATTTCTGATTCAATAAGGAATTTTTCTTTTAAAATTGACGAATAATTAGTTTCTACATTTCTTACTGCGGTGCATTGGGTCTTTATAATCACTCGAATTTAAAATTCTTTGTAGTTTGTAGGAGAGCTAATTTATTCATTTTCACAAATTAGCAACATTTGATAGCTTGAAAAATACAGCAAAAATAATTGATTTTGAATAATTTTGGCCGGAACTCATAAAAATTACAAAAAAAAAAAAAAAACATGAAAATATAAATATTCTAATTTTTTGATGATTTGTTGATGTAATATTTCAGTCAATTCTCAAGTAAGTTTTTTAGCCATAAAAGAAAAGTTTAATTTTATGACGTGATGGAGGCTGAATTTCGCGCAAAAATTAAATTCCAATCGTGAGCGACCCAGCACAACTGCGCAGAGAAGAGAGTCAAACGCAAGCAAATGGGCACGAAACGCGGAATAATTCCACTCTCGAGCTAAAAAATCTGCATCATTTCGATCGCAAATGGCGAAATGAAGGAAACGCGCGTCAAAAGAGTGCGGAGTTTGTTTTATTTGCGCCCTCCAAAAACCATTGTCCGGATCGCAGCGCAATAAATTAAGAAAATTCCAAAGCAAAGGAGAAGGGATTGCTCACAATCAATCCGATTTTTTAAGTTCAGTCGTTCTTGACTGCACGAATTAAATAATGCAGGCTTTGCAGGTGCGGTTGGGTTGTTCTTTCCTAGAGTTAATTATTCAGCAATTGAACGCACTTGAATGGCTCTCTAAATGCGCTTGACAAAAAATGTTGCGCGCCAAAGATAAAAAAAAAGCTGTTTGTACTCACGGGCCGGTCTTGCTCGTGTGCGCGCTCAGGTCTCGGACCGCTGCAAGAGTCAAATACTCGGCACACACAACAAGTGTGACGAGGGAAGGCAAGATCAGGGCAGTCCTGGGGCAGTCTCTGCGCTGGGGGCGCGCTCAGCAGTCTCAGTTCGAGAACCACGGCTGCACAGGCAACCGACTCCAAATCGTCTCGCTGAAACAATACAAAAAAAAAAATGAAATGAAGCACGTGACACATATTATCCCAATAAACGCTGCAAAATTATCAACTTGGAAATTCTCTGATTTTTCATCCTGCGAGATGAAAAAAAAATCGTGGCGCGCGCATTTGATTCAATCAAAATCTTCATGATAGTCGTTCGTAGGTCATCGACCATCACGCGATTCCCTTTCATCAACACGTCCACGTAAAACCCTTTCAGGGCGGTCTAAATCCATCAACTTGATACAATTTTACAACTTTTTTTCTTCTGAAATTCCATGCGCACCGAAAGCCTTCAAATTTAGCTTTCGCACTTTTTGGGCTGCAGATTTTACACAATGCACTTCTCAAATGGAAATTTTACTCCGCCTCAAGTATAGCCGAGGATAATCAAATTCAAAATGATAATTTTTTTTTCGCAGAAAAACGCTCTTGTGTTCTGAATCAGGACATGGAATTTATACGTTGACCTCTCGTCTCTCCTCTTGACCATCAGATTTGAGATTATTGTAGAAATTTTAAATGAAAAATTGGTTTTCGAAGACAAATTTTTATTTTTTCATCTTGCTCTAATTATTTATCACAACACACGCAATCAAGTTTTGCTTTATTATTATGGCGAATGATGAAAATTGGCCGCTACCCTGACTGGCCGCGCTCTCGGCCAGTGCCAAATTCATCGTAGGCAACGCGCGGCACTTCCAAGTTGCGCGTAACGCATCATTGCGTAAAAATGGTTTTAATTTAATAAGTATCATATTAATATTAATTAATTATTTGACCTCTTTGTTTATTTTATCTGTGTTTTGATTAGTCAGAGATCAAAATAAAATATCAGATTAAATAGATCATAGATTGACGCAAGCGTTTTCCACAGCCAGTTTGACAAACTCCTGCTTAATTCCGTCCGAACGGGCCTGTCGAGATGGCAAATATGCACACCCACGTGACCATAAAATCGTCTCTTTCATCTGTGAAGATATCATGTTGATAAAACAATTAGAACTATTGTTTTTTCGGAAAAACCAGGAAACCCCAAAATCCTAGATGGCTTCCGATCGGGCATGCTGAAAATTCGTTTTTCGGCTTTTGCATGCAGACGGAATTACGGAAGTGATAATTAGGGTATATCATTTTGAAGGGCGCGCAAAATCGAATCTTCCTGTACCAATATTGAATTTCCACGAAACGAAAAGTTTTCAGACTCTTAAAAGTTCAATTTTTCATTTTTTTACTTCTTTCGGTCAATATTACCTCTTCTGATAATCGAGGCCAAAAAATTGCTACACCTCACAATCGCTATATGCATTATAAAATTGAATAAAGAACAAGTAACGAGAGGAGCATCGAAAGTGTTTGTAGTTAAATTAAATTCCTCCGCTTTTTAGCCACTTGGCCGAGTAGGTTTCCAATCATGTTCTCATATTCTAACTATTCAGAGACGCAATCCAAGGGTCATTTCAAAAGAGAGGAATTCTGGAAATGCAACAATGCGGCGCGAGGGTGTCGAGAGCGCCGAATTTTCCCTTTTCTTGCTCCTCAGCGACTGAACGCGAGGAAGCAAAAATGCACATTTACTCCACGAATAATATTCTTTGCGTAAAACGATGCCCAAGAGCTGAGCATCACTTGGCATAAATTATTTAACACTCGCGTGCATGTTTCATCAACTCGAAAAAGTAATCGCAGGACAAATTAGGAAAAAGAAACCCTGACGATCGACGATCCTGCGCCTCTCCTCGGTGGAATTATTTCAAAAATATATTAATTTGCATAAGAAAAAAAATAATGCCAACATTTTTAATCCAATGAACACTGATGCGACTAAATATTGATTGCCCACCTTTAAAAATGTACGAAGTGCCAATTTTTTGAAAGTGATAATTCTTTTGCAGTTATTCAATTTTATTTTCAATTATAAAAAAAATTGAATGAAAAAAAAAAGACATTTCGGCAGTCTCATCGGTCTGTGCTTTACCTGCAACAAGCAGCACCCTTTTCAGATTGAGCCACGTCACAGGAAAAACCAAGTCCGGCGACCCAATGCATATTATGTGCGCCTTTCAAGTGTGAAAAGTGGCTCTCGTCGTTTGGCGAAGAAAAGGAATTCAGAGGTCGAAGGGTCATTTGAAAGAGAGAATTCTGGAAACGCATCCAATGCGGCGCGAGGGTGTCGAGAGCGCCGAATTTTCCCATAGACAAAACTTGCTCCTCAGCAACGGAACGCGAGGCAAAAATCACAAAAATGCACTTTTCGCCTCGTGGAATAATATTCTTTGCGTAAAACGATGCCCAAGAGCTGAGCATCACTTGGCATAAATTATTTAACACTCGTGCATGTTTCATCAACTCAAGAAACTAATCGCAGGAGCAAAAATAAATGAGGAAATAAAATAAAAAGAATAAAAGCTCAAGACTCGTGTTTGAAGAGCTGAGAGCATTTTAAAAATAATAATTCACGTGTTCAAGGCAATGCTCTGAATTTTTCAAAAACTTTTGTATATTGGTTCAAATTTCCACTTGCAAAATATAACGTAGGACTAGCAGTTTTTTTTTTTAAATAATTTTTTCCTAGCAACCATTCCGCTCTGACCTTTAACACGAACACTGAAAAGTGAGTTTGAAGCAGATATATCGCATGCAATTTACTATTTATATGTTGCAAAAACAATAAGGCTTCAACAAAAAGAAATGTTATTTTTTTGTGACACAGCAAAATGAAGCACGTGTTATCGCGGTATGATAATTAAATAAATAAATGAAGAACATTTAACGCATCTAAATTGTGCAAAAGACGCGCATTTTTTCGCCAATTCTCCGCCATTGTTATGTAGCTTAAGAATGTGCCCATCAATACGGCCCAACAATTAAGGAAAAGACAAAAAAAAATGTTGACATAGAATGGTTCAAAAGTGCTGAAAAGTATTGGATGATAATAAATAAATGTTTGGAATGAGAAAATCAACATTTTTATTATTTCAGTATTTCGCATGGAAAAAAAAATCTGTTAAACTTGGTAAATCTAAAAAGTGACTTGTTTAATCGAATTTCTCAGCTTTTTAGCTAATTCGAACGGCCCCAGTTGGTTTCCAATCTTAGTCTTATGGGTTTATGTGACAGCCGATTTAAAATAAAAAATAACAATTTGACGTGCTTTTTTACACTTTTACGTATATAGTGATCGAAATGAAATTAAAATGGGATTTTCATAGCAACAATGAACGACAAGAATCAAAATGTAAAAGTGGCACTCGTCGGTCGGCGAGGAAAAGGAATTCAGAGAACGCAAGCCAGGGCCATTTGAAGGAGAGCAGAATTATGGACACGCAACAATGCGAGGTGTCGAGAGCGACGAATCTTCCGAGTCATGACAAACTTGCTCATCCGCGCGCACTGCAGCGACCGAACGCGCGAAACGTTATTTTAACGCAAAACATCGTTTTGAAACTGGTGCATGTTTCAAAAAAGAAATCGCAGAACAAAGTAAAAAAGCGCTCTTTTTGCAATCGCTACATAATTATACTGCGAGTCTCACCTCGATGACAATAATTAAAAAAATTATTATCTTGTTTGAAAAAAAAAAAATATTGCCAACGTAGAAGAAGAATACTGAAGCGATTATAATATTGAATCACTGTGAACGTAAATTTTGATTCACCGCCGATATAATAAATTTCGAAGAAAAAAAAATTGTAAACTCGGAATTAGTTCAAGTGAAGAGCTCGGGCTTTTCCTCGGAGTAAAAAGTTTGTATTTATTCAAAAACAAAACGGCTCTACCAGTTACGGTCTCGATTTGCAACCCTATTTCGTGAGCAAGAATAGTTTCCCCTTGATATCTGTGGATTAATAAAAGTAAAAAACTTAATTGTTTTTCAATTTTGTTTTAAGAATTTTAATAAAAAAAAAAAGATATTGCTAAACGCAGCCGCTCCGCAGATAATTTTTGATCTTGAATATTAAGAATAATGAAGAATAATAGAAATATATTTGTATCTCTTTCATTGTTGTGACGAATGAACCATTTCATAAATTTATTATTGATTTAAAATTATTGTGCAAACTCAACGAATTTGAAAAGAAACGCACACTGAGAAGGTTTTCACGTGCGCAATCTATTATTTTAATTGTAAAAAATAATTATAATAATAATATTCAGAGTGTAATGCGTCGTGTTATTTTGATAATTTAAAATTTATTTCAAATGATAAAACATGTGAAAGTTATTTAATTTTAATATCAGGCAATGTAAATGGATATTTATTTGTGGAAAAATATTGCATATTAATTATTAATAGATAGTCCACGATTGAGGTGTCGCGCGAACAAAGTTTACATGTGAGGTCCACGCAAATTAGACGCGTCAACGATCAGTTCACTGGGCGAAATTTCTCTTGTACGTTGCTGGAGTTGAATCAAGTTCTGCTCTGGCGAACTTTGCCATGACCTGCGGCCAGCGAAAAATCTTCATAATCAAGAAAATATTTTATTTTTGCCGATTTGTTAAAAATTTAAATATTTAGACACTTCCTGATCAAATTTTAAAGGAAAACTTTCATTTGAAAGGTATTATATACAATTTTATTTATTAATTTCATATCATTATTTTTGGATCAAGTTTTTTTACTTGCAACTTCAATGTTATCTAATTTTATAAATAATAAGAAATAACATAAATGTTCAACGAACTTAGAGATTTTGTTTAAATGTGTTCATAAATTTTTATTTTTCATTACATTGAACCGCTTTAATAGTAAAGTTAAATTTTCATACAACTTTGTAGTGGTGGTGCCTTTTCCTCCCAAAACAACTTATTCATTTTCACACATTTTCAAAATCTGAAATGATTGGGGAAAAAATTGATTTTGAATAGTTTTGGCCGGAGGACTGTACAAAAAAAAATTACAAAAAAAAAAAAAATTAAGTATGAATATTGAAATGTAAGTTTTATTCTGATTTGTAGATTAAATTTTTGAGTCTGCGTTCTCAAGTATAAGTTTTGTAACCATTCTAGGAAAGTTCAATTTTATTGAGTTAAAATTATTAATATAAGATAGCAATATTTATATAATAATGATAGCGACGTAATATCGTGCGCCGAAAATTATATAAAACGAAAGAAGATTCGCGTGAAGTTCCTTGTTCAGCGAAGAGTGCGTTCGCAGGCCCAATCATTGGACAAACTGCGGATCAAAGAGCGAGCAACGCATTAAGTGCCGGTTCCTCTCTCGAGAGGATTTTGTCCAAAGTGCCAAAACGCATTTCTGCATCGCTTTGATCGCAAAAGGTGAAATGAAGAGGAAACGCATCAAAAGAGTGCGGAATGCATTTTGCTAGAAACGCAAAATCATTGCCAAGACCGCGCGCAGCGATAAATTAAAAAAAAAAAAAAAAAAACATTCCAAAGTGCGCGGCCTGAGGATGAGAGACTCGATTTCGCAGGATTTTTAAAAATTATAATTCGATGATATAAGAGTGCAGCTGATCTTGACACGAAATTTAAATCACGGCTAATTCTTTTGTAAAATTATATAGAAACTCAAACAAATCGAAAACAGTCACAAAAAGTAGGAAGCGCTCGTCTCGGGTGAGCGCCTTCAAGGTCGAGAGTCTGCTGAATGTTCAAAACTCAAATAAATATAAATGTGAAGTGGAAAATAATGCAAAGAATTTAAAGAGGCGCGCGGAACATTTAATAGAAGCGCTGAAAGTCAGCATAAAATCTCGCATAAAATAATTATGCACTCTCAAAACGAATAATGTACGGAACGCTTACTAATATAACAATTGAAACTGCGATTGGAGTCGCAGGGCGCGCACATTACATACCTTTTTCGAGGAAGCCGCGCTGAAGCTCACGTCGCGCGCGCGGCCGCTGCGTGCTGCGTCGCTCGAGGGGCAAGCCAGGCTTGAAGCCTCCGGGCCGGGCCGCGGGGCCCGTCTCCAAAATGTCGTGGCTACTGAACGTACAACGCTCGTCTTACTTGATCGAGGGCGAGCCACGTGGAGACTGGGACGAGCCGACGGACGGAAGCAGCAGACTCGGCTCCTCCCCTCTCCTGCCCCACTCCACCGCGCGCACCAAGTGGCCAATGGTGGAGGGGGGACATGGCAGCCATAAATGAGGAAAAAATTATTTCTATTTTATAATCTTCAAAATGATGATTATAATTATTATGGTGCTGAGACAAAAAAGAAAATGAAAAAACTCAAATTAAAAATTGGAGTTTATATCCATTTCTATTTTATCGTTGTTAAAATAAAGATAGTAAATTTTTTTCTTTCAAATTTTCATTAATTCTAAGTTTTGAAAATAACATTTTAAACTTATTAAAAAATATCCAATTTTAAAACTTGTTTTTCAGATAAATGTCAGCATTTTAGTAAAAAATGTATTATTATTTTTTTTTAACAGAATGAACACTTTTGAATCAACCAATGTGACACTATGTTTGTATTATGAAAGTCAACCTCGCAAAAAAATATTGTAATGCAAAATTAAATAATATATTAAAAATAATAAGGGGTCAATTATTTAAATTTTTGTGATGCTGAAATATTAATTTTTGGGTCATTTAAAATTTAATTCCTACTCAATTAGAAATCAATATTTTGGTACTTATTCCAGCCTTTAAAGTCAAGTTAAATGTAAAAACATTTGAATGCATAACAGCTAAGTAAGTTGTTTACTAGAGCTGGCTGCCAATTCTCTCCCAATGTGATTTTTCTATTTTTGTTGACTAGTTGCGAGAGAATAAATAATGAATTGAATAAACTATACACATCTGCGCGAAGCTTGCTAAAGTTCAGCTCCTCCCGGCTCCCCCAAAAACACGAAAATTCGGTAGGATATTGGGACAGACTGTAACTTTTACTGATCAAATTTTCTTTTTCAATTTTGGATTTGCAATTAAAGCGAGCAAGTCATTTAACATTCGATATTAAATTGAATAGTTGAGACTGAGGGAGTTAGGTGTGCAATAGAAAAGCAGAGAATCCTTTTGGGTGTTGATTTATTGAACTGCAAAAATAAATATGCAAATTAATTATTGAGAAAGGAAAAATTACCATGTGCTTTTTTGTATGCACTTTCAATCAAAGAATTTTACATGAATTAAATGAATTACAGATTTGGATTATTGATTTTTACATTCAGCAATTAATCAGGAACAAAATAAGTTATGGAATTTTCACAAAACTCACCCCTGTTCGGGTTCAAATTTGGTTTAAATTGTGCACTAATTTTAGCGTGGTGCACGGCTGAGAAATCGCAGCCAACATGGCCGGCTTCGAGCACCTTCGCGTACCCTCGGGATTTTACCACTCAAGCGCCATCAAGTGGTGACGGCCACAGGGGACCCCCCTTTGAGACTGTAGGTCTTAAAATTAGTCTTCAAAAATTTGGGGAAATGCACTTGCCGACCGGAACGAGTTTGTCTCGGAGTCGAAGAAAAGTCTTTGAACTGCATGTCCGGAGAACTCTGCTCTGCACTCGATGGGTTTGTGGTCGGCGTTGCTGGAGAATCAGGAGGCACCAGAGACTCCTGATCATCAGGTTCAGTTTGCTCAGGCTGGTGCTCGTCAGGTTCAGGTGGAGGTGGTTCAGACTGCACCGCAGCCGGCGGCGCTGGATCATTTGGCAGGTCATCTGGGACCAATTCTGCTAGTGGCTGCAACTCCTCCACAGTGGCAGGTTGGTGCCGAGGTGGTGTGGAAGGTGCAGCAGGGAACACGGTGAACGTCCGAGTGTTCTCTTCCTCCGAGTCAGTATCCCTTGGTGGCCACTCGGACAGCAGGTAAGCTGGCTTGAGGCGGTCAATAGTCACCTTTTTGGGCGCGCCCTTCACCTCCAGGGTGAAGGTTTTCTCCGAACGCTGCAGCACCTTGTAGGGTCCTTGATAGGGGTTCGAAAGGGGTGGCTTCACTGCATCCACCCGCAGGAATACCTGAGAGGTGCGCGCCAAATCTGGGTGAACGAAGAACTTTCTGAGTGTGTGGTGAGAAGCAGGAACTGGCCGGAGAGAATCGAACGCCTTCTGGAGCTGAGCAGCAAATTGAGATTGAGACGCATTGTTTGGCGCCGGCTCAAAAAATTCTCCAGGTACTCGAGGGTTGTGACCGAGCACCAGTTGGGCAGAAGTGGCTGCCAGGTCCTCTTTCCAGGAACTTCTGAGACCGAGTAGCACAGCAGGAAGGGCAGCTGTCCAGGTTCGTTGGTGGCAGCGCAGAGCAGCTTTCAGTGGTCTATGAAGACACTCGACCATGCCATTCGCCTGTGGGTGGTACGCTGTGGTGTGGTGAACCTCAAAACCGAGTTTCTCACCCAGGTCGTGAAATACATTGGAGGTAAATTGTCGACCTTGGTCGCAAACCACGTACGCTGGCACTCCAAACTGGGCCACCCAGTGTAGTAGAAAAACGCCAGCAATCTCTTCGGCTGGGATGTCCGACAAAGGAATGACGACTGGCCATCTCGTCCACCTGTCCACCATGGTCATGCAGTATTTCTTGTTGTCACTGGAAAGAGGAAGAGGTCCAATGAGGTCAACATGAACCACCTCAAAACGCTCAGTTGGGAGAGGAAAATCTTTTAAAGGTGCATTTGTGTGCCTCGTAATTTTGGCTTGTTGGCACTCCAGGCAAGTTTTGGCCCAGGCGGTGCAGTCCTTCCTCAGGGTTGGCCACACGAATCGCTGGTTGACCTGCTTGATCGAAGATTGAACGCCAGGGTGAGCCAGTGTGTGGACATGGTCGAAGGCGATTCTCCTGAATTTTTCCGGCAGGAAAGGGCGAGCAGTCCCAGTTGAGACCTCGCACCACAGCTTCTTCTTGCTGTTGAAAATATTCTTCTCTTCCAGCAGCCAATGGGCAGGATTTTGCAGAATTTCCAGCAGCTCAGGGTCTGTCCGTTGGGCGTCGGCCACTTGGTCATAGGGAATGACCTGGTTGATGGCCTCAATCCTGGACAGAGCGTCGGCTACCACATTTGATTTGCCTCGAAGGAACTGGATGTTGGTGGTAAATTGAGAGATGAATTCCATTTGACGCTGTTGACGGGGAGAGCAATCCGGGTTATTCTTGGTAAAGGCGAAGGTCAAGGGCTTGTGGTCAGTTTCGATATGAAAATCTCGACCTTCAACCAGGTGGCGGAACTTCTTGACCGCAGCGTGAATGGCCAGCAGCTCACGGTCGTACGGAGAGTATTTTCTCTCGGCAGCAGACAATTTTCGGCTGAAAAAAGCAATGGGCTGCCACGCTCCGTCCACCAACTGCTGGGCGACGCCACCAATGGCCACGTCAGACGCGTCTGTGACCAAAGCCAACTGGGCCTCGGCTCTTGGGTGAGCCAAAAGGGCAGCATTGGCAAGGGCCTTCTTTGAGAGCTGAAAAGCTGCTTCCTCCTTCTCAGTCCATGGCAGTGGCTCCTTCTTCTTGGGGTGTTTGGGCCCCACCAGCAGGGAAGTCAAGGGTGCCAGGATGTTCGCAATCTGCGGAAGGAAGCGATGGTAAAAATTGAGCATTCCCAAGTAACGCTGCAACTCGACGGTCACCTTCGGAGCAGGATATTCCGTGATCGCTGCAACCTTCTCTGGCAGCACCTCAGTGCCAGCGGCGCTGATCTTGTAGCCGAGGAACTCCACACTGGCTGCTCCCAGGACACACTTGGCCAAGTTGAGAGTCAAACCATATTCCTCTAGTCTTCTCAAGACAATTCTCAAATGTTCTTTGTGCTCCTCTTCATCCTTGGAGAAGATCAGAATGTCGTCAATAAAAACAAACACAAATGGTAAATCTCCCAGTACCTCATCCATTAGTCTCTGGAAGCTCTGGCTTGCATTTCTTAGCCCAAAAGGCATCCAAGGGTACCAAAAGAGTCCAATTGGTGTAGAAACAGCAGTCTTTGGAATGTCCTCTTTGGCCACTGGAATTTGATAATATGCTCTGTCAAGATCCAAGGTTGAGAAAATGCTACAACCTGCTAAGGCATGGTTGCAGTCGTGCAGGTGACGCAGTGGGTATCTGTCCGGAATGGTCCGAGCATTGAGAGCTCTGTAATCGCCGCAGATCCTGTAGCTGCCATCCTTCTTCATGACCATATGCACTGCTGATGACCATGGACTTTTGGCTCGTTCCAGCTCGCCTCTCTCCAGCATGTCGTTGAACTGGTCCGTCAGAGCCTTGAGCTTGTCCGGAGGGAGACGACGGAATTTGTTGAAAACAGGCGCACCAGGTGTGGTGCTGATTCTGTGCACAGTTTTGTGCTTGGGCAGTCCCTTTTTCTTCTTGGGCAAAAACAATTCAGGAAAATCCTTCAACAGCAACAACCACTCATTCTGCTCCTCCTGGAGGGCTTTGACTGAGGGAGTGGTGGTACTGTGGGTACAGCCTTTGACCCTGAGAGACGTAAGTGGGTCTCGAAGCTCGTTGTTGGCAGGGTCAACCTGGAGTTGGAAGTGGCGGAGAAAGTCAATTCCCAAGATTGGTTGGTCCACGTCCGCAATCAAAAACGTCCAGGTGAAGGTTCTGCGCAAGCAAAGTGAGAGATCAATTGTTTTGAATCCATAAATATTAATTTTGGTAGCATTGGCCGCTCGCAAATTAAATGAGTTGAGAGGTTCTGTGAAACCGGACACCAATCTTCTGGGCAGGACGCTCACGTCCGAACCAGTGTCCACAAGAAATGAAAGTTTAGTTGCTGAATCAAAAACAAAAAGGCGGCCAGTAACAGGTGGGCAGGCTTCGGCCGCACTCAATTCTGCAGCCTGCCCGTCGAGTTTTTTGCCGGATCGGCTTGCTTCTTCTGAAAGTCAGCATACAACTTGCAAGCTGGGACGCACTTGTACGCCTCGTCAGCATACTTGGAGTGGTAGTAGCACTTCCCATCAGCCATCAACTTCTGAGCCGTGGAGTTGGAACGAGAGCGTCGACGGAAGTTGTTGTTGTTGTTGCCGCCTCGGTAGTTCGAACGTCCTCGAGGCTCATAAGAGACCGCAGCAGTGGAGATCTTGATGTCCTGAACCAAGTCAATCAACTTGTCAACTCGACCTTCCAGAATTGCAATTCTGTCTGGGGCTTGTTCAACAGCAGCCACTTTTGGAGCTGGTGGAAGGAAAGCGGCGGCCGCTCCTTCTGATTTCTTCTGCATCTCAAACCAAGAAATGAGCTCATCTGCTCGCTTCGCGGCCACATTCAGGTCTTCGATGGCCAACAAGGTGTTCTGCATTGGCTCCGGGAGGCCTTGCAGCCAAAGCACCTTCACGTAACTGTTCATGAAGTCGGAAGAAGATTCAATGCCGTTCCCGTTGGCCAACCTTTGCAGCCTGGCCAAGTACTCCGAGGGTTTGGAGGTGCCTCGCGGTTCTCCTGCCAACAGTAGCTTGATTCTCTCTAGATTGGTAGGTTCCGCAGCCTCCAGCAGAATGTCCTTGAGAGCCTGGAATGCACCTGCGTCCGTTTCCTTCACGGCCGCCATCTTCTGGACCACGGAGTCCTCCAGCTCGTCGAGAGGGATGCTTCCGAGAAGCTCACTCACCCGAAGAGGTTCATCGGTGATTTTATGAATGTTGAGTTGCTTCTCCAGAAAGGTGAAGTAATTCTTGGGCCTCTTCGGAGTCCACTTTGGTGCGACAAATTTCTTTTCCTTCGACATTGTCTCGTCAGTCGTCTTGTCCTCTGCCTTTGCACGGTCTGCGTCGGTCGTCTTGTCCTCTACCTTTGCACGGTCTGCGTCGGTCGTCTTGTCCTCTGCCTCTGCACGGTTTTGGTCACCACCCTCGCTCTGTTCGAGCTGGTCCGAGTTCATCAGGTCCTCAATCTTAGTGGTTCAAAACGTCTGGGCGCCACTGAGGGAGTTAGGTGTGCAATAGAAAAGCAGAGAATCCTTTTGGGTGTTGATTTATTGAACTGCAAAAATAAATATGCAAATTAATTATTGAGAAAGGAAAAATTACCATGTGCTTTTTTGTATGCACTTTCAATCAAAGAATTTTACATGAATTAAATGAATTACAGATTTGGATTATTGATTTTTACATTCAGCAATTAATCAGGAACAAAATAAGTTATGGAATTTTCACAAAACTCACCCCTGTTCGGGTTCAAATTTGGTTTAAATTGTGCACTAATTTTAGCGTGGTGCACGGCTGAGAAATCGCAGCCAACATGGCCGGCTTCGAGCACCTTCGCGTACCCTCGGGATTTTACCACTCAAGCGCCATCAAGTGGTGACGGCCACAAGACTTTCAGAAGAAAACTCACCATTTTGCCGGTGTGTGTTTGCCAGGACTATCACACATGCAGAGGTGACCTCAGGTGGAGGTTGTTGAGGGGGAAGGCCCAAGGGATGCACTCTACGACCCTGGTCTTTCCTCGATCCAAGGCGCGGCGGCGGGTCGAGCGCCGTGATCCAGCGCGCCCCTCTGCGGGGGTGGAGCAGGTGAGGGCGGCTTACCCTGGCGACGCCGCAACCCGGCCGAACCGCGGGTCAATCACGCGCCCCCCGCCACACCCCGAGGGCCTTAACAGGGGCTTCGTCGAGCAGCTCCAGAATGTCGACGGCCAACTGCGTCTGAATAAATAAATAAATATTTTCATGCAACTTATTCTTCAGCACAAGATTAAACTCCAACTTTCAAAGGTTTTGATGTTATTCTTTTTAATAAATTTTAATTGACACCATGAGGAAAATTATGATCTTTCAAAGCCTAATTTCATCCTTTTTTTTTTCAAAACTTTTTATTCACAAGGTTTCCCATTTTCAATCAATTAAGTTTGCAGAAAATTAACATACTTGTCTGCGCTCAGACATTTTGCGCTCACGCTCGCGCTCAACGAGATTCTGCGCTCGGCGCTTGCGCTCAAGTTTTCAAAAATTGTGCGCTCGCGCTCATTGTTATTTTTTTTTCGATGAATAATACCTACTAATTTTTTTTGTTTGGGAATAGAAAAATAAACATAAATTAGTCTGAAAAACGCTTTTTGAGAAAGAAAAAAATAATTTTGTTAAATTTACACATTTTTGTGAAAATGTCTTAAATTTTACATCAAAATTTGTTTAATTTATAATAAATCGTTGAGCGCAAAATGAGCGCCGCGCTCGCGCTCATGCACTCAAAAATTTTGCGCTCGCTCTGCGCTCAGGCCGTGAGAAAGACGACTCAATCACGTTTTGGCTCCAGGAGTTTGAGACTCTGGGCCTTCGGGCGCTCTGGTCAAAAAGACCTTCAAGGCCAGGGTAGTCGAGCCCCCTTCAGTTCATGTTGAGGTTTTCAATGTTATTAAAAATAAATTCACTTCAATATATTTTAAATATTATAATATTTATATTTTATTTAGTTATTTTAAACCTTTTTGATTGAATTATATACAAATTTAAATTTGAAAATGTTAAATAGAAAGCACACAGAATATACATAATAAGAAGGTGCTAAATGTAAAATATGTGATATGTAGTTAAATTAATGCGCCCTTTCAATTCACAAATAAAAGTTTTTGCTATTGTACATATTCATCAAAGTTCCTTCTTAAACATTATTAATTAAATTGATACTCGCAGTTTGATTTCATTACTGACTCGTATTGAAAATAAGAAAATTGGTTTTGTAAATAATTTTTAAATTTTTCCATTTTCAACTTTACCAGGAGCCATACCTGCTGAACCTGCGCTCATCCTGCTGCCACGGCGGCCTCGACTTCAGCCAACGCAGATTCATCTGCTGCTTGCTCTAAGGCAAAGAGCAAAACTTCCATAAAGTTTGGCTCCACAAATATGCCACCGAAGTCTGATATGGTATGAAAAGTAATATTTTGAGAAAGCTGCAATTTTTACATAATGATTGATTTCAGCCTGAAGGATGCCTGGAGTGCACAATCTGTGGAAAGAAGATGTTCGCAGCCACAAAATTGCAAGCGCACAAGGCCAAGTGGCACCCATGAATGAAAAAAGCTCATATGAGCATATTGTATGAAAAAAAATCAGTCACTTTTGGGTCGCATTTATATCATTAATTAAAAATTTTGGAATGCATAAAGATATTGTATTATTTTTTTTTTATGAAATGGTAAAACTTATTGCATTTGTTTATTTTGTTCCTTAAATTAAATAGATTTTGACTCATAAATAGAAATTGCTGTATGTTAACATTGATATTGAAAAAATATCTATCTTTGAAATAAAAAGAAAAAAAATGCTAGAATTTTATGTGTAATGATTTTTTTTAGCCCAGACTGCAGGTGCTATAAAAAAATTGCTAGCTTAAAGGTGATAAGATTTAAAGTTATGAGTGACTGTAGAGCTTTTGTATCTGCTGACCCTTGTCTTCGTTGAATCCTAACAATATCAATTATCAATAACCAACCGACTGAGAAACTAAAATTGCTGAGTTCAGAGAGGCGTTTCTGCTGTTTGGTGAAGATGGCATGCAGGGTTTTGATAAGGATGGCGCGCTACCATTTCAGCTGCAGAGCTTAGGCATGTAATGAACCAACTTGGGTGAGAAGCTGACCTTCGATGGTGACGGTGGTCAGGTCAATTATGAGGAGTTTGCCAGAAGATAATCTACAAGTGAGGTCTTGATGTGCCTGTTGGCTCTTATTTTTACTCGAAACAAACACAGCAGCACATTTCCTAAGATAAAACAAAAACCACCCACACACACACACATACTCAACGATGAATATCACTCGCCGAGGATATTTGTTGATTAGTCCGTCCTGCCCCGGCACCGCGGGGCCCATTCCAGAGCGAGCCGACTTTTCGCTCTCTAAAAATTTTATAGCACAGTACTAATTTAATTAGAATAAACTGCTAGTAAAATTTCAAAGAGATTTAAAGTTAATTTGAAAAACATTTTATTAAATGATGGTCAATATCAATAAATATTATATATATTTTGTTCCAAGAAATTGATGCTCGAGGAAATGATTATCGAAAAACCTGATCTCTTCATTCATAAAAGATTTATTATTCCTCGAATGAATAGTATTTTCCCCAAATGTAGCCTGGAAAAAACTCATGTCAGTCGGAAATTTTCAATGTGTTGAGACAAAAATTTTCTGAAATTTTCCTGCGGCTACCCTTCCTTAAGTAAAAAAGTTCCTTATTGAAAGGTAGCGTAATATTTATTTTCCTGTAGTATTTTTTCTATTTATTGTACAAACAGAAATGAGACTATAATGCAAATTATGATAGAAAATTAAATATTTCGAATCCTAAATATGACCAAGGTCCGCTAATCAGAAAATTTTGATTGTTGCTGCGAGATTTCTGATTGGGTACAACTACTTGTACCCAATCAGAGAGCTCAAACAATCAAATTTTTTCATTGTTGGTGTTGACGACCTTTGATATGATGATTTTTTTGGTACTAAATATTGCAATTGTTTTAAATGAAGGTAATTTTAATTAATTTTGTAGTTTTATCCAGGAAAACAAGGCAGAGAAAAATGTTTGAAATAAAAACTTGAAGCCAATTAAGCATATTTAAAATATAGTTATACTATTTATTTGGCATCCCCTAATTATTGACCGCCACTCTTCAATCCCGTTGCATGGCTTCTGCTATTGAACAATTCTATCAGAGAGTCGATGCTATGCTTTCTTTGAGTTGCATCAAGTAAGAATGCGCGCGTGCTTGTTCGATTAAGACAAAAAATGCGGTCGCCCCATTCAACTCTTGTTAATTGCGATCAACGGCGGCCTGAACATGCTGAGAATGAGCAAAATTTGGCTTCACCACCGCCACCCAGGTTTGCAACTGTGAAAAAATAAACCTCTCATTGTAATGTGCTTAAAATTAGAGTTAATTAAACAAAATTCACTGTAAGCCAGTAAAAAGAATACTAATTTTATATTAAATGCATTTTCCAACACAAAAAACTTGATTTAAAAATTTTAATTAGTTGTGTATCGCTTCCAAAGGTTTTCTGCTCTTGTCCGTCTGGAGGCCCATGAGACCGCGTTGTTAATCGCCAACAAAATTTTCAATCCGCCCTTAAGCTGCGTTTAAACTCAAACCTACTAATTTTTTCAACTGTATTTTGTGTGTGTTTTTTTCTTGTGTGATGGAAAAGCATGACTCAAAGAACAATGATGAGGTAAGATAATTCTACTATTAAATTTTTACAAACAAATGCAACAGAGATAATATATCGAAAAAGCAGTGATTATATAGTTTTTAAATTTATGGAGAGCTCGATAAGACTGACGCCGCGCACTTTTAATAGTTTTTCGTTTGTTGTGTCAAAACTGTCAAATATTTTTTCGATATTGCGATTGAACTAACGATTTCACTCAATTTACAAGCGAGCATGATTATTTGTTTTCCAACACCGGCCAGCGGCGAGAATGTTTTGCATTCTCTGCATTTAAGGCAATTCTTCAATACGTCCACGAGCTAGTGTTTAAACCGTACTCAACGACCTATTTCATGTTTCCACGAGTCCATTCCTCTGCATGTAATTCCGCCGCCTTCACACTTCAAATATTGTGTGCTGCCGCGACACACAGAATCACACAAAGTCCTTTTTATAGCTCTGATTGAATAAAATGCAAGAGATTTGTGATATCATAATACCATTTTTACCGCATAAATGCACACAATTAATGTAGAATTTCTTCTTTTCAAATCGTATTTTAAACGCGTGTAATGTAATTAAAGCTTTTTTTGCAAATTTTTTTATTAAAATTTTTGATGCATTTTAATGAAATTGAAACACGCGTTAAGAAGCAAAACGCCGAACTTCATTTTTAATTTTTTCCCATCAAGTAAACCAATCATTTTTATAATTGATAAACCTTGTAAAGATTTACCGGGTCTTCGGTCCATGGCTCAGGCTCAACCCAAAGTGAGTGGCTAACTCACGGCTAACTTCTCATCTCACAATCAATCACGTGCGCCTGCGTGGTGAGACCAAAATCTCTCATTCACTCTTATCCAACAAAACAAAATTGATATGTTCAATGAGAATTAAAATGTTTTTTAAATGCTTATAAACCATTACCAAAACCAAATTCCACGAATAAAATCCTTAAGTTGAATAAACAGAAGTGTTTTGAATACGAATTGAAAGTAATTTGAAATTAGTAATAGTTCTTACTGTTTGCAGCACTGCTTAGTTCGCGCCACGCCTCCATTGATCCGACGCCAAAGTCGCTGCGAACGTTTGTTTTTCACATTTTCATATCTCTTTTGACTGAATTTTTCCGCAGAAAAGTCTGCATTTTTGCAGATTACGTGGATGCGACCCTGGTGAGTCGTTTTTCAGGACGATCGAGCAGCTCTTGGTTGAATTTATTTCCGCGATGGCAAACGTGGCGAACCTTTGTCGCCTGTGCGGCACCAACACAATCGGCATTGTGCGGCACAACATCTTCGAGGGCGAAGGGTTGGCCAAGAAATTCGCCGACAAGATCGCCGACTGCCTGCCTGTGAACGTACATGAAACAATTCTTGAAAATCTGATTTGTGCAGAAAATAATAATGTTGTTGTTAAAGGTGTCGATCGAGGACCGTTTGCCGAAAATCCTGTGCGGCGAATGTTCCTACAAACTTGACCTTTTGAGCGATTTTAGAGATGTTTGCGTTAAGACTGAGACGTTGCTTCTGTCGTTGATTGACGGCATTAAGCATGAGGTTAGGTCTAGAAACTTCAGAGCGTAAAAGGAGGAGATTTTTTATAAAAATCTGTGCAGGTTTGCGATGTTGATGCTGAAGAAGAAGAGGTGAAAGGGGAGGTTGTCCAGAGACGATCCTCGCGTCGGACAAGCCAGAAGCGGGCCTTGGAGGAAATCGAGGAGAGTGAAAAAGAAGCCTCGGAGGATGACTTTTGCATGGACGACGGAGGCGACCGTGACGATGACGACGAGGACGAAGAGTTTGTGGTGAAAACGCCTGCGAAAAAGAGGAGCAGGAAGAGTGGAGAGCCGAAGAAGCCTGAGTATGACCTTTTGTTACAGAGTTTGGGCCGGTTCGCGGTTTGCAAACCTTAGCCTTTTATTTTTTTTTGTGCAAGGGTACTCGAATCCAAGAAGCCAAAGAGTGGGGGTTGAAGGGGGTGTTGTGTGCTCTGGTGATTGCAGGAGCGGCGTTTGTGGCGCGTGCGGGGCTCAAACCAAGGACCTGCGCCGCCACACGATCGCCAAGCACACGCGGGACTTTCCGGTCGCGTGTCCCGAGTGTCCGAAGCGCTTCGTCAGCCGCTCCGAGCTCAACTCGCACGGCCGGCGCGCGCACGGCGCCCACCGCAAGGAGATGAGTCTGCTGTGCAAGTACTGCGGCCGCTCCTTCTCGCGCAAGCAGTACCTCGTCGACCACGAGCGCAAGCACCGCGACGAGCGGCCCTTCCAGTGCGCCACCTGCGGAAACTCGTACTACTCCAAGGTCAGACACCAACCAACAACTTTTAACCAAACTGGATTTACTGTAAATTTGCACAAAATTTTGAATGTTAGTTTAACATTATCAAAGAACGAAACCAAAATTTCAGATCTTCCCCCGAACAATTCCAAAAGTACATTTTGAAAAGTGGCTTTTTGTAATTTTTCCAGCTTTTGTTTTCAATGCCTCGATTATAAATGATTCCGACTTCTGACGAAAATTTATGTAACAATTTGTGAAATCGGAGGTTAAAATGCCAACTTAAAATTAAATATTGACAATTTAAGTTTTTCATGTAATTTTACCTGTTTTTTCCTTATAGCGACAAGTTTTTTGGAATGGAATGATTTATAATTTTGGGAAATTTTGAAGCAACGATTTGATTTTTGTCTCCTTGAAGAAAATGCCCATATTATAAATGTTTTTTCAAGTAGTTACCACGATCATAACAATATATGCCTAGGTGGAAGTCATCTTTTATTTTGAAAAATTTTGAAAAAGGCAAATTCATGGTTCTGGATGAGATGTTGGTTTAAATTTTTATATTTTTTTTTTTTCGAAAATACACCAAAACTTAATGATTTTTTAGGGTTCAAAAGCTTTTTCAAATTTTCTCTCAACTGTGTTTGGATTAATATGTATCACTGCTATAGAAAAATTTCTGTAAACAATTACAAAAACACCACTTTTCAAACGTTTATTTTGATTAAGCCAAGGAACCTTTGAAAATGAAACTCGTCGGCGTAAACTTTTCAAAGCTATGCAAAATAATTTTGGCAGGGTCAACTGATCTTAACCGCAACCTTAATGACCATTCCAGACGGTTTTCATTAAAATATAGTTGTACCCGATTTATGGGTTTTGCAGGACACACAAATTTGGGTTTTGGGTAATTTAAAAAGGCTCTAACTTGGCTTCCCGTAGTCGTAGAACGAAATTCCAGGTATCGTTTAATTCGTATCGTTGCCCTCTACAACTTTGCTCTTGACTACATATGCCTTTGAAAAATTTCCGCCGAATGAAACCTAAAAATCAGCAGAGTTTAAAATGTTATAAATTGTCCGTTTTCCCTCAACTATATGGAACATATTTGTTAAAGCAAAAGGAATCCACTTGATATTATTTGAAATTTGCATTATTTTTGAGACTGATGAAGAGTGAGAAATGCGGTGACTAATTGCCTGTGCACACAAGGTGCTGCTGAAGAGCCACGAGCGTGTGCACACGTGCTCGAGCTACTCGTTCGAGTGCGACCTGTGCCACATGAAGTTCACGACGCAGACGGGGTGCCGGGCGCACCGGAAGCGCCACTTCGAGGAGAACCGGCGCTTCGAGTGTCCGGCGTGCGGGCAGCGCTTCTTCAAGCGCGCCACCATGGAGGCGCACCAGGTCAGCCGCCACACGCACGTCAAGCCGTACGAGTGCGCGCTCTGCCGCAAACGCTTCCCCTGCAAGTACGACCTGCAGAAGCACATCGAGACGCACCTGCGCATCAAGTCGCAGGTCTGCGAGTTCTGCGGCGCCGCCTACTTCCGCGCCGACCACCTGCGCAGGCACAAGATGCAGCAGCACCGCGAGCTCGTCCCCGCCTTCAGGTCAGGCCACCAAAACTTTCAGAGCAACCCCGAAACGGGGACAATTTCGTCAAAACCAAAATTTTGAATTTTTCACACGGCCTTATCTCGCGGCTTCCTCAGTTCCTAGAACAAATATTTAGGTATGGCGGAACTCGTCTCGTCACCCTCGACAACTTTGCTGTTCGCCGCCCAAACGTAGGTCACGGGTCAAGGTCACTTCCGGTGACCTCGTGACCTTTGACCTCAAATGTACGGGTTAGCCAATACATTTTTCAAAATTCTGACATAGCCAGTTTGTAGAGCGTGAAATTTTACACATGAAAGGCTGATAAAAAGTAGTCAAATTCCTACGATTTAAATAAAATAATAAAAAAAAACTTTTTTTACCTTCATCTTGGAAATTAACTTTGAACCCGAATAACTCTTTTCTCTTTAAATTAACACAAAACGCCCATTAACACAAAACGCCCAATGACAAAAGAGATTCTCTTTAGCTTTTCTATCAGACAATGCATCGCACATGACGATCTGGTCACTTGAAGTCATTGACCTCCATGACCTGTGACCTTCCAGATTTTTCTCAAGTGAGTGGCACATCATTTGAAAGAGAATTTTTAGATGAGCATTTTGGTGCCCGTAATTTTGACCTGGTTTTGATGAAATGTCCCTGCTGCTTTGGGAAATATTTTGCTCTGTAACGTTTTCAAAAAAAAAAGGTGTGACATGTGCGACCGCCTCTACACTGAGGAGCGAACCCTCTTCAACCACAAACTCCGCTACCACAAGCTTGGTCAGATCACCTTGGCGGAAGGTTGTTGATTCGAATAGTAAGTGACCTTGGGTTTATCCTTTTGGCTTCTTGGAGACAAACGAGATTCCGTATTGTCCTAATTTTCCTTTCTTTAGGAAATCGAAGGAAAAGTTTCCCTGCGTTCCTGTCAAAGTGGAAATCGTGGAGAACGAGAAGCTGGAGTGCTCCAAGTGCCAGAAAATCCTCAAGCTGCGCCACCTGTGGATTGCGCACGAAAAGCGACCCCACACTCACTTTTGCCAGACCTGCCTTCGGTACTTTGTGTCCTACAGGGACTACACCAGCCACAACTGCATCTACAAGTGCACTTACTGCGACAGGAAGACCAAGTAAAAGTTCAATTCCATTTAAAAAAAGTTTAAACTAATAATTTCACTTTGCCAGGTCGAAGGAAAAGCTGGACCTCCACATTTACCGGTTCCACGAAGGCAACGAAAGGTTCGTTTGCGACATCTGCAAGGACGAGTTCCGAACCAAGTCTAGTTTGGCCACTCACATCATTGCCAAAGGCTTTGTCCACACGTAAGCAAATTTCCAATCGGCTTTCTCCGTCTAATGATTTGAATTTCAGGCCCACTGTGACTTGGTGCGTAAAGTGCTGCGAAGACTTCAAAACTCCGCAGTGGCTGAAAAAGCACCAGTTGCGCGTCCACGAGGGCAAGATCATTTGTCACCAGTGCACGAAGACGTTTCCCACCAAGGAGGAGCGCATGCGGCACACCAAGGAGATGCACCCCAGGGTCAAGGAGAAGGTCAAGTGTCCCCAGTGCGACCTCATCCTCAGCTGCAAAGGCGGCTTGGTCAAGCACGTCGACGTTGTGCACAAGAAGCTCCGGCCCTTCCTCTGCCCGGTTAGTTTTAATAATTTTTTTATTTATAAACAAAAATAGAATAAATCGTAATTACTATTTTCACTGGCAGGTTTGCGGGAAGAGTTATCCTTTGAAGAAGTCGCTCGAGTTCCACATGACGATGCACACCGGGGAGAAAAATCACGTGTGCAAAGTTTGCGGACACAAATTCGCGCGGATCGAGAATCTGAAGCAGCACATGCGAATCCACAACAACGAGAAGCCGTACAGCTGCGAGTTCTGTGGACGGCAATTCCGGCAGTGCGGACCCCTCAACATCCACCGCCGGACGCACACTGGGGAAACGCCCTACGCGTGTCATTTGTGTCCACAGAAGTTCATCTCCAACAACCACCTGAAACTGCACCTCAATAATCATCCCGCTTATTAATTTTTTAAGGTACTTTTGTACATATTTATTTTTATGTAAAATTGTTCTAATAAATTGAAGAGATCTATTTTATTTGAATGCTTTTCATTCTTGTTTGAATCAAAAATCCGGATTTTAAGAGAAATCTTCATTTTGGAACAATTTAAAATTATTATTATTTCTAAGTAGATTATTTTGGAATATTTTCATTTCTTTTTCTTGAGGCTTGCAGAGAGCAGAAGTTCCTATGTTGCAACTTCTATAGAATTTTTGTCACCGCTTCAAATGAAAACAGAGAAAGAGCGATTGGAGTGTTCCAAGTGCCAGAAGCAGTTCAAGTTATCCCCGAAACTTGGCTGAACACAAAGAGCGACCCCATGAACATTTCTGCAAAAATTGCTCTCGTCACTTTGCTAGTTCCAAAGATTTAAGTAATCATGACTGCCTGTAAAATGCAATTATTGTGACAGGAAAATGAGGTAATGCGAAGTGTAATTTTTATTATTCCGAATAATAGAAAATTTTGGTCAGGACTGAACAGAAGCTGAAAATCCACATCAAGCGGTACCACGAAGGGAGCAAGAAATTCACCTGTGACATTTGCAAAGACGAGTTTTTCACAAAGGTTGCTTTGGTGGCTCACATTTCCCACAAAATTAAATATTAATTAAATCTAAATTTCATTTAATTTGAGTTTAAGTTAAAAGAAAATAAATTTAAAGTAAAGAATGTATTCTTAATTCGTTACTTCTAACTTTTAACTTCAATTAAATTAAGCTCCGCAATGTATCTTAATTTTGGGAAAGAATTTTATGTGTCAATAAATTTGATTTGCAATTGCAGTGAAATTCAAAATTGTTGCATTCTGCTCTTGTTGAAAATTAACCTTGCTGTTTGGCTTCTTGGATAATGTCCCATGTTTTTTAGTTTTGCTTTGTTGTTAATTTTGAGTTTTGTTTCCAGACTTCAAGAGAAGAAAAAGCCAAGCCAAGGGAAATCTGATGAAATCAAGAATCCTTCAACAGAAAAGCCTGCCAAAACCAATGAGTTTCTTGCCCCGGAATTTGTGAGCTTGGCCGAGCCCAAGGTGGAGACTGTCCACGAGTACAACGTGAGCGCCAAAGGAAATTTTGACTGCGACCAGTGTGGAGCCAAATTCTCCAACCAGGGCTTTTGGCAGAGCCACTGCAGCCGGCCCCACCAACACCTGTGCAACCAGTGCGGCAAATTGCGCATCTCCCGAACGGCCGAGCACCTCTGCCGCCACCAATGCGAAAAGTGCAAAATCTACATCGATGGGAAAGATGCGTTCACGGTGCACCAAGTCAAGTGCTACATCAGGTCGTTCACCTGTGACCTCTGCGGCTTCGTGGCCTATCGCCGGCAGAAAATCACCAACCACATCAAAATCGCGCACTTCCTGAAAATGGACGAAGAATACAAGTGAGTTCAAAAATTTTCAAATATTTGGTCCAAATTTTCTTATTTGCACAAATTTTCAGATTCAAGTCGTGCTGGTGTGAAATCTGCAAGCGAAAATTCAGCACCAGCTTCGCTCTGCAACAGCACAAGCTGCGGAAACACGAAGGGGTGCTCATGTGCAGTGTTTGCTTCAAACGGTTCGAAACAAAAGAGGAGCGCCGGAAGCACGTTCAAGAGACGCACTCGAAGGAGAAGGTTTCTTTTGAATGCCCCGAGTGCGGCAAGAAACTCTGCTCAAAGTTCAGCGTGAAACTGCACGTCGACAACATCCACAGGAAACTCCGACCTCACCTCTGTCAAGTAATTATTTTAAATTAATTTCATTTTCCTACTAAAATTGTTAATTAACGTTCAGGTTTGCGGTTCTTCCTTTATAACAGCCGGTCATCTGAAGCTGCATGTCATGATGCACACCGGAGAGAAGAATCACGTCTGCAAAGATTGCGGCCACGCTTTTGCCCGCATCGAGAACCTGACGCAGCACCGGCGCATCCACACCAACTCCAGGCCCTTCCTCTGCGACTTTTGTCCGCGCTCCTTCACCCAGCAGAGTTCCCTCAAGTGCCACCGACGCATCCACACTGGCGAGACGCCCTACCGGTGCCAGTTGTGCCCGCAGAGTTTCCGCACCAAGCAGCAGCTCGACCAGCACGTCAAGTTCCATCCTGCGGTTTAAAATGGGGAAAAGGCTGATTTTTTTTTTGTTCAATTTATTAATAGGAACTTAATACAGAAAAATATTAAAACATAGTTTCATAAATATATTTAGATTCAACTTTGATATCTTGGCACAGAGTTCATCTTATTGAGATTGCAGAATTCCATAATTCAGGCAGGCTGAGACGGTTGTTGAGGTTGTTGGCAGAGGTTTTCGATTTGCAGCGGCGACGCCCCTCGAGTTTCAGGGACCCAGAGGCCGGCGGCCAGCGCCCCCATTGCACAGCAGGCCGCGTACAAGCCCAGCACGGCCTGCACGCCCCCCAGCAGGCGCTCCAGGTCGAAGAAGGTCTTGGTGACGAGGAAGGCGGCCACCCAGCTGGCCGCCCCGGTGGCCGAGGTGGCCACCGAGCGGTGCTGCTGGGCCACCAGTTCCCCCAGCAGCAGGCTGGACACCGGGCCCAGGCCCACCGCGTTCGCCACCACGAACAGGCCCAGCCCGGCCAGCGGCCACGGCCCCCCGGGGCCGGCGGCCACGCCCACCAGGGCGGCCGCCATGACGGCCTGCGAGGCCACCAGCAACACGCGGCGGCCGCACCGGTCCAGCAAGAAACAGGCGGCCAGCGTCGCGACCCACTGCAGGCCGCCGGCCACCACCGTGGCCGTTTCGGCCGAAACGGAGGAGGCCGTGGCCGCCAGCACCGGCTGCAGGTAGGCCATGGCCGCCCTGATGCCGCACAGCCGGCTCGACACCCTCACCATGCCGACCAGCAGGATCGGCTTGGCCGCCGCCCTCAACGCGGCCAGGCGGCCACCCCACGTGGCGGCCACCGGCTGCAGCCGCAGCAGCTCGTCCAGCTCCGCGTTCAAATCCCAGTCGAGGCCTCGGAGACGCTGCAGGGCGGCCAGGGCCACGTCCAGCTTCTGTTTGGAGGCCAAAAACGAAGGTGACTCTGGAATCAGGGCGGGCAGGATGATCCCGGGCAGGGTCAGCACCACCCCGAACCACGCCTGGACAAATTCACAGTTAGAATTGAACAAAAATTAAGAATTTGGTTGGGTTTTACCAAGTTTCTCCAGGACTCGAGGAAGAGGCTGGCCGTGTAGCAGGCCAGGGTGCCGGCGTTGAACATCAGGATGGGGATGCAGCCGAGGGCGCCGCGGTGGCTCGGGTGCGAGATTTCGCTCACGTACAGTTGCACGGCGTCGCCGATGATGCCCATGCACACGCCAAACAACTAGAAATTTGAGTTTTAGTATTTTCAGGAAATAAAATACAATTGGATAAAATAAAAATTATAAAATCTATTTTTCAAATAAATTTTTAGTGCGATAAAAAAATTTATAAAATTTTTGTTAAATAATTGACAAGAGCTGCTTTTATTATAATTTTTTTAATGTAGCCAATGATGAAAATTATTTTAAAACCATTTCAAAATTTGAAACAAATATTATATAGGAAAAAGTTTTGTAAATAATTATTTTGGAATTACATTTTTTGACTAAAATTTATGTATTTTAATGAAGTTTATATTAATAAAAAGGAGTTTTGTACAAAGTGCGTGAGGAGGAGGGGCCAGGGTGCGTGGGCGAGCGCCAGGGCGGCCCACGAAAAGGCGAGGGGCCCCGCGACGATCCAAAGGGTGGTTCTGCGGCCGTGGGCGAGCAGCGGTCCTGAAAGGGCGGCGCCGAGGAGGGCGCCGAGCATCAGGACGCTCGCCACCCACGACAGCGTGTCCTCGGACACGACCACCGTCTCCATGGGACTTCTCAGCAGGGGCAGCGCCGGCGTGATGAAGCCCAGACTGGCGCCGCTTGCCAGGCACGGCCAACTGCCCACCACGGCCGCGCCCACCTGCGCATCAATATTTTTTTGAAAATGTATTTTTTTAAATTATAATTTGTCCGAACCTGGCGCAGGAAGGGCGGCGATTTGCCTTTGACGAGTTGGTCCTGGCTGGACGCCGAGCTTGGGCAGCTTTTCCAAAGGTCGTTTGATTTTTTGTCCCATTTTTCCTCAAAGTCGCCTATTTGGTACCTGCCAGGGCTCAGGTGCAGGTTTGACACGTAAAACACGCTCATTTTATTTTATTTATCTGAAACATGAAATTAAAGCACTCTTTATCAACCGCGGAGGAAAGAGGAAGCAATTATTTAACGTAATCACGGCCCATTTCAAAAAGCACGATGCTTTCGCGCCAGAATTTTCAAAAATTCGAACCTCGGCCTCTGATTGGCCGATTCTGTTTTGACGCTAAACAATCCGGCTAAATTGTAAACAAACACAGTCTGCTCGTCGGAAATTGTGATTTTCCGCTTTTCCACTCGGTTCAGAGCAATAATCTTGAAGGTAAATTCAAATCAAAGTTTCTTTCTTCCATATTTCATTCCGTTTCTCGCCAATTTCACCTCAGAATATGACGAAAATTTGCCATCTCGATGAATGCATTTCTGATATTATTTTCTTGGCGGTTTTTCGATTTCTTAATTTATTTCTAATCGGGTTTCAGAGTTTGCTGAAGAATTAATCAATCTGAATCAAAATGCCGCCGAAACGTCGAAGTGCCGCGAAAGGAAAGGCCAAGGAAGACGAGCAGCCGGCAGAGCCCACGGAATTCATCGTTCCCGACGTTGGTGAGAAAATTTAATTTAATTTAAAATTCTTATAAATTCAAAGTGCCATTCAAATATCTGAGCTTGAAAGTTTCTGTTGTACTGATTAAAATTATTGTAAATGGAAATCTCACGGCCGGAGTTTTGAAATCGAGGGTCAGTTGTGACCCAGGTGACCTAATAATGAAAGTTTGATGATCGCATAAGCGAAAAGAGGAAATGCGGATGTAATTGGCCGACCTTTGATCGCCGTGAAATGCTTCTCCGCTGAATAGGAACATTTGTTCATTTATCGCCTTAACCTTGTTAGGGAAATGTAAAGTGGATCTCATGACTTGAGCAGCCGCGAAACAAGATCGTGATCCTGTCAAACAAAATAATATAACAACTCGTTTAGCCTAATGAGAAGATGATCCCTTGCAATCTTTCATGGGAAATCATTTCATTATTAATTCAAAATTTTGAATCAAAATTTATAAAATTATTTATTTAAAAAACATGAATCCATCTCTGGGAAGAGGGGTCGTGAATGGAAACTGATCATTTTAGTATAAAAAAAATTGTCAGTAAATTTTAAACAAAATATTCAATTGAATGTTGCAAATTTGAAAAAAATATTTTTGTATACTACATTTTTCCTGTGTCATTGAAAATTATGTTTTGATGTTTTGAGCACTTTGATTTAATTGATTTTTTTTTCAAACTTATTCATGTTAGCTCGTGTTTTGGTTTCAATAATAATCAAGCAAAGAAAAAATTTCAAATTTATCAAATTCCAATATGGCCGCTGGAGATAAATAAGGGTTTATTAAAACTGCTGCTAGATTATTGATTTGGGTAAAGATTTTTTAATTATCTCGGTCGGAGATTCGAGCTAATCAAGCAATGTATCTTTTCTTAAAGGTTGCAAGATTGACCCTGGTAAAAGGTCAAATTATATTGTAAAGTTTTGTACCCCTTAAAAATAGGCCACCTTTGAAAAATCTGATAGTGAGATAGCCAAAAGATGCCCCATTTTTCTTTGAAACGAATGGAAATTTGGTATTTTCCGATGAGTTAAATTTAAGTAAAATTATAAAATGAAGCTTTTTTTATCATATTTGAAACAAATCGAGTTGGTTCAATTAATGCAAGAAAGGAAATTTGCTGCGACTGACCTTTGGTGGGCGCCGATCTGCACATAATCCCCGCGCGCTGCAAAGTGCGAAAGATTTTCGCGGGCAGGGAAGCGCTCGCCAGGTTGGAGGGGAGGGGAGGGGCTGCGTCAGGGTAAAACAAATCTGCTTCCGACCTTCTCCGCGGATAAGATTGCGAATATTTTTCACTAATTGCCAAATATTTTGCTGATTTTTTAAGTCTTTCGGAATTTTTTTAGCCAAAGGAGTAATTCCAAGGTTTGTTATTTATTTAATTAATTAGGTATAATAATTTTTTATGCAAATTGTTGAATTATACTTTCAACTTTTTCATTAGATTTATTCCCGATTTGTGAAAACGCAGTTTGCTTTTCACTGTGCTCGCAATTTCACGCTCTGCAACAATCCAGGATGCGCGTCGTTATTTTCGTTTTCATTATTGTTTGCAAAAAGTAGCGCTGGCCGTGTCACCTTCTCACATCTCAAAAGTGAAAATTGGCGTGAAACGCAAAAGTCATACCAGAGCAATAAAAATAATTGCTGTTTTTTGTGAGTTCGTCAACCTAAAAAAAAGAATTTCGTTTTAATTCAAAAAAGAATCTTCTCAGATTAGGGTTAATAATCCAATTGTGCTGTAAAATTTATTATAAAATCGCATTTTGAGAAATAAAACTTTTCACACTCATGTACATTATGAAGTAAATTATTTTTTCTCCAACAAACACTTGAAAACTTTTTATTTGTACAAATATCAGCCCTGAAAAGGCTTTAATTAAAACCTAATTTTGGTGTTAAATTTATTAAAAATTCGTGCGAATAAATTATTTGGAAAATCAGTTTTTACACAATACATTATGAATATAAATTAATTCGCTCCATATTTGCGTTAGTGCTGAAAAATACCAATGTTTCCAAGTTTTATATAATATTTTATGGAATACATTTATAAACTGAATAAAACAAATTTCCATTCTCCAGTCATCCGAACAGAATATTTTCAGCCGTTGTAACGCTTTTTTAAAACCAAAAAATAGTAATGGCTGAAATTTGGAGTGATTGAAAATTCAAAAATTGCTGTTTTTCAGTTTAAAATGGAATCAAGATCTCCTTTTATTTTTATTGAATGGCCGAATTGATTTTGGTTTTGCACTTTTTGCAGACATGGACACGGAGGCGGAGGTGGCGGCCGCCGTGGACCAGCTGCTGAGCTCGCCGGCCAAGGAGGCGGTGGAGGAGGCGGCGGGGGCGGCGCCGCAGTCGGTGGCCAGTCTGTCGATGGCGCGCAGCCGCCTCACCACCCTGCTCAGCAAGGTGGCCCGCGAGGAGGTCGAGCTGGAGGTGGTGCGGCCCCCGCGCTCGCCGCCTTCCGAACACTTTATCGTCGACGACGTGTGAGTTTCAATTTTTCTCTGCAAAATTAAATTTGATCATTTTAAAGGTTTGCTCTAGTTATATTTTTTTTTTTTTATGCAAAAAGAGATCAAATTTCATGATGAAATTGGGATAAAAGTTCGCAATCTTAAGCTTCAGATGAGGGTTTGGACGGAAGTCCACCGTTTTCGGCCAAACAAAATTGAAATTTGAAGATCAAGGAAAAAATTAATTGGAAAATTTCTTAATTTGGTAAAAACTGAAATAATTCTACTCATAAACAAATTTTAAGGTGATTCTGTGTCGGAAAAGTTCCACCAACGCTATCAAGATCAAAACTATTTTGACGCGAGAACTTGATGCCCTGTTTTAACCTTTTAAATAGTGCAAATATTTCAGTTCCAAATGTGACGTTGGTCACAAAATTTGCTCTTCTTACACATTCAGGAATACAAATGATTTAATTTGCCCCACTTTGAATTTTGAGCAGCGACGGACGGGAGTCGCCGACACCAAACCGCAAGTCGGACACGCCGGGCAGTCCGTCCAAGAAGAAGCGGCGGCGCGACCCCCTGGAGACGGGCGGCACCCACCACTCGTACGTCATGAAGTTGTTCGACCGCAGCGTCGACCTCGCCCAGTTCAACGACAAGTCGGCCCTGTACCCTGTGTGCAGGGCCTGGATGGCCAACAAGCCCAGACAAGCCCCCAGGTACGAAAAATTCTTCAAATTTTACATCGTTTTTTTATTAATTTTAGGCTTGTCGGTCTTGCAAGACTATAGTTGGTTTTAGGCATATGTTGGTAATGACAAAATGTGACCGTCTTGACAAGACTAATCAAATTATGTGCCTATTATTATTGAGGCGACCCTTGACCTTCTGGTAGACCTAAAGACAAAATCTATTCTCTTGACAAGCTCTTTCAAACAAGGGTCAGGTCAGCTGAGGTCAAGGAATTGGTCAGTGTCTGATCAGGATTCTCCCTCGTCAAAATATTGATCCCTGAAAGATTATCCAATTGGTTCTTTGATTTCAGGGCGAGCTTGTACGAAAGCGACGACGAGTTTGACTTCATGGACTACGCCAGCGACGAGCTGGGCAAACCTGTGCGGAAAATGCCGCAACCTGAGCAGAAGACGGACGCCCATTGCCGAGTTCCGCACAAACTGCCCCAGAGGGCGACGGGCGAAATCGTCGTCAAACAGGTTTGCACATTTTTTTCTTCAGATTTGCATTATTAAAAGTTGGCATTTGTGGCAGGAGGAGGATGACGAATCGCTGCTGGAGGAGCACAAAATGCACTGGCGCCAGGTCAAGCAGGACTGGGTCAAGGCCGCGTTCGCCAATGAAAAAAGGTTCAACAAGAGCATCACCATCATCGAGGACATTTACAAACGGGCCCAGGAACTTTACTCTTAAATGTTTCTTTCAAGTGTTAAAATAACTAATAAAATTATCTCTAGGTTTTTTCATTTAGAATAAGCGAAGAAGGCGTTTTATTGAATAGTTATTTATTGATTACTTCACATAATATTATTGTTTTATTTATTTGCATGCGAGCTACTCGACAGGCTTTTGTAATTTGTTTTTTTTTTATGCAAAATTTATTAAAATCCATCAATCAAGACTGCATTGTTGGGTTAAAACGAACAAACTAAACGGACATGGCCTCACAAAGCAGCGGGAAGACTTTCGACTTAACTAATCAAACGCAACGGGTGTGCACGGTGATTTCTAAATATATATATTCTCGTCCAATTGCAAGCCAATCTCGAATATATACAAGTGTGTGCGCATATTTATGTACAAAACATTTACTTTTAACATGGGGCATGTCCGGCTGCTCTAATTGTACCGCAGCCCTACAAACTCAATCAATAATAAATTAATATGTAGCGTGCTTGTCTTGATCACTTTTTAATTAATCGACGTCCGAATCGGCTCCCGGAGCGGACAATAAATAATTTGTCTAAAAAAATCTCAAATTCAGTTACGGTCTTTTATCAACAAATCATTATTTCACGGTACAAAAGGCTTGATACAAAAAACCAGAGTCTTTTCCAGTGACTTACAAAAATTGTGAGTTTCGACTCAAGATCGGGAGTGAATTATACATATATTGTGTGAATTCTAACTAATTTTGAATCGAGGGATCGCATTCGTCGCTCTGTGTAGGCACTTACTTAATTAATACAAGAACAAAACACACACCAAAGTATCAAAAATTGAGCCGGCGTCTTTAGTCCCTGGCCGACGGACTGACTGACTAGCCTCAAGACTGAGCATCCCCCAAATGCAGGGTCGCCGACCAATCAGTCAACCAACAATCAATTCGTTATTATCCTCTAAGTTCAGCCACCGCCTGCGAACATTGCGTTTTATTAGAAACGAAATTGAGTAAAATTATTAGATTTCCAACTGACTATACTTGAGGGATGTCCATCATTTCCTCCTGCTGGGCGTGCGCGCTCGTGGTTGGCATCTGGTGGCCGATCAGCCGCTGGTCGAAGAATCCGCCGGGGGACATTTGTTGGTGCAGCAAGTGCTGGTGGCGCGGGCTGAACGGCAGCCGCATCCCCTTCCGCGGCGACCGCGCCTTCACCACCTGCGGCTTGTACATTTCCTCTAGCACTGACGGAGCCACGTAGGTGAACCCCTGACACAAATTTACATGTTTAATAAAGTGGATCAAAAAATATTAAATGAATAAATAAAACGTCCTTAATTAGAAACAAAAGCATAATTATAGCAAATTAATTTAGCAAGAACAGCTTAAAATGAAAATTTGAAACTTTCAGTCAGGATCACACAATGTCCTTAAAATTTTTGTGAAAATAAAATGTACACCTCATTAAGGGGGCAAACAAATAAATAATATTTTACATGCCTGCCATTTATGGAACAATTTTTGGAAAAAACCTCAAAAATTTATGAAAATTTTATTTCTAGGCTTTAATTTTTGCCAAAGTTTTTAATTTTTGGACCAATAGAAAAATTATCATGGCCAATTTACAAAACTCCTTAATTCTGTCCAACAGGCCTACTGAGATGGTCAATATGACGATAAAAATGGCCTCTTTCATTTTTGAAACTATCATCTCAATATTCCAACAAGAACCATTAATTTGTCTTAATTAACTAGATTTTATAAAATCCAAGATAGCTTCCGGATGGGCATTTTTCTTTTACTTTAATTTGGAAAAAACTTAATATGTACTTTCAAGTAAAGCACACAAAATAAATAATATTTATGCCAAAAATCTCAATATTTATCATCATTTCTGCAAAACTTGTCAATCCCTTCAATGGATCCCAACTTCATCAAAATTATATATAAAAAAAAATGAATTACTTGGAACACGAGGTTGGCACTCTCACTGAGCGTCGACTCGTCCGGGGAGTCGATGGGCGTCTGCTTGGTGAATTTCGTATCGAACTGCGACACGTCGTCGTCACTCGACTGAAATATTTTTGGTAAAAATTTGTATTTTGTAAATTTTTTAAACAACTCACCAATGTAGGCTTAAAAGGTGGGTCGTACTTTCTGGCGAGCACGTCCGGCCAGCAGATATGTTTGAAGAAGGGGCTGTTTTTGATGGGGTCTGCATCCGAGGGTCCGGCCCCCAGGCGCTGACTCACTTGTCTCTGCAAATGATTTTTAGTAATCTTTTTTTCAATTTAATTGATTTGTCACCTTGAGGAGTTTCCTGATGAGGTCCCTTGCGTCGGGGGTGAGGTAAGGGGGCAGCAGCAACTTGCCCCGCAAGATCTTCTCAATTGTCTTTTTGCGGTTTTCCGCAGTAAACGGGGGCTGGAATTTTTTAATTTTTTAATATCAAAATATTTTCAGGTGAATTTCAGGACTTACAGCACCAGTGAGCATGTCAAACATAAGGGCCCCTAAGGACCACCAGTCTACTGCTTTTCCATGTCCACTTCGGGTTAAGATTTCGGGCGCCCTAATTAATAAAAAAGAAATAAAAGAAAATTTGCTGAAATAAAAAAAGTTACATGTATTCGATGGTGCCGCAAAAAGTGTGGGTAACGATTCCTTCCTGGATCTGCTCCTTGCAGAGTCCAAAGTCTGTCAGTTTGACGTGACCATGCGCATCCAGCAGGATGTTCTCAGGCTTGAGATCTCTGCGGAGAGAAAGGTTTGAATTTTTCAAAATTTAAATTTAGAATAATTTAATTACCTATAAATGATGCCTTGTATGTGGAGATGCTCCAAGGCCAAAATTATCTCAGACAGGTAAAAGCTGCAAATCAAAATCAAAACTTTTTTGTCAATCTTCGATATAAAACTAGATTTGAAAATTTTGAAATCAACATTGAAAACTAAAACTGTAATCAATATTCGTCTCTAATTATTATTAAATTAATAGTTAAATAAATTTAATAAAATTTTATTTTTATTGGATTAATCCTGATTTTTTTTAACTGTTTTTTTAACTGTGTCAAAAGAATTGTAATTTTTTTCAGATTTTACCAGGCTGTGTCCTCTAGAAAGATGCCCTCGCGCTCGAGGTGCATGAATAATTCTCCTCCGCTCAAGTATTCGAGAATCAAGTACAATTTCCCCCCAGTCTGGAAGGCGTAAATGAGGTCCACGATGAATGGGTGCTGTGACAAGCAAGAAAATTATGTTTGCAAATTAAGTTTGTTAGAAAAAAAAATGAGTCACCTTGACCGCTTCGAGAATGTTCCTCTCGGCCTTGGTGTGGGCCGTGTCCTTCTGGTTCCTCATGATGGACGCTTTCCGCAGCACCTTCATCGCAAAAATCGTGTCCTTGTCCTTGCCAGACACTTTTCTCACCTGCGGACAAGCAACAATAACTCTTAAATTTCCTGGGTTTTTTTTTAATTAAAGAAATGAAATAATAAGGGTTTTGAGTTTTGAGAGATAAAATTTGATGATTGTTTGATTTTTGGAAAATTTATTGATATAACATTTAATTAACTCTGATATTAATTTTAATGTAACTATGAATTTTATGCTCCAATAAATAAATTGGTGAAAATTGAACATAAATTAACCGGATAAAACTATTGAAAAGGCCAACACTTTCCCCGGAAAAACGCAACTGAACTTTCAAGTTAAGAATTGAATATCTCGGATTCTCTTTGAGATAAAGAAATTGCGCCTAGAAACAAATATATTCAATGTTTTTACCTTCTTATGAACCCTGACAGTTCAAATAATTCAGAGAAGGCCATTTTATGAAGATGACAAGTACAAGAAATGTAAACATTAATATCTTTTTTCCTTGTAAATTTTTTTTATCTGTGACCTCTAGAAATTGACCTTCACCTTTGACCTCTCAGGGTTGAAGAGGAGGTATGAAGAAAATTTTTGAAACCAGCCGCATTTCTGTATCCCAAATTGAGCCCAAAATATTCAATTTTGAAGTTCAAACTTCCGTTTCGTTTTTACTTTTACGTCAAATTATTAAAACATTTCACCAGAATTTTAATTTAAATTCACCAACCTGTGCTTTATGGCTTAAGAGGTGCGAACAAAATTGTATTTTATTTTTCAAATCACCTGAAAAACTTTTCCGTAGCCGCCCTTGCCGAGGACTTTGCGCAGCTCGAAGTCCTGCGGCCCCGCTTTTTCGCTACCAGGGTTGACCGTCTGCTCAGACAGCTGGACAGTTTCCACCCCCTCCTCACTTTAAAAAAAGTTTTATTACATTTGAAATTTAAATAAAAAAAAGTTCTAGATTTTACTCGATCAGTCCGTTGAAATGTGTAGAATTCTCAAAGTCCACCTGCGAAAATAACATGAATAAATTATTCAATTGATACAAAAGTGTAGAATTCTCTCGACGCTTCATTCAATAATAAGACCTTGAGTGCAATTTTTCTCGGCGAATGAAAATATAATTGTAAATTTTCCATAAATTCAAGGCCGCGGTCCTTATCTTGGCTTATCAGGCCTTTTAAAACCCAATTCAAACAAAAATGGCCTCTGCAGACAATTTTGAAATCTTCCGAGCAACAATTTTACTCGCTAATTTTTTCCACATCACTCGGCTTTGGCGTGATGAACGTATTTTTATTTCTGCTAATTATTGAGCTCTCAGACCTTGAAACAACAACAACCTGCGAGATGCAAACGCAGCACTTAATTATGTAATAAAAGAAAGTTACGGGAATTTTTACGAGAGCCTCGGTCTGTATTTTTAATTTCGCGAAAACCAAAATAAACCGAAACTGCGGCGGCAGGACAGACGTCGAGGGCGTGTTGAAAGAATCTCCCAAGACGTGCCCGAGGAATTCGTGTAACAGATTGCCGAATCCTTTCTCTTCTAGGGAGAAAGTGCGGTTTGAAGTTTGATATCAACGCTCGGCCCTTTTCTTCAGTTCGGGCGCCGGTTTTTTTCTCCTCAAAGGCCCACGTCCGGTGCTAGAGAGGAAAAGATTCGGGTGAATCGCGCAGACACACACGCACCTCCTCGACCTCGATGGCATCGTCGTCCGAGTCGTCGACCACGACGTTCTCGGCGTCGTGCAGCTCAATGTCGAACACGCCTGCCATTTCGCACGCGCCCTGTCCAGGTCAAGCAGCGCAAAACATGTCGCAGCTCCAAGTCTCGTCCGCGCGGCCGTGTCCGACTCTCCTCTTTCCTTCTTTCTCGGTCCGTCCACCTGCTCGCGTGTTATAGTTTGAATTGAAAAACCAGACTTTGAACCGGTCTCGCCTAACGATGCGGTTCACCTGGCCAACCGGTACGGAAAAAAGTAAAATCGGTATAACCGATTTGGTCAAAAACCGGCGGTTAACCGGATTTTGGAAGAAAACTGCCGGTTTTCGCCACTTTTACCGGACGGTTAACCGGTTTTTCAGCAAAAACCGCCTTCATACCGGTAATTGTGCGTCAGAGGCCCCGCCCCTTATGGCTGCGCACCCTTTCTACTTCTTTTTTTGTTCCAATTTTCCTCATTAGTCATTGCTGGGGCCGCGAGCAGACGGCGCGGGACGCGCGCGGTTTTCCAGGAATTGGGGCTTAATTTTCGGCGCCCTCCGAAGGGGATTTCCGCCGTCTTTATTGAGAAAACACGTTCGCTGCTCGCGACTCTTATGGCTGTGTTTTAAGTAGGACAGCAGCTGGTCTAGCGCGGCTCGTGTCAAAGGCAGGGCAATGACCCCGGCCGGCGTATGACTGCTGCGCAGGGTCAAAGGACTCGATTCGCCCCGACCAATAAAGCTGCTCTCTTGCTCGTTGCAAATTTTGAAATTTCATTCATTCCGTTTTTTTATGTCAATTAAATTCATAAAATATGGTGCATTTTTTATTATATTAAACTGTTTCAAAAATTAATCCTGATATAAATTACACTGTAAAAAATTTACACATTTAAATAGCAATTCAATCTTTTTTATTTATTTTAAAATATAATCAAATGTTATTTAAATTAAAAAATAATGATAATTTCATCCTTGTCAAGCCCATAATTATATATTTGTTTATTAGTATTATAGCTTTACATAAGCTTGTAATAAACATCAATTAAATTCCAAAGTAGTGATTTTGATTAAAAATTAACACTCGCATTGAAAAGTGCTCATCTTCAATTAGCATGCCCATAAAATTAACATATAAAATACACAAATTACGTCAAACACTTAAAAACTAGAGATGAGGAGAAGAGATGCTGTCACTGGTGTCAAGTCAGTGTCCCAGTTCATTATTCCACTTATTCACAGGAGGTCCGGGAAGAGCTCGGAGAGGAACTCGAGGTCTTCGGCCTCGCTGTAGGGCGAGGGCAGGCCCGACTCGTAGCCAGGGTCGGCGGCGCCGGGGGAACTCGGCAACTGACTCAGCATCTGCAACAGCTCCTGCTCGTCCTCAGCTGACAGTGTGCTCGGACAGGGGCTCGACGAGGAGGTCACGGAGAGGTCAGAGGTCACGGTCGTATCTTCATCGGGTTCCACGAGTTCTGATGGCAGCCCCACCACTTGAGCCTCTCGGCCCGCAGGTCGCGCACCACCCGGCGGTCCAGCGGGGGCTCCCGCGGGACCTCCTCCGCGGCGGGGGTCTTGGGGCTCTGCAGGTTGCGCGCCATCAGCAGCAGCAGCAAGGCCCAGGCGGAGCACCAGGCCAGCGAGGGGGTCTCGAGCCGGGGTCCCCTGCCCTTCTGCAGAGGGAGTTCCGGTTTCGACACGGCAGGTACGAAGTCCTGGGGTCCGCGACTCGACACCTCCTCACCGCACCTGGTGCACCCGCCCAAGCGCAGGGCGGCGTTCTCAGCGCGCAGCTGCTCGATTTGCGCGCGGGCCTCGGCCAGTTGCTGCTCCAGTTCGTCCATCTTGGCCTTCTTCTTGTCCCGCGACGTCTGCGCGGCCACGCGATTCTTCATTTTCCTGCGGAACAGAAAAAAAAATTCATTAGTATTTCAATCAATATTTTCCACATTTAAAGAGCATGGGGCAGCAAAATCATCCCCTAATCTACTGGCTTGGAACATTAGGATCTTTTTGGCAACCTAAAAATGGGGGGTAACCGCGCAATTTTTGAGAAAAATGTATTTGAATTTAACATGGCTTGATCATGTAAAAGTAGCACAAAAATCGTTTAATCGTATTTTAAAAAATAAACCTGGATTGGCAAAGTGTTTTTGACCCACTAACGTGTTTTCTGTTTTTTGATAATCCTGCTACAGATTTAGCACAAAAAAATTGGAGGTCACGGCATAAATTTTTGAGAAAAGTCTAGTTGAAACGTTGAAAGTAAGAAAACGGTGGTTTTGTTAATATTTCTAGTTTCCGAGAAAATCAACTCATTTTTGAACACTTTGATATAATGAATCTCCGCAAACAAATATCAATGATAGTTTTTTATTCTGGTTTTTAAAATACTCAAGTAATTATAAAATAAATTCATTAGTCATAATTTCAATATAATATAGGGTTTTTAACTTTTTACTAAAGGGTGCTGCCAAATTAATTTGAGGGAAGATTTTTTAATTTTCTTGGTGGGAGGTTGAAGTTAGTAAACCAAGGCATCTTTTTTAATGTTGACCAAGTTTCTGGGTCAAAGGACACTGACCCTGGCGAAAGGTAATAAAGCAATATAAAGATTTGTACCCCTTGAAAATAGGCAACCTGGAAAACATCTTTAAACAAACAATTTATTTGAACAAGCCGTTTAAAAAATATTATAGATTTTAAGATAGCCTTAGAAAAATAAATTATTTTTGGATATGAATTAAAAATTGGAAATTTGAGGCTTGAATTCTCTTTCATAATTACAATATTTGAAGCAAATTTAGTGGATTTTATTTTATTCAAATAATTAGAAAAAAAATGATAGTTTCTTCTACTTTAAATAAAAAAATAGGCACTTAAAACTTTAATTATGTTATCAGCCCGCAGCCCCTTCTTATCAACTTCCGTCAAACAGTACAATTAAGTGCCAACGTAAGCAAAAGTTGGAGTTAATTGGAAATAAATTTCATTTCTTCAAATTAAAAATTCAACTCACTTTCTCAAAATTTTCTCCTCGATGGAAAGGCAGTCGATTTTGCGCTTCCTGACGATTCTCTGGCATCCCTCGTCGTCGGCAGGTTCGACTTTGATGCGTTCGATTGTTCTGGAAAAGGCTGGCACCCTGGGAGGCAGGGGCAGTTTCTCCCTGGGGCCGCACGGCAGGGCGATCAGAATGGTCTTGGCTGCCATGTCCGCTCCGGACGCTCGCTATCTCACTTCCTTGGTGGTTTCCGAGTCTGTCGCGGACAGTCTGTCGACAAGTAAACGCGACCTTCACATCGCTCGTGCTTTTCTTGACTCGGCCCTGCGTGGAATGAAATGCAAAAGCGATCGTGGTCGCTGCGCATTGGCCTGCCGACACATCTGGTCGAATGCGATTGGCTGCCGCTGACGTCATCGTGACGTCACTGCATGATGAAAACCCGAGCCTCCTTTGCATTGCCCCGTTGCACCTGAAGTTGAAAGGAAAAAGAAGGTTCCTTCCTTTGTTCTGTAAAAGTTTATATATTAATTTTTAGGGCGGAGCCGATTTGTAAATATTTCGCATAATTCTTTGCGGACGTGATTTTCAAACCACTTAATTTATTTCCACTTGCAATTCTTCAGCAGTAGAGCTAAAAACTACTCTTTAATATTATTTTACGCTTCTTCTAAAAACACCGCTGATTGAATACACATCGAGATTTCAGTAAATTTGTTACAAAATAAAACAATAGTTGGCCGCAAGAGCTGCGGCATTAGTTGTCGTAGTGCACATCAAAAATTGTGGCCAGGGCTTGCTTGGCAGCCTCTTTTTTGGCGTCCTTTTTGTTCTTGCCTGTGAATTGAAAAAAATTACGCCCAAGTTGAGGGACCAGAGGGAAAAGTACTGACCAATGCCTTGGTAAGAAGCACTGTCGACCGTGACGGACACGGTGAACATGATGTTGGGAGGGACGCCCTGAGATCCAGCGTCTTCGAAAACTGCATTCGGACGCAGCTGGTTCAACAGCATGACAGGATGCCTGTCTGTAGGGTTGTCAGGCAACTTTTTCATTGGCGCAGGGGCCGCTCGAGTCTGGAATAATCAAAGATCAAAATTAATTTTGAAGCTTTTTGTTTTGATTTAATATAATTATTTAAAATTATTCCCCAAAATTGGGATCCATTGCAGAATTTGGTTTAGTTTAATTTAAAATAAATGATTTAAAAATTTTAGCCAGGCCAATTTTGAGGGAAAAAAGTTTATTAAAGAAATCAAAAGTACTGAATATTTTAACTTGTCTTTACATCCTGGAGATTAAATCTCCACCAAAATTATAAAAATAATGTTAGTTTTTTCCAATAAATATAATTAACTATTTCAAAGCATTATTTATTAATAACAATGAAAAATAATTAGCAATGATTCCCAAGTCCAAACAAACCTCTGTTTGTCCAGCTGCCGGTTTTGATGCTGGCTTGAAATTGACATTCACGCCTTGGCTTTGCCATTCGTTAAACAGTTTATACAACGCAAACGAAGCTAGACTGCCCCACGGAACGTCGTCTTCCGGCTGCGGAGGTTGTCCGTTGACCGGACGGCCTTCCTGGTCCAGCAGCGGAGGCTCTTCGCCGGGAGGAACGTCCGATATGTTGGCCTGATTCATTTTTTTCAATTGATTTTTTTATAACCAATGAAGGTTGAAACGTACCTTGTTCTCCTCCTCTTTGATGTTCATCTCTTCACTTTCTCCAGCGCCGGACTCACTTTGCGCCATTTTTTCCATCAAGAGGTTGCGCAGGGCATTCTCGGCGGCGGCCTGTTTTGCAGCTGGTTTCGACAGTCCTTGTCCTGTGAAGACGTGTCCGTCAACCTTCAAAGAAACAGGTTTCAATAAGTATAAAATTCTCAAATTTTGTAAGCAAAATTGTAATTTTTATTTTATTCAAATGTAATTTAATTAAAATTTTTAATTCATATTAAAATCAGTTACTTAATTTGATATTTTTTTATCCAAAGCATTTATTTAATATAAATTCAATTTTTTTATTATTTAAATAAGTTATTTAAATAAAATCCAATTTATTATTCAAAAAATTGAAATTAAAGTACTTTTATTATTCCAATCATTAATTTAATTTAATTTTTTATTATTTAAATAAGTTCTTATCAAGTATATCCAAAATTATGATGTTTTGAAGGATAAATCAATGTTTTTATCTTCAAATCAGAATCGCATTCATTCCACTGTAAAATGGCCAAACTTGAATTTGAACTTTGAGCTGTCACTTTTTTTATTAGAAGCAGATAGTGCAAATTTCGAACCTCGACGGTAACGGCGAAAAGGGTGCTGGCAGGGTTTATAGGATCGTGGAATGTGAACTTGACCGACTCGCTCATCTCGTTGAGGACCATGATGGCGTTCTTGGGCTGCAGCAGTCTGCGCAGCCGGGCGTTCATCCTCTTGCGCCGCACCTTCTTACTAACTTTGACTGGAATTGGAAGCGATTAGTCCGTTTGTCACCCGACGAGGAACACGATTAATAGAGGAAATTTTGAAATTCTTACAAAGCGGGTCCTTCTTCTTGAGCATCCACTTCTTGGCCTTGACGCCGCCGGGTTCGTCGGGCTCGAGCAGGTCTTCGTACTCGTCGTCCTGGTCCATTTTCTGCAATTGCCGTCAGGCCGGGGAGTGATTTTTCAGTATACAAGGGGTGCGCCCCCGCACTCCCCCCACCTCGTTGAGGGTGGCCGCCGCGAGCGCTGCTCATTCTTCACCAGACCAAAATATCCAAAATATATTTTGCTCGGGTTCAGAATGAAGCGTCGCTCGCGCGCGAGGGAGGCAGGCACGAGAACAACCCCTGCACATCGTACGCAATCAACCCTGGAAGACGGGGGCGGCGGAAAACAAGGCGATTAGGAAAAGTGACAGAGAGATCGAGAGGCCGACAGCAGCAGTGAATGCCATGGTCTCGTCCCGAGAGCGGCCACCAAGAATCCAAGCCAATTGCCACCAAAAATTGTTTCCGCAAAATTAAATTTTTTGCCTTTGATGGCTAAAAAGGGGGAGAGGAAAAAAAATACTAGCAAAAGTAAAAGGAACGAAACGAAAATTGGTGCTTGGCAAGCGTTCCGGTGTCTTTCTTGAACCATGCCAATCAGGCGTGAAGTCTTAGACGGGGGGCGGCGAGGGTCTCTGGCTCCTCGGACCTCTCAAGGGCCCGAGGCCCCACAGACCGCGTGGCTGGCGTGGGCCGGGACTCGACTTACGGCGTCAATTTCCGGCGCCTCTTCCTTCTGGCTGAACACGATCTGCGGCTGCACGGCCAGCTGCGTCGGCGCCGCCGTCGCCGGCTGCTGCTGCTGCATCATCAGTTGCGCTGGAAAGTGACGGAATTTCAGACATTTAAGGTTGTTCTTCACGTTTCTGGACATCGCAGCGATCGATAACCCTCAAAATGCCGTGCCAGCGTCTTGAGCGTTCTCTGCTCGCGTGCGTTATACCTGCGGTGGGGCGACCTCTGTTCCGCGTCTGGTACGCCATCGTCAACCTTAAATCTCAAACTCGAGAAATATTCAGAATCTGTTTGCAGGAATGCACGCAAACCTGCGTTCAATCAGAACCGAACAAGCGAAAACATGCAAATATGGGCGACCGGTGTGCTCAGATGCGGTTTTTCACTTCCAATTACCGGTTTTAAACAAAATCGCTTTGATGAAAACCGGTTGTTGGAGTCATTTGTAAACCGGTATCGTCGCTTTCACTCAACTCGTGATTTGATTGGTCCGTCATTTTCAGATCGGCCGAGACGACCAATGAGCGACGTGGATTTCAGAATCAGCCTGCCACGCCCCCTTTCTCCATTCACTTACTGCTCATCTCGTCGACGTAATAAAACAATTTTGATTTCGCGTTGATTATTGACCCGAAAAGAATATAATGAGCGCGATTGCGTGCACCTGTATCGGTTAACGAGTGTCACCATGGTGTGATCTGGTACCGCAAACATGCACTTCGCGATTCCGGACACGGTCGAGTTCACCAACTCGGGAGGCTCTGTTTTCGTGGTGAGGCTTTTGACCCTTTCGTGTTGTTCGTTTCGAAAATTGCAATTTTACATGTCGCAGGGCTTCAACGTGCACATCAATGGCACGTACCACTGCAGCGTGCGCTACCGGCAACTCCTGTGTCTGCACGAGCAGCTCAAGAGGGAGCTCGAGCAGCCGCACTCGCTGCCCCCGTTTCCGCCCAAGAAACTACTCCCGCTGTCCCAAGGTCAGCTGGACGAGCGGCGGTTGATGCTGGAGAAGTATCTGCAGACAGGTATGGACCATTTAATTAGTAAGAATTGTCCTTAATCGACGAGATTTGCCAGCAGCGAGCCAAGACCCGCGCGTGGCCAGCAGCGACCTCTTCAAAGGCTTCCTGCTTTCGGCCCAGCTCGAGAGCAGCAAAGAGACGAGCGCTCCGGTCACCCTGGACGTGCACCTGATGAGCGGCCAGAAAATCAGTTTGGAGGTCATCACCTCGGACCCTTCAGACGAAGTGTTGGAAGTGAGATTTTGTTTTGAAATAAAAAATCTATTTGAGAATTAATGAATGATTTCTTGCAGAATTTGAGCCAAAAATTGCACCTAGCACCAGAGTTTGTCAAGTTTTTCTCCTTGTTTTTAATTAGGAAAGACGATGACGGCAGCGGTGAAATTACTGGTACCATTTTGGATCAAATTATGAATTTTTTTTTAATACAAATTACCATTTCAGTGATCAAAAAACTGGAAAATTACGAATCTCCGTACATATCATTGAAAAGTTTACCCGGTCTTCACCGCGTTGTCCTCAGGAAGAAGTGAGGAAAAGCTCAAAAATAATTTGGATTTTTGTGTCATTTTCTCCGCATTTGTAGTTTTTGGGATCTGTCTGTGGAGACGATGCTGGCCGAGGACAGGGTGGCGCTCAACTTGCTGTACACTCAGGCCATTTGGGAGGTGGAGCGGGGCTGGATTTTAACCACTAAGGACGTCCGGAACAAACTCTCGTCGCTCCAGTCCAGAGGCGAGAAAAGAGAGGTAATCAAAATAACTTTAGTTGTTTTTAAATTTTAATTGACTTCTTTTGTTGCAGTACCTGGAAGTGGCCAAGGGGTTGAAGTACTACGGCTTTGTGCAATTCGGCGAGTGCTGGTGCGACTACCCGCACAAGGGGACCAGGGTGCTCATTGCTGCGGGGAACAAGGAGCTCAACTTCCGGGTGCGCCTGCAGTCGCCGGACGCTTCGTCCAGTTCTTCTTCGTCCGACTCTTCCGAGTCGGTCAGCGAAGGCAGCTTCAGAGTGACGAGAATGCGGTGCTGGAGAATCACCACTCTCCATGTGAGCGCCCAAATTAGAATATTATTCATTTGAAAAAAATGGAACCACCTTTTTTTATAATTATTAATATTTTAGATAATTATCCAAAAACCTTTAGAATTTTGAGAAAAGTTAAATTCAAGCTCGAAAAATTAAAAATTTTTCACACTAATTTTTCTGAATACTTGAAAATCTAAATTGATTGATTTCTGCAAAAAATGGTATCTAATTTTTTTTTTTTCAAATTCCAATATGGCCGCCGGAAATAAATAAGGGTTTACGAAAACTGCTGCCAAATTAATTTGGATAAAGATTTTTTAATTATCTCGGCGGGTGATTGGAGCTAATGAACCAAGGAATCTTTTCTGAACTATCACCAAATTACTAGGTCAAAGGTCATTGATCCTGGCAAAAGGTCAAAATATAAAGTCTTATGCCCTTTGAAATCAGGCAACATGACTAAAATCAAAGATTGCCAAATTATTCATTTTACGTTTTTGAAATAATCATTTTTATTTTTATGAAGTTTTTTTTGTTTTTAATATTGACTCTAAATTAGCTGAAAATGGTCTTTAAAAAAAAAAAAAAAAAAAAAATGAGTGTTATTTTTTTAACTATTTAAAAAAAAATTATCATCTCCGTCTTCTGATATATTTGTAATTTTCTTGTCCAGGCTGATGAAGTAAGTGAGGCTCTGGACAACTGCGTTAGTCCTGGGCCCAGACTCGAGCTTTCCTTTGAATACTTGATGGCCAAGGATCGGTGAGTTTCAATTCATTTGAAGTAAATTTTGTTGCTAATCAAAGAATCAGATTGCAGTGGATCACTGTTGTGAGCGAACAGGCGATCCTGATGTCGGCCTGTCTGCAAGCCATGGTGGCCGAGCTGCTGGCCAAGAAGGGCAGTCCGTCGACGCCGAAAGCGCCGAACCGGCCGTGGTCCTTCATGCGCCGCGACGGCACCTTCCACCGGATCAGGCCGGTCATCCGCTCCGTGTCCAGCGACGCAATTTCCGTGGGTTGAATTTTGGATCCGAAAGAGAAAAAAAATGTGAATTAACTTTTGTGTCTGATTGCAGGAGGTGAGCGTGCGGTCGCAAGACTCGACTGTTGGCAGACACGACGAGGGCCGGTCTTCGATAAAACGCCTCTCCGGGAGACTGTCTGGGATGTCCCTGAAGGGGCCCAACAGTCCGTCGACCCCTGCGAACCCTTTCGTCGAGAACGACGCGTTCGACGGAATCGGAGACGACGACCTTTGAGCAGACTGTCAATCGATATTATCCAAACCGTCCCTGGATTGGCTCTTGGACTGATTTTTGGCCAACAAGGAAAAAAATTTCAATCAAGTGGAAAAAGGAGTCGGTGCCAATTTGCAATGATTTCCACTTTGTTGCTCAACCAGCAACGTCAGACATGTTTTTAATCTCTTTTTACTTATATACTGGACGTTTTATTTGTTATCCACCCCCATTCTATCTTTTAAGCAAATCCAACTTATATATATATATTTGTTTTTTGTATTTTTTTCGAGCGGAGCAAAAAGAAGGAATATTTTTGTACAGGATTGAACAGACTGAATGTGGGACGCGCTACATATATTATTTGCAACTTGTAGATGTCACCGAGTCCTTCTTACGCAACAGATTTTATATATTTACGATACTTGATTAATTTTTGAATGTTTAGCAATGACACTTTTGTTGTTTCTCGCAAACAACTGAGGACAATTAATTAATATTACTCTCTTTTTGTTGATGTGATGTTCCCTGCATCTGGTCTGTGTGGAAATAAAATGTCAAGTTGTACTCGGCGTGAATATTTTTATTTCTCTCACACCAGAGACAATTCAAGGGCTGATCTGCCTGGTGGTCCAACTCGTCTGCTGCGTCAAAGCGTTGACAAAAAATAGAGTGGTGAGGCATCCATGATCAACTCGAAGCACTAATGTGTGTCAACCTGCATTGCAACTGCAAGCATATCCCACACACAAAAATCACACGCACAAAGCGAGCCGTTTTATTAATAATTCACTTTAATTCAACACATTTAATCCCAATTCAAATCATTTCCAATTGCACACATTTTTATCATACCAATTGAAAATTCTTCTTTCTAAAACAAGTTCTCATTATTTGGAACAAAAATATCCAATATTATTATAATAAATTTTCTTTTTTCATTGAAATAAATTTTTATTGCAATATATATTTACTTAGGAAAAAACACTTTTATTTTAAGATTTATATGTTGCGGGGCGGAGATTGCGGGACATGATTGTTAAGCCATTGCCGCCTTTTGGGTTCCCTCACAGAGCAATTACTTTTCGCGCCCTGAAGGTGGCACCCTGAACGACAGCTAGCAGCAAGAGGAAGAGGAGGAGGAGACGCTCGCGAGCCACCGGCCGGCAAACATACCCGTGTGTGCGCCACGCGCTTCAATCAAATCTCTCTGTCGTGGCGCTCAGTGGCCGAGTGTCACGACCAGTCACGACAGTATATCATCTCGTGCGTAGGGCTGCTATGCTTAAATCTTGCGTAGTGCGGGATGTGAGCGCTAAAATATATTCATATTTGAATATAGTTCCAAGTTTCTTTTTTTTTCAAATATTTTTGTCAATCAGTTTTTCAAGCCCCAATTTTGAACATCTGCAAAATTGGCTATTCCGTTGTCAACACTTATTTTGACTAAAAAAAAAATTGTTAACAAGGCTTTCATTACATACAAAAACAGCAAGAAATACCCCGAAAAATTTATTTTCTGTTTACTTCAATTTTATAAATGATAACATGATTTTTGCACGAGTCAATTCAACTCTTCTGTAATTCAAAAAATAAAATTGTATAAAATTTCACATGGGATTGCCGCCGTTGTTGTCGAAAACCATGTCTCCAGACTCTCGCACCATCACGCCGTTGTTGTAAAATCGAGTTCTGATGCTGAAGGCAGTCGGTCGTCGAGTGACTCTGAGGTTCCCGTAGGAGATGGTCAGGTTCCAGTCGACGTAACTGTTGGGGTTGCCGTCCAAAAAGCTTCGAATTTCCTGCTCGAGCGCGAACCAACACGATAAACCATCGCCCGCATTTCTGTTGACGAGCCTCGACTGCGGCGCAAAGTTGAAGTCGACGGTGGGGCCGCCGAGGGAGGCGGCCAGCAAGTGGCCACGTTCGTCGCCCACCTCCGCGTTCATGTTGGTCATGCGACGGTTGATCATGGACGGGATGGGTTCGCGTCGAGCTCTGTGGCGCGGCGTGATTCGAGCCCGGATGAAGTAGGTGAGCGGCACGTTGTCTTCCATGTTGGCGACGGGCGGCGCAGGCCACACCAGGTACTCAATGATTGGGTTGTCCACACTTGACACGTGCTGAAAATTAACGCTTTTTTTAATTTTGTAGCATAGGCACACGATTGTTATAAGACCATGTGTCATAACTCTAAACTTTTTTGACATTTTTTTACATTTCAACCCCTTTCTTGGCAAGCGTCAATGGATTTGTTGAAAATTAGCATGTCGGTTCCTTTAGGTGTGTCCCATAACAAAAACAGTTAAAGAGTTTAATAATCCTTAAAGTTGCCTATTTTACAGGGGCTCAAATTTGTTTTTTTTTTATCTTGACAAATTTGTTTTCAAAAATCAAAAATATTTCAGCTCCTGTTAACGATAGGGCTAAAAATTTAATTACTCTATATAATTGTAGGGCGCATATACCATAATACTAAATTTCATGAAAATCGGTGACTTTGCCAACACATGTGTTCTTGGCTAAACAAAAAACTGACAATTTTATAACAAGATGAGGATGATTAAAGCGCAGTTAGATAAATTAAAATTGATCTCACACGAACGCCGCCAGGCAACAGCGCTCTCAAAGTATCGATAACATCTCCAACTCCAAAGTTCCTCATGATCCCTTCCCCAAAACCTCGTTTTTTTCGCTCGTTGCACGTGGGATAACTTCTCATTTTGCTACAAATTAATTAATATCTCGTCATTTTCGTACAATGGTACATGTTTATATTTGTCGCCGCTGCACTTACTCGTGAATCTTGTTCAAGGTGCCCAGGGGGATGGGGTCGGGGGTGCAGTAGTTGTTCTCGCCGGCGTCGCCCGTGAAGCACCAGTTGTAGGCCGAGTCGACTCGAGTGCAAAGGCCAGTGCAGGGTTTTTGCTTTCGGCCTTTTCTCTGCGAAATGGGCAGCTGAACCTTACTTTCACCACTCGGTGTGCAATATCCACCCTTCGAACTGCCCCAGCCTTTCCAGCAATAATAATAACTTGACAGCCAGGCGCACGCTGTAATGCACATTTCTCCGGTGTCTGTGACGTACGCAGTCTGTTGAATGGAAAATTTATGTACAAATAATCTCACCATTTTCACACAATTTATTATTGGCTGCCAAAAACCAGTGGTTTCCAAAAGTTTCATTTTTTTTTATTTGATTACAGCAGAAAAATAGTGTAAAAAATACAATGACATAATGCGCAATGCCAAAATTTCAGAAGATTTTGGTTTTATTTTTTGTTTTCTGTTAAAAAAAAAATTAAAATAATGAAAAAATCTAGAACATATTGGCCACTGTCACGGAAAATATTGTCCGATCCACCCCCCCCCCCCCCACAACTTTCCCATAAGAAACGATGCGATAGACGGGTGGGGCCCCACCCGAGAGCAGACTATTTTCCGCGACAGTAACGATATAAAAATATGTAAAATTTGAAATTTTTTTTTTACAAAAAAAAAATCTACAGCGGCCCTAAATGAAAAATTCCTCTTTTTTTAAATCAATTTTTTTTAATATTTAACTGCCTTACCAAAGTTTCCAGCTTTGTCTGTTACCATCACTGACATGTTTAAGGCAGTTGAAAATTATTTCTAACTCTCTATTAGGTTTTTCAGTCTAGAAGTAATTTTTTACCTGCATTTGGTTGTGTTCATGTTGCACTGAATTCGCCAATAATAGAGCAAGGAGAGCAAGACTGATTGAAGCGCCGCTGCCCGCCATCGTGATCAAATGACGTCTGCCTTTTTTTTTGCAAACGCCCAGTGCTGACTTTGAGATTTGAGAGGTCACCGCGAAGGCTATCAGATAATTGAAACAAAAATTCTATAACTCCATTACTATTTTTGCAGTATTCAATTTACTTCCTTTTTACATTTTGATGTGGCAAAAATCAACCTTAGATTTATAAAATAAATTATTTTTACAAACTTTACAACAATTAAATGTGTACTTTTTGTATACATTTATCATTACAACTAGATGTCTTTTTTCTCAAATTAAAAATCTTTGTATTGATCGAGAAGAATAAATATTAATGACATTCCCATTAAGAAAATACCTTCAAGCTTAGATTGATCGCGAGAAATAAATTTGTACATTGGTTCTTCTGGGATATTTCACCATATCTCAGAAACTGCCTGATTATTTTTGTCCATATTTTCAATAAGATCAATGGAAAAATACTACGAAAAAATCGTTCAAGCTATTTTTCAACACTTTCAATTAAATTGTTAGCAAATATGTGGCTGGCAGAGTGTATTACTATTTTTTTAACAGTGCCAAAGAACTTTGACCTTTTTATTGATAATGCAATATTTGACCTCACGATGTCTGACGTCATGAATGCGAAATTTATCATCCATTTTACGATTATATAGCCACGTTTTTTGCGCATGAATAGGGTCAAAAAGCTCTACACCGATTTTAGTTCTATACTCAACTCTCAAGATGAAAGCTCTGTTGTGGATGATTTTGCCAGTGCTGGCGTTGATTGACAGATCCAGTGGCACCTTTCCCTTTGCAAGTGATGGCAATGACCTCTGTTTCACACCTTGCACCAGGAAACATGTATGTTTTTTTTAAGCAAATTTTTATTTTTATTTTGTCATGATATAAACTTTTCTATCAAAAATTTGTTGCAAATTTAGAAAACATGTGGCAAGGGGTTGTAGTTTTAATGGAAAATAATTTTTTTTAATTATAATACAAAAAAATCATCAATTTAAAAAAAAAAGTGTTAAAAAAAGTATCCCTTGTTTTATGAACTTGTAGTGTTTAATTTTGATAATAAATATATATTCTGTGTGCATGATTTAAGGCTAATGTTCCAACGTGCTTCACATCTCCCGACAGTCCTGTAGAAAGCCCTTGCTCCGAGAAACCAAATTACGTGCCGCTGTACTTCACCGAAATGACTGGCAGCAACGAGATTCCCGTTTGCTACTCGTTGTGCGGAAAATTTGCAAGAACCGACTACGCTTGGTGTTGGGTTGACGAGCACGGAAACTGGGACTACTGCAACCCAGGCATGTGGGACTTTTCAATCCAAGACAATCGAAAGTACATTGCCATGTTGTAAAAAATCCCCCGCAAAATGTTGAAATAAAATTTTTATGTTGAAAAGTATGTGCATTTTTTATTTCACTACTCATAGCTAGGGATGGGCAAAATCATTTTTTAATTCTAAATATGTGGTGAAATAATCGATTTCTTCCTTAAAAATGCGGACATTGGACAATTTCCTTGGCACGCAACGCAAGTGTCTCATTTTCCTCTCGGACTTGCACGAAGTTCACGACTTTTGCGGGGCGACGCTAATTTCCAAAAAAACGCTCGACACTGGTGTAACAGTTTGTCAATTGGGAAGTTTCCCCAAAACGTCCTTTATATCATTAATTTCCATAAAGATTGGAAGGTAAAATTTTTAGCTTCAAACTGTGAAAATCAAATTTCCTTAGAAACAGGCTTGAATAATTTTGCATTAATTAGAACAGTTTAGAATTAAAAAAATTAGCTTTAGTAATTTGAATATGCTGAGTGTTATTTTTAGCCGCGATCAGCTTTCGCGGCACAAAACATACATATACGGACAAATACGGAATTTATTATCACAACATGAACTTTTTTACGCTGGTTTTGTCTCAAATATCTCGCTTCTCCGAACGCAATTCCACGTCAAGGCGATTAGTCACAAGTTGTAATTTAGCATCTAATCTTATTTCAATGTCAGTGTTGGAAGAAAATGCAAATAATTTAATGATTTCTCACGCAGTTTGATTTTTAGATGAAACGATTATTTCAGTTTAAAAAATAAATTGTAAAGATTTGCGTGTAGAAGAAGTGAAATATATTCCTTGATTCGACGAATATAAAAATGAACAAGCGCCTGCAGGAATGTTAGTTATGCATCCCGCCGGTCTTCGAAGTGCTGCGGGTTGCATCGAAATGAAACGAACGTGTTTTGTTTTGGTTTTGTTTTTATTCCACTGAATGTTATGGCTCGACTTTGTTTTTCACTTAGTGTATTTTTATTGTCTGCAGAGTTCGTCTAAACATAGAAAAGCAACCAACATAATAATGTTATTATATGCGGCAATGGCTGCGCGAGTCGCCGTCGCCGTCGCCGCGCGCCTACCCATCAACAACAATCACTTTTTAGTTATGTAACACAGTGTCCAGCAAAATAGATATGTCATCTCGTGCGTAGGGCTGCTATGCTTAAATCTTGCTTAGTGCGGGATGTGAGCGCTAAAATATAGTTCCAAGTTTTTTTTTCACAAGTGAATAATTTTTACACAGCGTCTGTGAGGAGAAAAACCTATCAAGCGAAAAGGGGCAATGAATTGACTTTCCTAACGCAAAGTAAATAGTTTCCACTTTTACTCATCGTTCGATATATTGACTACAGTTTTTGTAAGGTTTCTACACTTACTGCAATTGACATTTAGCTCGCTTTTATTCCTCCTCCGTGCCGAGATTGTAATATTCTTTTTAATGATAAAGAGGAAAATTGCTATAAAAACAACGCGCTTTGAATACAAATTCAGTCACAAACTCTTATTTAAAAACCATCTATAGGGCGGCTCATATATAATTGCATGGCTGCGTCCACGAGACATTTGAGATGATTTTAATTTAAACTTTTGGAATCAAACCGTCATTATGGTTGAAATGTTTAAGGGCCAAAATTTCATGTAAAAATTTTGAACATGCGCTGGATTCAGGACTTTTTTTGATAAAATTTCCTGCTTAGATATGAAATAAGAAAAAAAAGCATTTTCACGTAGTTTCATAACTTTTCGCTGCAAACAACTTTCCCATTGACCTTGACGTCATAGATAGATGTTCAAGGTCACACCTCAATGACCTCAAAATTGTCATAGAGGCTGCCCATCCCATGGATATGAAAGTGCTAAATAAAAAAAAGGAAGCCCAAGTCATAAACAGTAAGAAATTCAATAACATACTAAAAATTTGTGACGTTGAGTTTGAGATATCCTCATTTGAAGCTTTGAAAGTGGTAAAAATTTGCCGTTTTTCTTACGTAAAAATGCTTTCTTTATATTTTAATTTCCAAGCAAGCTTTGCTCATTTTGAAATTTTTTTCAAAAAAGCTCAAAATCCGGCAAATTTTCAAGATTTTTGAATTTTGAAATCTGAATGTCAATCCATACTTATGGGGATTATTTTAAACCGAGAATGGTTTAATTTATTTCAAAATTTTCGTTCAAAATCAATCCCAAACGTTTCCTGGACGCAGCCTGATAAATTTTTGTCTGTGTAAAATTTGAAATGTGTCAACGCCTTTACTCATTTAGCAACAAGAATTGATTACAAGTTACGTGTGTCAGGTATCCAATTTGTCAACGCCGTCCCAAGGTAGGTCTGTAAATGGTCACAATTAAACGAAATAATTTGAATTCCAAACACACACGCACACGTATGAATAGTTATAGAAGCCCTAAAAATTTTGGGGTTTTTCTTGAAAAACGTTCGGTACAAAATCTTACGAGCTACAAATGCGCGCGGATAAAATGTTCTCTGCAATGATGAATGGAGGAGAAGGTCCAGGGTGGCTCAAACAAGAGAGGGGAGGTTTGGATTTTTATCTCTAGAGGCCATCCGCGGACGTTGAGCATTTATTTATATAGTTTTCTAAGTTTTCAGATCGGAGCGAGCCACTCTGCGCTGTCTAAAAACCGGTTAATTTGCTAATTATATATCATAGATATACCTACTGCAGGTGTGATGTGTACACACCATACATTTATAAATATGTACACACTTATAATTGTAGAGTGGATTGTGCTGAGCTAGAGAAAAAGACTCGTGTCTGTGTGTCTGGTCAGAAATATATATGGAAGCGTCTCAGTTGAACCTACGTGCAGGTTGCTTAAGTAATTGAGTATATGGTACGCGAGCGAGATTCATAAAGTTAACAGCTAGTGGACCACATTCAGATTTATACTTTTCTTTTGTAGAGGCCTAAAACACGTGTGTCTGTCAATGAGCAGCTCGCAACTCCCAATAATTGCACCCTAAATCGCGCTCGACCCGCGGCCAAGATCGCACCGCACTTTTTTCCCACCAAAATCATATTCAAAGAGGATGGAACCACCTCAAATCCTCCACAAAACACATATATGGATCATTTTGATGACCTCAAAATTAGGGGTCAACACGTAGAATTTTTAGAAAAGTTACATTGTACATTAAAAAAAGGTTATTTTTAACACGTTGTTTTAGAAAATGAAGTTAATTTATGAACACTTGTAATTATAATTGATTTGTGGAAAGATATTTCACGATGATTGAAACAAATTGTATTTCTCAAATTCAAATATGGCCGACAGAGATAAATTAGGGTTTACTAAAACTGCCGCAAAATTAATTTGGGTTAAATATTTAATTTTTTCGGTGGGAGGTTGGAGGTATTGAGCCAAGCTATCTTTTCTTAACAGTCACCAAGTTCCTAAGTCAAAGGTCACTGACCCTGGTGAAAGGTCAAAATAGAAAGTTTGAGCCCCTTGAAAATAGGCAACCTGAAGAAAAATCAGAGATAGCCAAAATATGCCCTTGTCATTTTGTAAAAAAAGTTCAAATCATCAAAATCTTTGAACAAGGTGTTTTGAAAATAATATTTGCTTTCAAAATAGCGTCACAATGACTGAAAATTTGGTCTATTCCAATGATTTCATTAATGGAAAATGATAATTTAACTCGATTTTGATTACCATATTTGAGTAGAATTGAATAGGATTTTGTGTGCATTCTACTTAAATTTGAAGCTTTTGAAAATTAATTTGTAGGAGGTTCCATCTTCTTTAATCAATGAGTGAATTGACACGGCCAAAGTTACAAATGATATGTGAATTTAGACTGCTTTTGATATGAATTTGGTGCGGTCCGCTGGCGCCGGGTCTCGCCTACCGAGGGAGAATTAAGCACGAGTTGGATATAGTTTAATTATACACACCCTATCGAGAGAGTTAATTGATTGATTTTACAGCCAATACTACGACATTTCACAGCGATATTGATGCGCGCCTTACTATATTAATAATTATTATCGTACTTTTCTCGACAATTCCGCGTCTCGACTAAAATATAATATTATATATTGTCCTGTCTCGACATTCGTGTATCATGTGATTGACCCAAAATCAAAAGTGAGAGAGACGTAAAAGTTGTCACTGGCACACAGATTACAAAAATATGCGTTGACGCTCATTAGAAATATACCCATGCACACACGTATCTGATTTAAAATTTCGACGGAACGCGCGCCAATTCATGGTAAAACTGCTTCGATTTTGCTTGGTGAGAAATACACACGATTAAAGCGATCAACCAAAGCACACTTTTTTCCCCCTCTTTTTAAATAATCCGCTTTAACTTTTGCCCTCTCACTTGCTTAAAAATACGAGTACATTAGCGCGATAAATATAATAATATATGACACGTGTTTGTGCGTAAATCTCGACTTTGAAACATTCATTGAATATATATAATTAGTACACAACTATAGTTATAGTTGATCTCTCGACATGTGTGGGATGAACTGCGGTTATTGAGCACAATAAGGCTTATGTAGTACACAATTTTACATCGACGTCTCCGCAACGAGCGCGGCCAAAATCTTCTTTCAATATTGGACAAATTTCGATTTGGAGTTTATTGCGATTTTGTACTGCGCTAGCTGCGAATTTCTTGTTGATTTTGGCCGTCGCCCCCCGTTCCTAATCTACTACATTTAACTAGTCTGCGTATTGTCTCCGTGTGACCACCAACCGTTCAAAATTATACCTGTCTCTGGAAAAAATACTCATCTTTCTCTCTCAGTGTAAAAATTCGATCTCTCGTCGGGTCTCGTACAAATTGATTAAAACCCTCTCCTCCCCAATAATGTCGTTTTATTTCTGATTTCAAAAGAACCAACACAAAATTTCACGATTTATTTGGAAAAAGGCAAAAAAATTCCAATTCAACCCAATAAACAAGTCCTAGAAATTGAGACTTTTCCCTTAAGATTCTAATGCTTTTGGCGGGAAAGTATGAACATCCGTTTCTTAACCCTTATAAATGAGCATTTGTTGATTGCAATTTCAATTTAGTCGTGGGATTGTGCATTCTTTCAAATTCAAAAATAAAAATCCAAACTGGAGACGCCCTTTAAAACTCTGTCACTCTTGTATTCAATGAAAGAGCAGAGACCCCATCCATAATTTCACGGTGAAAAAGTTTTTCTCTTAAAAATACCATCTCTGTTCTTGGATTTTTTTTTTGTTTTGTTCTCTCAAGTACGAAAACTCTCGCGTAGTGCCATTGTTTGTTTAGTGTTTGTTTTTCTTAGGCCTGAAGCAAAAACGAGACGGTTGGTTGATTTTTTTTTTGGAGAGAGCGGCCCTGCGCGTTGTCTCTCAAAATCTGCCCTTGCAAAAAGGAATAATTGCGTAGTGAAACGAAGGAAGAACGACCTTGCGCGAGATTTGTGCGATGTGAGGGGGTGGGGGTGACGCGCCCGCCGACCAGCGGCAGGGGCGGCGAAAATCAGGGTCTAGGGGCGGCCCCGGTCGCGACCTCGCTGCTGTCAGTCCGAGTAGCGCTGCATCTCCCTCTTGATCCACGGCACAAAGTGGGGCACGTACGCGTACACCCCTGGCAAGCGGGGGTGCGCGCACTTGATGCCCCAGCTCACGATGCCGCCCACGAACCACGCGCCCTCGCGCTTCAGGTCGCGGCACAGCAGCGGACCGCCAGAGTCGCCCTGACACGCAAAAAACAAACGTTCAGTCCCAAAACTACGATTATTCCTGTAAAATTTGTCCCATATTCCAGCAATCACGTGCATTTTCATCATCTTTTGAGACGCTTTTTCAGAGATTTCCCCCACCCGCTACCCTTTGTAGGGGAAAAGTACCTTTGAAGGGTGGCGTATTTTCTATTTTTTGTAGTAATTTTTCTATTCCTTGTACAAACATGAAACCAATGCCAACCAATAGGAAATTTATTTAGCTTTCAAAAAGTTAGCTATTTAACTAAAATTTGACAAAATTTGGCGCCAAAAAGTTCTATTGTTTGGACATAAGTCAATTTTTGCAATTTTTGTATTGTTTTTTTTTTTTATATAGTTTTAGCTCCTGTAGAAATCATTTGACAGAGAAATGATTTGAACAAAACTTGAAGAAAACTTAATTTTGCACAATTTATGTATTTAAAATTTTCATCTAAATCCAAAACGAAAAAAGTTATACAAGCGGAAAGGTTAAAAAATGAGATTTTCTGCTCAACGTTACAATTAGGGGTAACGCCAAAAATTGTCTGATCGAACTATTTAAAAGTTAATGAAATTTGAAAATGAAGAAAAATGGGCTTGACCTCGTTGCAAAAATTGTTTTTATTAAATTTCCCATCTTTAATATTGTTTTCTGATGCTTATGATGCATAAAATGGAAAAATTAATAAAAAATACGCTACATTTTCAAGATACTTTTTTACCTAAGGTAGTGGTAGGGGAAGTCTTAAGACAACCCCATATAAAGATGGTGAAATTTCAGTTTGGCTTCAATTTTTTTACTGGTTCAAACCTTCCTCTTCTGAACTAACTTTGAAACCAAAATATTTAAACAAAAAGAGGAAGAATTTTCATCATTTTTTTTTATTCCTTAACTATCTGAAAAAGGAATACAGAGAAAAAATATTGTCTCAGAAAAAGCAGAAGGAATAAAAATTTTGTCTAAAATTCGTGCGGAAAGGAAATTAGAGATATTGCAGTCCAAATTTAGGTACAAGAGTAATTTTTGGGTTTTACGTTTTACTTTTCTGCTTAAATATAAACGATTTGTTAATTGAAGTTAAGAATTATAAAATTGACCGACCTGGCAAGCGTCTCTGCCTCCCTGTTCGAAGCCGGCGCAAATCATGGTCTCGGTGACGTTGACGTTGTTTTCCTCGAGCCAGGTGTTGCAGACGCGCCTCTCGACGATGGGCACCGACACCTCGTTGATCACCGGCTCGTAATCCACTGCAGTGTTCATTGATATAAATTTAGCAAAATAATATGCAGCAAAAAACGGTTACCGTCGTTGTCCTCGCGCTTGCCCCAGCCGATGACCGTGCACCGCGTGTCCGGCTCCAGTTTGTGGTTTTCGGGCGGCAGACAAACGGGCAGCAGGTGTTCGTGGAAGGTCACGCGCTTTTGCAGCTTTAAACGGAAATTTAAATTTAGTAGGAAACAATTAATAACTAATACAAATATATAAATTAATTTAAAACATTATCATAAGAATTAAACTATATTAAATGCTCAGCACAAATTTAGGTTCTCCCATGTATTTCAAATTATGACATCTCCTTGGAAATTATATCTACAAACCAAGGCTGGAATGTAATGTTAATTTGGCCATTTTTTTAGCTTCAACTCAATATTTAAATTGCATAGGAGGAATTAAAATTATATAAATCTCCACAAATATGCCTTATTTTGATGAACCTATTTGGATCGTATCCGGCGTACCTGGAAGAGGGCGACGTCGTTGTCATGGGTGGTGCCCTTGTTGTGGAACGGGTGCGGAACCACGCGGCGCACTTGGACCCTCTGACTGAACACCGAGTGCGATTGCCGCCGGGTCACGCCCAGCTGGATCGTCCATCCCGAAGGGTCCGATTGACTTTTGGCAAAATGAAAATCAGTTAAATTGTTATAAATTTACCTTGTCTTTGATAGGAGTTGAAAAATAAAACATCTTTTTAAAAAACAAATTTATAAAGACGAAAATTGATTAAATTAACCCTCGAATTTTAATGAAAAATAATTAAATTTAGCTCTCGTAAATGTAATCTTTAAGAATATTCCATTCATACTTTTTATTCACGGATTTGAATGAGGCTAAAACGTTTTGCTGTAATAAAAACACAAAATGCCAAGTAAAATAAATTTAGAATGAATTTAATTACAAATATAATAATTTATAACTATTTGTGCTTTTATTTTAAGCAAATTATTTCAAGAAACAATTGTGCCTTAATTTCAAAGACCTTAATTTGCTTTTCATGGAAACTTTCACTTTTGAGGGTGGAAAGTGTTGGAATTAATAGGAAGTGGACGTACTTTCCGACGCAGTGCGAGGCCGAGAGGACCCACTGGTCCGAGATGAGGACGCCGGCGCAGTAGAAAACGTGTTCGGGTCCGCCGAGGAGGGCGGCGAGGAAGGGCCAGTCGCCCGGCGCCGACTCGGTGCCGCCGACGATGCGCTTCGAGTTCCTGCTGTTGCTCGGCCGCTCAGCCAACCGACGCCGACCGCACGCTGCAATTTTCATTAATTACAAAGAATATATCAAATTATGAAGTTGATTTCATTGAAAGAGTTTGAATGTAACAATTTATTAAAAAATTTAATTAGCTAATTAACAGAAAATTTAGCTTTTAAACACATAGAATGTGATTTTCAACAGGAAATTAGAAGAAATGCAAAATTTATCATGTAAAGATGCAAAAAATGTTTTAATTTAGAGACAAATAATAATGTGTTTATTAATGATTCTAATTAAATTTGAATTATCCATAAAATTTGTTCTTGAACCAAATAAACTTTCATTTAACAAAATTGAAACCAAATTTCCAACTTCTTTTCCTATAGAAATTGAAAAGAGAACTGAAATAAGGCCAAATTTTATTCCATTTTTTTAACCTTTATAATTTCAAAATCGATTAGTTCTTGCAGGAGTAATTTCAAATTGCCCATTCATATTAAAAAATTATTCTTTTTAAAGATTTTCAAAGATCGCTAATGTTAAAATTAAAAATTGAAAATACCGTAGTCCTTGCAGGAGAGCTCGACGGTGGGAAAGTTGTGTCCGGGGCAGGACCGGACGTCCTGCAGCAGCTGGCTCTGCAGCAGCAAACTGCCGGCGGTGCGCGGCTCTTCGTGGCTGGTCCAGCCGAGGCCGATCACGGGCAGCGGCGGCACCGCCTTGTTGAACGCCAGCTTGGGCGCCTTGGCCTGCTCCAGCACCATCAGCGGCCGGCTGTGGTTCGACTCGCTGAACCACAAGTTGTTTTTTTTTTAAATGAAAAAATTAAATTTTTAGAAAACCTGTAGCCGAGGAGGCGGCACACCTGCGTGGGGCTGATGGCCTGGTCCCACCGCGTCACGCACGCCTGTTGCCACGCCGCACGCTGAGGGTGGTAAACCTCCAGCATCCCGTGCGCCTCGTCACCCATCCGCTTGCTCAGCCGCACTGCAAAATCACACAAATTTAAAATCTTAAAATCAATCCGTTTTGACAGAAGTTTGGGAAATAATCTAATTATTTGAGCAATTTTAATTTGACATTAAAATTTTTAAAATTTATTTATAGAATTTCATTAATTTTGGTTATTCCCTACATGAATTTCTTAATTGAAAATCTCTAGAAATGGCGAATCTTTTGGCTACCTCGCAATTTTTGTCCCAGGTTGCCTATTTTCAAGGGGCACAAAACTTTATATTTTGACCTTTTGCCAAAAGGTCAATGACCTTTGACCTAGAAACTTGGTGACCATTTAGAAAAGATACCTTGGTTGATTATTTTGAACTTAACACCAAGAAAATGAAAAAATCTTTACTCAAATTAATTTGGCAGCACTTTTAGTTTATCAAGCTCTGGTAGCCATATTGGAATTTGGCCAGTAAAACGTTTTTGGAGAATTGAAACTTACAGCAATTGCGCTCGTCCTGGCCGTAGGGGCAGTCTGAAATTCCGTCGCACATGTGGCTGTTCTTGATGCACTTTCTCCTGCCGCAGTGGATCATTCCTGAGGACAAAACGTTGAAATTTTCAAATTTACATTTGATCCTTTCTTTGTACCTTCAGGACACCCTTTGCACTTGAGCTCGTCGGTCTGGTCCTCGCAGTCGATGTGTCCGTCGCACCGCCAATCACTCGGAATGCAACGCGTCCGGTCGCACTGAAATCCGTCCTTGCATTCTGCAAACGCAAGTAAATTTTATAATTGGCTAAAATTCCAGGAATGAATAATACCGAGTGAAGAAATGTGAAAGTAAAAACATTTTAGACTAGAATTTGTCCTTTTTTGTTAAATAAAAAGAAAATCATGGTAATCCAAAGAGAAAGAAATTAATGAAATGTCTAAAATGACTTTTTGATAAAAAAAAAAAAAAAATGGATTATTTCAAGGAAAAACTTTCATTTTCAGCAAATGTTTAGTTTGTTTTTATAATACCTGGTTTTTTTGCCCTGGAAACGACGTCCATGACCTCCTTCTTGCCGACGCACACCTCGGGGTCGTTCGAGTTGGGCAGCATTTTGCATTTGCTGAGTTCGTCGGGGAACTTGAGCGCGAACACGTCCACGAAGAATTTGCATCTCTTCCAAGTTTCTGGGGAAAAAACGAGAGAGAGAGCAAAGTTGGAGCGGGCAGAGCAAAAAGCCACTTTGATGTCAAAGCATTCATTGTTGGTCGACAAATGAACTGTTCTTGTTTGTCTTGTTGCAGCCCTTTGACGGGGGTGAAGCCGCCGAGGGCGCAAAACTGCTTTTTGTCGCCAAACAACGTCTCATTTATTTATTTCTCCTCTCGAGACAAAGAGAAACAAAAGAAAGAAAAAAAGAAAGAGGTTCACAAACCTTCGCACAGGTTCTTGCAGGGGGGAACGGTGTTTCCGTCCGACCTGCACTTGGGCACGAACAGGGTGCACAGAAAAAGGGCCGCCAACTCGTAGCACCGCACGTCCACCAGGGCGTCGTAAACTTCCAGTTCCTGCCACAGTAATTATCCACATTTCATTATAATGACAATTTTTCCAGTTAAAAGTTCCCAAATATTGTATTTTTCCACTAAATTTTGATTCCATTTTCTTTGAAATTCATTTTATTTGGTTTAATTCTCAATTTCTGATGAACATTGCTATTTTCAATAAACAAAGACCAACCAATATAGATTAATACTCTTTTTTTTTTCAAATCTCTAAAAATTTTAATTGAATATAATTTAACCTTCTCAATATGATTCTAGTGTGATGAAAAATGATCTCATTTTATAAGACATTCTTTTCATTTCTATTTTTCATTTTTATGAAGGTGGTTGGCCTTGGTAGGAAAAGTGACAATGAATTTTCTAGAAGAATTAGTTTTATAAACACTTTTTTTAAGAGAATACAATATTTATAAATTTTCCAAGGAAAAAGAAAGTTAATTAGTGAAAATAGTTTTCGTTTGGACTTGCTTTTTCCCCGTTGCAAAATTGACAAACACTTTGGTGGGTCGGAACGTCGGAACATACGTGTTTTTGATTAAACGGAAAGTTTCGTGTGGCGGCTTAAGTCAGGATCGGGCGGCATAATATGCTGTGCGAAGCGAAAGACAAACAGCTAGGGGATGTGGCAGCCGAACCATCGCAACTTTGCCGAGGGACGGATCGATTGCAGGCAATAATTCACAACAAAATTCCTCTCTCCAGAGAGAGAGAGAGAGATCCGCAATCGCCCCCAGTCTTTCCGTGTTTGCTCTTCCTCGAATCGCACCAAAATCGAGTCTCCGATTGGTTTTCTTTGGAACAATTAACGATTCTTTGAACACAAGCCAAACTTAATCTTTACTTCAGTCAACAAAGCATACCTCTCCACAAATAATGTTCGCGTTTCAGCCAAATCGCTTCCGAACTTGATCGCGAATAGTTTTGAAGCAAAATTAATCAGATTGAAAAAGGAGTTATGCAACCCAAATGCGTACATGTCAGGCAGGTTGCCTACATCTGGAAAATTGGAGGAAAATTCATTCAATGAGTCAAATTCTTTCTGTTTCCAAGTTGAAGCTATCAATGTGAGATTTATCTCAATTTTAAGGCAAGTTCCCTGAATTTCTATTGAAAAAGATTCAAAATTGCTAATTTTATGGGACATTTTAGGAAATTAAAAAAAAATCTCGGCTTGTAGTAATTGTAGAACAATTATATGGGTATGGCTGAACTTGTCTCTGAAATTTCTACAACTTTTCTGCGGAATGCAAAATTGGAAGTCAAAGGTCAAGGTCATTTTCAATGATTTTCAACCTCAAATTTGAAAATCGTCAACAATTTCAAATCAATTTTGAGATAGCCAAACGATTTCTCGTGAATTTTTCGTAACACATTTATGTAAAAACTACGACGAGGCTACTTTTTCAAATGTAAAACGACTCAAAATGATAAAAAAAAATTACATAGAGTCAATATTAAAATCGCCTTTTACTTCCTCCATGATGATTTAGGGTAAAAAATTGTTATGAGCAAAGATGATTCCTACGTCAAGACCAATCGAATGGTGTTTATAACAATGACCTTTGGTGACCTTCAGGTCTAAGGTCACCCGGGTCGGTGACCTGAGATCACCCAATCCAACCTGACCTAGATGTGTGACACATATTTGAAAATTTCTCGTTGAGAGGATAATTTTAATCTCCAATTTTTGGTCTCTGCCTCTACTAAAAAACGGATATTTGTATTTTTCGTTCAATTAATTTAATTGTAAAATATTAATAATAATTAAATTTCACTGAAAGTATTTCCTTCTAAAAATTCATATATCTACGATTTTTCATCCAATTCAGACTCATTTTAATTCCAAATTTTATATTTGAAAAAATTATAGCTTTTGGAAAAAATGGAAATAGTCGAGTTTATTCCAAAATTGAATTTGAACGTTATTAGAAAAAAAAAACACATTTTACGTATGAGAAATATTTAAATGCAATTTATACTGACCGAGGTTGCGTCGCGTTGCGAGACCTGTCCGAAGTAGTTGGGGAAGCTGGTGTAGTTGTAGGGCACCCTGTGTTTGAGGCAGAGGGGGGCGATGACGGGCAGGCACTGGCCAGGGTTCGGGTTGTCGTCCTTGGGCATGATGGCGATCGTGGTGGTCACCGTGCGGTTGATGTACCGGATCTGCGGCGCCAATTCTGGAAACGTAGACCAAAAAAATTAGGCAAAATTTATGAAACGAAAAGGCCGGGGAAGTTTTTTTCACCTTTCTGCTGGCTGCGCAGGTAGACGGCCAGGGCGATGCCGATGGCGATCAGCACCACCACGTTCACCACCAGCTGGATTATCCGGAAACGCACGTTGTCCTTGGTGGAGAGGCAGCGCTTGGCCGACGGACGACGCATGTCCCGCAAGATCTGACAAAAAATGAAAAAAAAATTCAAAATAAAAAAATTTGAATGAATTCAGTTATTTTCAAACAAGAGATGATAAAATTAGTGACAACCTCCATCGTCCCTTGAATTTTTTAATAGAATAAAAAGTAAAAAGAATTGAAAGAAGTTTGGCTCATTCAAGAATGTCATTTTGGGTGAGAATTAAAATTGAACAATTCTCAATTATAAAAAAGAAATCGTTAATAGCATTCAAATAGTTTAAAAACCTTGGCTAACTGAAAATAACGTGTTCAAATTGAATCTCTGAGTGATTAAAAAATAACTTTTTGAACGAAACTTTCAAGCTTTTTATATGTTAGCACTAAAGTCAAACAAATTCCAAAGGTCAAATAATTTTTCAGCAACGGAATAGTCTTTTTGTAAATCTTGTAATAATTTTTGAAGCATGAATGATTTCAAATTATTCTTTAATATTTACATTTTTATAAAAAAATGTTTCATTTAAATAAAAGGTTATATGCTAATTTAACATAATATGAATTCAAAAATAAATGATTATAAATAATAATAATAATGATTATTTCTATCATAACATCAACAAATGAAACAATTGTTGAGCTGTAATTATATAAGTTTTAAAAAAAGAATAATTTGAATTTACTATTAAAAAATTAACTATTAATCATTCAAGTTTATGTATTTATTTCTTATTAAATGATTTAACTATATTTTTTAGATTTAAATAAATAAAGTCAAATTTTAGTAAAAAAAAGCATGTTTTTGGTTAAAATGGTTTTGAATTTTTGAAAAAATTGAATTGAATTTTATTTTTCAAAGTATAAAAAATTAGTTACCCTGTGGTGGAGAGAGAGGTTGGAGCCGGTGATTTTGACGACGGCCTGCAGACTGGCTGGCGTGGCGGCGCCGTTGATGTCGGCGGCGAGGCCGGCGACCTTGGCGGCGCCGAGGAGGGCGACGGTGCCGACGACGTCCTTGCCGGCGTCGACCTGTTTGGGCGGCTTGCGGGCGACGGGCGTCGGCGGCAGCAGCGGCGCCTCCATGCTTTTGTAACTGGGCGACGAGTTCTGGCTGTAGCTGTCGCAACTCGACACCGTCGAGTCCTGCGTCCGCAGCGGCGGCGGCGGCGGCACCCGCGGCGGCACCGGCGGCGGCCGCCGGCTCTGCAAAATCACACCATTTTTCCACATTTTACAATTTTCTTCGGAAAAAGTCTGATTTTTCCAAATTTAAATGATGAAAGTTTGTTTTTACGAAGAAATTCCTGCAAAATGTGTTCATCAAAATGAAATGTAGTGATTTTTTTACGTAATTTATAATTTTAAATTAAGCAAGCTTTTTATCAAAGTCATAAAACATTATTTTTCAGAAGAGATTTTATTAAAAAACATAGTATTTTGAAATTGATTTAAGTTTTGTAAGCAATTTTTTTTACTAAGATATCGTTCAAAATCAACAAAATTGAAGCATTAGATTATAAAATGGGTGGGTTTAAATAAAAATAAATAAATAATAATAATAATAATAATAATCAAAATAAAGAAATAACAAATTTCGTGAAAATACAGAAATTTAAACACGTTGGAAATTCATTGATAAAGATAATTTTTGAGCCACACTCAAAATTGATGATTTTACTTGACAATGAACTGAGCAAAGTCTGTCATGTGATTTGCTGCGCATTTTTCTCTCTAAATTTAGCCTCGGGCCCGAAATAGGTAGACGCGGCCAAGAGAAAGAAAATCTAGCCGTTTCCAATTACTTGTTTTCGTTCAGGAACATGCACAAGAGACTCCTCCGCGTCAAAACAAACAAAAGGCCCGCGACTTAATTGTAGGAAAGGCAGGGCAGCCTGTTGGAAACGTCAAAACCAGGTCGTGGGCAAGAAAAACAAACAAATTTAAAATGTTATTGGAAAAAAATTTAACTTTTGAAAAAAAAATTAAAAGAAAAGTTTCATAATCAGATAAGAAACCTTTTTGCAATGTTCTGTAAAGAGAACCAAATTCGTTTTGAATTATAAATAAACCAATTTTAAATTTGGAAAAACACAGTATATCAAAAAAAATGTAGTATAAAGAACTGAATATATTAATTAAAACATTAAACTTGTTAAAATTTCTGATTTCCCAATGAAAAGTAAATATCCCTGATTTAAATTGAAGCCACGCGTTTTACGCCAGAATAACAAGATATTGAAAATTAAGCTCAGCATTTTTGATTGACTAAAAAAATTAAACTTTTCATGTAAAAAAAAACTTACCAAGCAATCGATGGCCTGCTGGATCTGCTGCTGGTGTTGGCGGGCGACGTGGGGCGGCGGCGGGGGCGGCAGGACGGGGGCCGGGGGCAGGATGTCCATGAAGGCCCAGTTCTCGTCGACGGTGGGCGTGGAGGCGGCCGGCGGCGCCACCTTGACGTTCACATCGCGGTGCAGTTTCCGCCGCAGGTGCAGCGGCAACGGCGGGATGCTGATCGGCGGGGGCGGGTGCGAGGGCGGGGAGGTCGACTCGGGGGACGCCACGGTGCAGCTTTGTCACCAATCGCCCGCAAACTCAAAACGGCTGCACCCGAAAACAAACGCACAAAATCCACTTTAATTTTTTACAGTGAAACATCATTTTTTTAAAAAAAAAAAAAAAAATTTCCACTTTCAAATTACAAATTCATACTTTTCCTAATCCATATTTCTTAAACTAAACTACAGGCATAATTTTAAAATTTCCAAATCAAAAAAGAAAAAATATGCGAAACATGCATTGTTAAATTATGTTCAAATATTTTCTTTTTTTTAAATTCAATCCTTTTTTAAACAGAAAATGAAGTTTAAATCAAATTTCCTTGGTTTATTTTGTTGCTTGACATTTATTGAATAATTTAAATTAATTAATATCCTTTCGTGCCTTCAAATATTTTAAAAGTTGTTCCAAATTATTATATAAATTGTTCAAAAGTATCAAAATTGTAGAATTTGAATTTAAAATTATGTATTAAGAATTTACAAAATAAAATAAAGAAAATAATTTACACACTTTTTTTAATTTTGAAGCACGTCATTAATCTCAGAAGCTCACGAGTGCTCATGAGTACGTTTTTGCCAAAAATTCAATCAGTTTCTTATTATTTATACCAAGTCGGACTTATTTTGTGCAAATTTTTTAATCTTTATTTTTTAAGTGCATCAATTCATCATTCAAAACAAAGTTAAGATAAAAAACATTTTTAATTAGGTTCCTAGATTAACTAAAATACTTAGGCCCCAATTTTATTCCCAGGGATGAATGATTTTCCTGCGACTTTCAAAAGAAAATTGAAGCTTTTAAACAAATTAAAAGGGGAATTGATTTGAAATTCGGCTGCGAGCGAAATCTCATTTTGTTATTTGAATGGTTTAATCTTCGTCGGGGGGAGAGTAAGAGAGGCAGCGAAGGTAATATTGCTTGCAAAATGAATTATCGATTCGCAGCCGCCGCCGCCGCCGCGTCTGATGGTGCAATCTTGAGCCCCTGTGGCTGCGACTAGGCAAGAGCGCGCGGCCCCTCTGCTTTCTCTCTCTCATCTCACCTGCGCGCCACTCGAATTTCCTAATTGCGGCGGCGGCGGCGGCGGCGAAAAAACGGCAAAACTCGCGAGCAGGAAAAACAAACGTGTGCGCATAAGTAGCTTACGTTTCAGAGCAAGAGAAATAAAGCTGCAAAAGTATCTCTCTCGACTTGCAAAAACCCGCTTTGGCAGACAAAGGGCCTCGCTCGGGCAGTGTCTTAGTCTGCACTCGCATTTTTTGCGCCCACGCTCCTTTTGTGCGATTGCAATCGCAGCGTTTTAAGTATTCCCTTCTTGAAAAGGCCAAGTGCTTGTTCCAAAGAAAGGTACACACAATTTCCCTTCTTTTTTTCCTTTTGAACGCTCCGGAAAATATATAAAAGCAATTCTTTGTCCACTTTTTGCCAACGCAATTAAACCGACAAAACGCCGTTTGTTCGGTTTTTGTTGCTCCGAATTAGGAGGGGGTGGCGGGGGGTCGACGGACGGCCCAGACTCGAAATTTGGCACCTTTCCCGCCAAAGTGATCGATGGGGATGCGGCGGGATCGATGGGGTGGGGGCGCCGGCCTTGGCATCCAGTGACGTCACCGCCTCGTTACTCGCGCCCCAAGGCATCGGCGTCGATACCCGCCGCCCCCGGCCGCTCGCTCACTAGGCCCCCGTCCTTGAACTCTGCTGCGTCACCCAAAAACGACTCAAACGAACCACCCAATCAAAAATTATCACCATTTCCCAAATCATCCTTCAAAAAAGCACCTTTTTCAGTATTTGTTTTCTGGAGAACGGAAAAAGTGGTCATTCTGAAAATTTCAGGTCAGATGTAAAATTTCACGGGCTGCGTTTTTTTCTATATAACTGAAAACATCCAAGAAGGCTGTCACCGTCAAAATTCAAATTTTATTGAAATATTTCCGATTCAGCCTTCAACTTTTTATATCAGAAGCAAATTTCTTTAGTGTAAAAAGTTACGCCAGGAAAAGTTTTTGATTATTCTTGTAGCTTGAACCCCGTTCCAAAGATAGAAATTAAAAAAAAATCATTTATTGAGCCTCAAAATTTTGGCACTCCTTATCTGAGGTCTCAAAATATTCATTTTGACATCATGTTTAAATAAGTTTTAAGGTAATTTTTGTGTCCCATTCAGAAATGTTCATATTTGTGAGAGGAAAAACAGAAAAATCATTTTTTGATTCAGGACCTTTTCTATTATGCCTCATTTCTGACAGATTCCAAAGATATCTCGACAGACAACTATTTTTGGAGCGACAGAGATATTGAATTCCAGCAGAGAAGCCATAATTTGAGAGACACTTCCGCTTTCGTGGAACTTTTGTCAAACACTTTATGTATAATTCCGGATTTGAAGGTTTTAGAGCAGATTGGCGCGATAATTTGCAAAAACAACTGATGGCGGATTCTTGTTGATTCTTTAGTGGGTTTTTGCGCGAGAAATCGCGGCGGCGGCGGCGGCAAAGAGAACAAAGAAAAAGCTAAGAGAGAAACAAGTGGGCAATCAAGCGAGCAGAGACGCCGAGGCAAATAAAAGCAGTTTGCGATTCGGTTAATGTCTCGGGACTGGCGCGCGCCGTTGCATAGCAACGAGGCGGGCGCCGGCTTAGGGCAGGTGCACCCTAGCTCGATCTGCGGTCCTGCCTCACACCTCAAGGGCGCAAACACCCCCACCCACCCCCACCCCCTGGCGGCGGCGTCCTGCACAAACACACACGCACCAAAACCGAATTCCCGCACTCGCCCAACACGTCTTCACTTGCCGTTTTGCTGCCCCCCCCTCCACTTTCTTCCCTCCCCTCCTGCACCTCTCGGGCGCAAAACATTTTGCCAACAAAACCTCAGCCATCTTTTTTCCCGCCCCATTAATTTCAACTACCCCTCCCAGCTTGCCCTCTCGCACCGCCGCGCCGATTATCGAATAAAATGTGCAAACAATTTGCACATCTGCTTTCCTTTCAAAACTGTAACAATCTCCCTTTAAACACCCCCTCCCGTCAACCCTTTTTATCGTTTCATCAAATTTAACGCATAATTTTGAGCGACGCTAATCAATAATCTACTGAAAAGTCACACCTGATTATCACCAAAATCAACCAAAATTCTGTTGATTAATCGTTTTGCCAATTTAACTCAAGCGAACGACGACTGGTGGCGCCACTTTTGAAAAACGTAGGCAGCGCCGCCAGTCGCCTTTTGCATAAATTAATTTAAATTAATGCCCGATTGACTTTCCCCAACCTTTGCTTTTAAACTTCAGGCAATTTTGAGCCAAAATTTTTAAATTTATCCTCAAAATTTTGCTTTCGTCTGATTACGATTTAAAATATTAACGATCTTTAAACGCAATAACAAAAGCGAAAAGTTCCAATTCGGGGTAAAATCAAATCTGGCCAATGTTCTAATAATAATTTTCTGCTCTAGATTTATTTTTTTTATCATGCAAATTCAAAAACTTCCGAATAGATGAAAATTCCTACGAATACATATTATATAAATGAAAGTATTTTACATTTCGTCAATTTTATTAAAGACAACAATTGTTGGCGGCATTGTTGCTGCAGCTGCACCTCTCCCTCCGCCTCTCCATCTCTTGCACTCCGTCGACGGGGCTCTTTCTTTCTCTCTCTCGTGAAGAATAAAAGTGCGTGGCATGCAAAACAATTTTGCGGAAACTTGGGGTGTCGCGAATAATGAAAGCGGCGTCGCAAAATGTGCAAAGTAGGCAACCTGCCAGGCGCCACGGTCGGGCGGATTGCCTACCCTCTTCCCCTTGACATTTTGGCAATTTCACTCGCCACAGGAATTTATTTATTGTTATTTATATTCCTCTCGCAAGGCGAATGTTTCGACAAATTAATGATTTATCGGGAAAGTGTGCGAGGAACAAAAAAACAACAAGAATTTTGTGCGAAGTGCGGTGCGAGAGATGGAGGTGAGGTGCAAGTGCTGTAGTGAGAATCCCTCCAAAATTAACACGTGCAAAACACCAAAACATTCACATCGAAACTAATAAAATTTAACATGCAGCAATTAGAATGTTTGGGTTCAGAAAATAATTCACAAAAATTTGGGCCAGAAAGGTTTGAATTGCAATTAACTGCACTGATTTGATTCTAAATATTTTTATCAAATAAAAAGGTTGAAAAATTGTCACTTTCAAATTGAGAACAACAAAAAGCGATTTTACTTAGAGACGAAAAAAAGTTATCGGGAATGAAGAATGAGTGCAGAGAATTATCCGTGTTGATCTGTGTAATTTGAGCCGATCTGAAGAGGCTTCCTTGGATTGAGTGCGAAATCGGGGAAGCCAAACAGAGAAGTTGCATGCGAGTGCGGGGGCGGCCGGAGGCCGTGGTCGGGGGCAGTGCTTACGGAGAGCGGCCTGGCTGGAGGAGACGACGGGCGCGAGTAAGCGAGGAGTCGCGACCCAGGCAGAACGCGCGCCGGCCGGGCGGCCGCGGGGGCGGCGGGGGCGGGACGCGGGCGGAGGCGGCGGCGTAGTACGCCCAGCAGCTGACTGCGTACGCGCGCATCGATTTCCCGACCAGGGGTCACCGCTTCGGCGACGACCGCCGATCCGCATCTTCGCCCCCCGCCCCACTCACACACGCGACCCCCCCCCCCACACCTGTTTGTTATCTTGAGCTACTCATCTCACATGTTGTGTACCCTCGCATATTTGTCCAGAGACAAACCAATTAAAATTCTAAATTTATTAAAAATCAAAATATTTTTACGGGCAAAAGTAGCGATGGAAATTTGAAAAGTTTGACGTTTAAAAAAGATAATGAGAGCTGGATTTATATTTTGAACTCAACAATTAATAGAGTGATGCCTCCGTTAAGTCTTATTTACTGGAGTGCTTTTCAGCCAAACATATTTTTGGATCGCGTTAATTGAGCAAGTGGCATCTTATTTTCTTACAAAATAAAACAATAAAAGAAAGAAAATAGTTTTGAAGTTTTTATTAAATATT